ACAAGGTGAAAAATTGTATCAGGCTAAATTAAACTGATGGTATAATACAACGAACGATAACTTTTAGAAAAGTACGAAGGAAGCGCACGCTTGTAGATATTTTAAAGATCACAGCAAAAAATGATCGAGCAAGACAATCGAATGAAAATATTATCCATCAATTTGTTTTACTTTGTTTTATATACATACGATTTTTTTCTTACTGGGACTTTTATCATACTACTTCTTTTCTCAATGTATAGTCCTTTCTTTAACTTCTTTGGCGATATTAATTAGGATCTCAATTTCTATGAATTGCTGAAAATAGAGTTTGAGTGTTTACTCAAATTGCAACTAATCTTATGGCCAATTGATTATGCGAGCAAAGTGAATATTCAATTTCAAAATTCTTGTGATTCATAATAATTGAAAATTGACGGATGTAAACTATTTCGATTAGATAGATTTCATCAACACTGAACTATTTTGAAAAAAAGATGATTCAAACGAGTCCCTCTTTTAAGCGTTTATAACATCGTCATAAGAACGGTGCATAAATGAGCTCATCAATATATTCGTTAAACACGAGTATATGACAATTTTTTTAACAAAAAAGCGCTATTTTTCTTTTTTTTTTCAAAGCCCGAAGCTGGCATTATCAACATATCGCAACAAGCGAACTTACAAAGCGCTATTTATTCAAACACATGAGCTATCTGTAATTCAGTGTGACGAAGTATATTGGATTGAAAGATCAGTTTTATCTGTCGAAATCAAATTTAAAAAACAATTAATCGCCTTTTCTTTTCTAATCTATACTCTTACTGTCATCCTACTTCCCTCTCTTTATTAAATCTTCTCGTTCCATATTTTTGAATTTCATTATGTATATCTTTCGATTGTGTTTTTTTGTCATATTCAATGTGTTTTTGAAATTTACGTATGTTAGGTGACAAATATGCCCAAAACCCCGATTTCCAATCTAAAGGGCGTAGATATATTAAGGGATAAATTCGTTATTTCAAGTAAAATTTATAAAAAGACTAAAAATTGCTTATTTCGAAATTCTCCAAATTCATAAATTAGATCGATAAATGGCCCGTTGTAATTATACAACAGATGCCAACCAAAAATATAATTGGATCGATGACACCAGATGCTAATTAGTATTCCAACCCGAATCGATAACCCTAATGGAATCGATATCACCATACGCGCATACGTATATAAGGTTTCAATTGGATATTTGAAAGAGGTATTGAAGAAGTCATGTATTGAGAGGTCTTGTATTAGGAGTCAAGTCGTCTGGAGCGGTGTCGTGTCGTCATGTCTTCATCGTTTGTGCTCCGTGTATATCTACATTAAACTACATCAACAACGTTCAACAACATGTTCCTATATGCTACATGTTCTCATATGCTACACTGTCTTAACTGGCTAAAGAGCTTTAAATCAGCACTTCGTTGCTGCTATTTGCAAAAATATCTTATTGGTTGTTGGTATTCTTCTTATCTCTGGTTTACTGTTTTTGAATTTATAAAACATCACCGGGTATTGGCAATCAATTGGCGCCCTTTCGGGTATTTTTACAGTTTGAAACGATATCACACACACTCTAAATAAATCGAAAAACATCTGAATGACGGGACGAGTTACAAAATCTTATTCCATTCAATAATTATCTTTCGTACATATGATATGAATTTTTCCTTCACCTTCATCGCCACCTCCTTCATATCCATGCCCTTACTCTGCCCAACAAGAACCGCCTACGTACGCCCGAATCCCTACCCACGCGACAGATAAAACATGCTACCGCAGGCCTTAAAGTCGAAACGCAGTAAATTGCGCATGCAATGTATATTGCTGTCCAACCTAAACAGTGGTGGAAAAAATAAATTTGTTATAGGCAGAAAAAAAATATTCTGATACTACGTGGATGACACACGTCGTCTTTCCCCGGATTCTGATGAAATATAAGCTAATCAATGTTATTTAGGCTATGGTTAATCAGTTTTACATTCTATTATAAATGCATTCTTGAGATTCTATTGCAGGCCGTCTATGGAAATTTCAGTGGTATACCTCATTTTCCTTGGCGCCTTATAAACACGTGCTTATTTTGCCTGATTGTTTATCGAACACCGCCAGTACCTCACAAATAACCGTCAAAGTAATTTAAACCTGAAGTGTGTTAATTTTCTTGTTTTTCCTGAAAGCCTCCTTGTGCGTTCACTGGGCCACTAATATCGTGATATATTTTCAATTTACATGCTAAACTTGTGCGCATTTTTGACTTTGAAAAACGCCGGCGCAACACATGTCTGTGTCCTTCTAATATTCTTCAGTAATTTGCGTTCTATTTCAATCAATGTACAGCTTTAATTATTGATCAGAGATCGAGCGTAAATGGTTTACAGCTGGAAGAGTTTGAAATTGTGAACATCTAAAGCAAAAAGATATATACTCCTAAAAATATGCCGGCGAAAATTTTTACTCACTATTCCGAGTAGTGTTGAATTACAAAATAAAACATTCGAGGGTCATTAGCGCGACATACAGAAATGTTCTCATAGAAGCAAAGTGTTTCTATGTTGTTGAGTAAAAACCAATGTAGTTTATAAACCAATACCGAATAGGATGAACTATTAGAAACCATATTCATATTAGTTTGAAAGATATAAAGCGAACGATGTCGATATTCGAATTTAAAAAAAAAAGAAAAGGGCGCTTCTCAGCAATAATGCGCATCCATATTAGTTTAAAAGATACAAAACGAAAAATGCCGATACCTATAAAGAAAAAAGACACGAAAAGCGGCGTTTATAAGCTATTCAGTGAGGCATTCAGCGATTTTCTTAATTACCCCACATTGAAAGAAAAAATATTTTTATTGCATCTTGAAGAAATTGAATTTGCTTATTTTTAAAATGTTAAAATTAATTCGTATCCACATTAGTTTAAAAGATATAATTCAAAGAATGTCGATACGCAAAGAAAAAAACACGAAAGAGGCCGTTTGAAATATCCCACATTGGGAATATTTTTATTTTATATTAATACATTAAACTCACTTATTTTTGGAATGTAGAAATTAATGCGTATAAACATGCTTCCTCACCTCAGTACCATTAAAACGGACTTTAGCGGAGTAACCCCACCGACTCCTCTAGAAGTCAAAAAACACACGAGAGATTGTGACGCCAAATATTCGTAGGCTATATTGTAAGGTTGCACAATCGAGTTGATCCATATACCAGATACCGATATACACTTAAAACCCTAGGGCAAATATATGATGAAACCAAATGTCTACCTAACACGGAACGATAAAACAAGGACGATCAACACTTGAGCTAGGATAATACGTCATCAACGTATGAAACAATACAAGATATAACTGTAAATATAAAAGATCATATAAATTTAGTCTATTATTGAGTTTCCTCGGATTTCGGGGGATCTTTGTCATTGCAGTCATCATTGAGTCTAGACGAGGCAGGATCCATAGTTGGATACTAGCAATACACAGACTATGCACATATGCCAATCCTATGGGAACTTGGATATTGTGTATTGAACTGCAGGTCCTTTCTCCTTGATTACTTGCTACTTCGGATCCGTATGTGGCACAAAAATATCATAAAAGAAAATAAAATCGGGCAACGACGTTGTTTCAGGCAAATTACATTCACTATCAATAATAAGTGGTTAAAAGCATTGAAAAAAACAGTAACTATGTACTCGCTACTATTTGAACTCAGAGGAACCTTATTCGGAACAAATTCTTTTGTCTTATTATCGTGGTGCCCATGAACGATGCTTCTATTTAGGTTAGCAGGAACCTTGTTGCAAGCAAAATTTTTCCAATTGTTAAATTTTCCACGTAATTTCCTGTGTAATTTCTTCCACTGTAATTTCGAGCTCTGATCACCAAGGTTGAATCATTGATGTACATCAGGCCTGCACAACTCAAATTACCACGAGGTCCGCAAGCATAAATCTGAAGGCCCGGCGGGCCGCAAACTTTGATACATACAAATTTCACAAGATGAACTACAAATCAAAAAGATTTTGTGAAACAGTCAAATTTAATGAAACACTTTCATTACTGGGGAGCTTAAAAATATGAAGAATCTTATTTTCTTGAGTAAAAACAAGGTACAGTATTTTTGCATATGAGATGGCAAATATGTATTTAGTGGTTCATCTACCTTGAAAACCCATCCTTCATTTTCAATATTTCTTTTTTATTAGAATTAGGTATTGCGTGTTGCAGTATAAACTGGCTGCAGGAAAATATTTTACTCAGGTTCAGTTTTGTAAAATCGTCCCAAATATATGTATGACAATTTATTTAGTAATATCTACCATTATTGGATATTTCCATTGTAGGCTAGACAAACAATCTGTCTAGTAGCAATAGATCTTCCTCTGTTGTACTTTTTTGACTGTTAAATTACATTTTTCTACAAAATCTGCTCCAATTTATTTGAAATTTTACAGTAAATAGCAATATCTTTTGTGCGAAAATTTCTGCACCGTTCATAAATGAAGGAATTGTTTTCTATGTTCTAAATTTGAATCAAAAAAGAAACTTCAGTTTCATAAACTGCTAGTAAAAAATAATGGAGTTATTAATAAAGAGATTGTATAGTAGCGAAGGAGCAGCAGCGAAAGTGGGAAGAGAAAAAGTGTTCTTGAAGCGCGGGACAAAGAAAATCGCAAGGAGTTTCAATTTAAATAAAATGGGAATATCATTTGTCTCACTTTGAGAAACTACATGAAATACCCTGTGTTAATCATATTATATGAAGAATAAACAACATATATCCCCTAATGATACCGGTTCTAAAAAACTAAAACAATATGATGAGGCGAAACCGTACTCGACTTACTACGGGAATGTTTGTCTATGACGTCACAAATGGCATTATAATCTAGTGTGACATAACAATGACATGTAATTAAATGACAAATTGTAATTTGAAGAAAATCATTCTTACTTGAGAATCGCAAGCGACCAAATCATTTTTGGAACTTGTATCTTTCGGGTTTATATTGCTTATGATTATGGAGGACAATCATAAAATCAAGCTTAGAGCCTGCATCCAGGAGAAGCAGGACAATCGTCGTCGAGAAAATGGCTCATTAAAAAAGATTGCGAAGTTTTTCAGCAAAGTCCGCGCTCGTGAAAATCGGAAGGTTAGAATTAATTAAATTTCTACAGGCATTTTTTTATAGGCAAAAGTTTTTTGAACATTAGGATAATGTACTATCATTAGTTGCAACTAACAAACAGTGCGTTTGTTACCAATGCTCGATACCAATAAATTTCATTGCTATTTGTACTTCGACATCCACCACTTTGTTGCTTGATGCTTCCTTCAAATTAGCGTTTTCGGATTTCGGTGGTTGCAAATATTCTGCTTTGTTGATCTCATTTTTCATTATAGGCTATTAATACTATTGTACTTATGTATAATAGTTTTTTCCATCGGTAACGATTCAATATCGCGCAACAATAACAGTTCCTGCAAAATCCAATTGAGCATACTTTTAAATAATCAGATCTTAAAATGAACCCGATTGCTAAATTGAATTTCTGACAGGCATAATTTAGTCATTGATTGAATGACCTAAATATCATTTTTCTTCAGTTTTCCTCGTGTGTGTAATAGGAATAGGACCACAATGCATAAAAACTATATATACATGCTTTCTGAATTGTACAGAATGCTTCACTACTTCTTCAGGCCAAGTCGAAGACAAAACATTTTTCACACCGGTGTGGAAGACTACTACGAAAGGTAAGATGATATAGATATTGGTGTGATGATTATACAATAGTTGCAATATCAACATTACATTACTACATTTAATCTAGATTTTTCTTTGCTGCCCATCGAACGAGCTAGATGACGACTTTCTTTCGACATTGAACGGTCCAAATGTTCCTGGACCTTCTGCCCGCAATGCCATTATAAACAAGGATGAAGTATTCAATCCTGATTTCGGGTCACCGAGACGACATCCAAAATCTGTTGGACAAGATGGCATCTCCCTCGATGACGTTAGTGGATTTGTCGCATTTGACTGCACGTGTATTTTTAACATCCATAATTCTCATCATATAAGCTTTATACTACATTTTATCCAGATTTTCCTTTGTCTTCCACCAGACGAGATAGATGTTGGTCTTCTTTTGGCATTGAAAGGTCCGAATGTTCCTGGACCTTCTGTTTACAAAGGCATTATTGACAAGGATGGAGTATTCATACCTGATTTCGGGTCACCGGGAAGACATCCCAACCTTTTTGGACAAGATGGCATCTCCTTAGATGACGTTAGTAGATTTTTTCACATTTGAACTGTAAAACAATATTTGTAGCTTTTGGGCATGCGTGTTCGAAGCATCGATATTTAAATACAAGCTTTATACTGTAAAATCATAATGTTGATACGCATTATAAATATTATTTAAAGGCATTTAGTCAAAATAATCCAATTCAATAGGTGTTTTATCTAATTGTACATGATTTCCTCACTGTGTTGCGCGATGATTCGATTCTTTATTTTAGTTCTAATTTGGCAGTTTAGCATCCATAATTATTATTTTAAGTCAATTAACATTTGATAAAGCAGACTAATTATTTCCCTTTTCAAAGGAAACGCCACCTCTGGAAATCGAAATTCCTTTTGCCAAGTATGCAGAACAAAGACTGTCGTTGGACTGGTGGGATAAGGTAACCAATTACCTTTAAAAAAAATGAAATTTAACAAATGGTCATAATGCGAAAAATATAACATATCGATAGTTTTACTGAACTAATAAATGAACATACTAGTTTTGGGTTATAACAAAAACCCGCGTCTAGTAGAAAATATGAGAGCAATGCTTGAATATATGGTCACGTTCGTGCATCGGTAAGGCTTCGTTCGCCAGAAATATCCTCGTGACGGACAAGCGTGACGGAATTAGTCAAGCACTATGGAATAAATAGATTTCAAAATGATCAATAAGATTGTGTGTCTCAGCTTCGTGTTGTCTCTGACTGGAATTTTCGTTTTACGGAAGAAAATATGCTCACATATACCCCATTAGTAAATAAACTGAAATTTTGCTAGGGGCGCTTTTTTAAATAAGAAGTTTGCGATATTCTTTATTTTACAAGTTCATAAAATAGTTGTAATAATCTTGATTGCTCAAAATGAATTCAAACGTCTGGCGCACCTTCAATTCTATAATTGAATTTATATAAGACTTTTTATGTGACAATGAAAATCAAGTTAGACCTGTGGTACTTACGTATGTGTTTCTTGTAGCATATAAAATATATGTTTATTAATATTTTCAGATGGATTCAATGGTTGATAAGAAAGAACGGAAAACGGACATGAAATCGAATCAAGCGAATGTTAAAATATTCTTATAAGACCGTCCTGCTGCGAATAAAGTGTCAACACAGAAAAAGGGTAAATTAAAATAACTCTCGAGTGAAACTATATCTCGATTCACGGGTTGATGACGACATTGTTAATGCAAATTCCAACTTGGTTAGCAGAATTATGAAAACATATATATTTGATCAACAGTGTTAGCGTTTGCGAAATCATGGATTACTGATTACAAGATTCCCCAAAATTACTGTTAATATTTTCAAAATATATATCTTTAATCTGTCAGGATGACGATGAGGTGAGCACGAGCAACAAATATTGATGTCCAATTGACGTTCAACCATCGAATGAAATTCATTGGGAAATTCACGCAAACTCGGAGAGATGTAGACGTTCCACGACGCAATAGCCGTCGTCGCAGGGAACGCCGTCGGATTTGACCAGCAAAGTTCGTTTTTTACACAATACGCGAGTGTACAACAGCCTAATTTGAAGGAATAATGGTGTTGGACCGAGAATGGAAACCAAGAGGACACAACACCGGAACGACAAAGACATTTTTTGACTGAATGAATTTCGGTCATGGATGAGCGTAAAAGAAAACGAACGCAAACTTAACGTACTTGTACTACGTGCTTTGACATCTTAGTAGTCATCTTGATATTGAAAATATATATATTAATTATATCGATTTTCTTTTCCTGATTTTATATTGCGCAATACAAAAAAGTTAGATTGCAACAATGCGTAAAATAAATTATTTTGTGCAAAACGTTGTACCCGGAAAATACCTTATGGGTTTTAATAAAAAGTTCGGTTTGGGAAGTCCAGAATATTTTCAGTTCGACAAGTGTTCATGAGATCTTAAGAGATCTTTAAACAGATATGAACCTACTTTTATATTCGTCTATCCAAGCGCATTTTTGACCACCCACAATTTGCAAATGCAAATAATGACACATGGTTTCAAAATCATTACTTCAACCAATCATTTAAAACGATTGTTTTTCACTATAAAACAAGCCATTTCAATAGCCTATGATTTCTCAGTCATTTCATGGGGTTTTGATTTTGATTTTAAAAATGATTGAAAACAGACAAAGATATATGTTTCCAGCCTTAAACCTGGAAAAGGAAAGAAAAAACAAGGACAGAAAACAAAAGCAATTATAATTTAAACATTACTCAAAATACTAATATGCTTTATCATTTACAGAAAGAAAAACCAAGCATCTATGCGTACGCGCTGACACTCGCTAGCACTTGAAATTACTTGGTTCTCGGCATACGCTAATCTAATTACTCCTAAAGAACGGAAATATTATCGTAATAAGTTGCTTAAAAATATAGAAATATTGGACACCTTTCGCACACCTTGCACTTATGTGTTCCAGCAAGCTCTTGAGGCCACTCGATTAAACCAAATGTCAATTCCTTGATAACCGATGTACGATACCTCAATTACTACTTAAGCCTAACCTATGTTTCAGAATTGTCCATCTGGTGATTTTACAAGTACTGAACACCTTGTCCGTAAGTATGATAAGTAGGGTATAAGGAAGCAATAGTAATTTGGACACAAAGGAATTATGTCAATAAAAGTATTATATATAATAAAAGTATTTGTACCCTCAAAAAAGATTTAAAAACAGAAAATATTTGCACATGGATGTATTTGGTGTTTCAGTTTTCGGAAAGTTACAAGCATATTGAATTGAAGAATGCATAATAGGCAAGAACTAGTTGCTAAATTATCAGCAGACTGATTCTAGCTTTATTTTAGTAATGATATAAATAACATAATTTTTCTCAAATACCAAAAAATACGAGAGTTGTATTGACTGATATTTTTTTTTATATTGTACTGTATCGTATTGTATATTGTAAAAGATTCAAACAGAACAACATGATGCGCTTAAATAATCAAACGTGTTGTCGGCGTATTAGTTCCAAATATATTATCAAAAATTTGGTATAGACATATTTTATAAAACCCAAAATATCATTCCAATACTATTCAACAATTTATTCAAAAACTCAAACTAGCTTAAACCTATTGAGGGCGAATTATTATGCTGTTCAGAAGATTCGCAAATATTATCTGAGGAGTTGTCGCCACAAGTAAAAACACTGTCTTCTACCTGTCATACGAACACAATACCACATATAACATTGCTATTTATCACTAAAACCAGTCAGCATTCATCTGACAAAACTTCGGATAAGACGGCGCCGGCTGAGAACACGAAAGGAGATTATTATTATGGGTGAAAGATTTCAAATCACGTAAAACTTGTCACTTGTTTGTATTGCTTTTCCTTTCTCTGTGTTGTTAATTTCCCCGATTGTATTAAAAGCGAGACACATGTTTGAGAAATGAATTATATAGAAAGATAGTCAGGATATGCAGAGTATATAGATTATAAAGTGGTTTTCATGTAGGCGGTAACAATATATATATATAATTCATAGCCGAAGTGGATTGTAGATATTTGCAACCTCTTGCAAAAGAAATTCATTTTTCTGTAAATCCCTTCGTAGTCCATTCGTTTGTCGTAAATTTTGTACTAGAAGCTTGAAGCATATGTATTTGCAAGAACCGTCGTTCCAATCAGGGGATTACACGCGCGGTTTTTGTCTACAAGTACAGCTCTCAGACAAAATGGTAGCAGTGAAGTTTTCACCTCGATTTGGAAATGATTGCCCATATAGAATATTGGTTGAATTGTATATATCGTAATTCGTTGAATGCAATAAAATATGTTATATGCACTGCTATTATTATTCAATGTTTTTATTTCTAAAAATGCACAGATCTAACGTATTTGGAATTACAATTTGTTCCAGTATTTGTATTTGCTTAAAACAGGGTTAACGTGCAAGTCAGGTGAAACAAGAAAATAAAATGGCGACATCTACTCCGGTCAATACGAAGCATATTGCCGATATAAAGTTTCCAACTTCGGGCGCTTTCAGACTGAAAATGCCGGCACCAATTTTTTCTCCTCGAGACACTTTTATGCCGAACCAATCGAAACATCAAACAAAGTTTGCCTTGCCTTCCATGCAGAACAGTCTGTATTCGTCTATACTTCAACAATGGTTAATGCGAAGCGTATTTGAAGGAATACAATCCCCGGGAAAAAATTTAATCTTCCCTTTTCCGTGCACAACAAACTGTGAGAAACCGAACTATTTATTACAAGATTTGAATGCAAGATATAAAGAACTATTGATAACTCGTCTCAGTGGATCACCCGGGTGTTTGAATTTCGAATCACCGACTCCGTTAATTTCTCCATTTTTCCCAAACCCAACCAATATAATGCCTAGTTATTCGCAGTTATTCGGAACTTCGTTTCAAAGCCAAACACACAATCCAGCTCCAGTCCTTGTACACGGAGCCTTTAAAAACAATGACAGGCCTAGAAATATAACTGAAACATGTAACAGTAAATCACGCGAAGACAATGCCCAAGATCCAAATGATCTGCAAAGAAATAAGTTGGACTTGGTCAACAACAATATTGGCAAAGAACGAAAAAGTCACAAATGTATTTATTGCGGTAAATTATATTCAAGAAAATACGGATTGAAGATCCACATCAGAACTCACACAGGATATAAACCTCTGAAATGTAAAGTAAGTGAATTCTTTCCTCGTAAAGTTTTATATATTGTGCATTTTTAGCAATGAATTTCCAAGAAAAATTGCTTCAAATTCACACTTCCCTTGGATTTCGGTTTGTTATTTAATATACTCTCGTTCCCCACGACTCCAGAGACCAGAAAAATCAGAAATTTAAATTTCAGAATAATAATTCATCTTGTCAAATAAAACCAAAAAAAAAACGAAAGGAAATTTACAACTATACTTTAAAAAGAGAAGACCGGCTAATATTCAAATTGCTACATCCCCGTTTACTTATTGCTGAATGGCCATTGTTGCGGGTAACAATCAAGAAAGTACAACCTAGTCCTAGACCCTAGGCAAGGGGAAGCATTTATTTATTGGTAAGTTCTGACAATTTCATTGTATTCAGGTGTGTGGTCGACCGTTCGGAGACCCAAGTAATTTGAATAAACATGTCCGACTTCATGCAGAAGGAGACACCCCGTATCGATGCAAGTTCTGTGGTAAAGTGTTGGTCAGAAGACGCGATCTTGATAGACATATCAAATCGAGGCATTCTCTTTGCGGGAGTACCGAAAAAGGATTGTACTCAGATAACTGGAAAATATAAAATAAGACAATATGATTACATTATTATTGTTCTTTCTATGAAAACGTTGCGACAATTTTTGTGTAGAAGGTAAAAATAACAGTGCTGTTCAAATTAAATACTTATATCAATATATACATCCCGTATCTCAACAATTGTGAAAAAGTTTACGGATTTTTGAACGTCAAGTGGGCGTAGTATGAAATTTGGAATATATATTATCAACCAAAAATATTTCAATGTAAATAGAATTAACAAGAAAATCGTATGTAACGAAAATGAGAACAGTCACTATTCGAGGCAGTTTTGAATAAAAATCTAAAAAAACAGACCAGATAATAACGAAAGCTTATATGTGGCAATATTGTCTTTCAATGTCGGGTACGCTCACTGCCAAAACCCTGTCGGTCTATAGACCGGAAGGATGGGATAAGATTTTTTGAATATTCATAAAAAAAGCTCCTCATCTCGGTAATATTTTTTCAGTCACAGCACACTCGTGGTTATGTAAATCACGTTGTGGCGTCAATGACTCCAGAAGTCCAACTGTCTTCTCGGACATGACCACCCTCTACACAGCCTACGCCCTACGACATTGCTATTTGAATTCTCGGATATACCCAAGATTATTATTTTTGCGACAGCCAAGGTGTTCCTAACGCTAATGTGACGGGCCAATCGTCCCACAAATAGAGTTGCTTACCACTTTTAGTCGGCATAAAGGAAATCGTACGTCACCACTTAATGTTATAGGAAAATAAGACCTTGCAGCAATTGCCTTTTGCTTATTAATGCGACCATTGGGGATCGCCACAAATAATTCTGAAAGTATATAAAGTTCAAAAATGGAATGTAAATAGTTTTTCAGAACAACATATTTTGTCTGTGATATATTGAATGTATGTAAATTTTGTGTTAAGTATATTTATTTATAGCATAGATTAAAATAAATTTTGTGCACTGGAACGTACATTGTTTCCACAATAAGACTTTCGAAAACGATAATATAAAAATCGTACTGAATAAAACTCAAATTATAGACTCGAGTTTGGTTCATGACATATTTTAACATTCTATGCGGGTGGGTTAATAGTCCAGATTCACATCTAATAACTTTTCCACAAACTTTTACCGAAATTTATTCCTAGGATTTTGAGTTATCCATCTCAACTTTCAAGCGATGTCAATTGAGTAATTTTGAATAATTTTCAGTAATTCAACAATAGGCTTGTACAATAATTTGACCAGTAGCCTATATAAGCCACTCAACTTAAAGCCACTCAACTTCATAATCCACCCAACCCAAATTAGCAGCTATTATTAGTAGTTTGAAGAACTCTTTTTCCAATGAAGGCAGGTCCATTTGATGTAGGCAAGCAGACGCTTTTGTTAATAAGTTATATTTCTGAAAAAAATGAGAAGAGAACAGTGTCAGACATGTAAGCTACTTTTGTGATAGCAAAGAAACTAGCCTACTTTTGATGAAATGTAGGCCATTTCAGCATCAGAAACAGAGATGCGTCGAATATAATCATTCCTAGTTGAGCACGGGCCATCGGAGGCGATTTTGTTGTCCCAAAGAAAATTTGATACCAATTTCTGAGAACCTGGATTTCAGAGCCAAATATTACAAATGCCAGTCTAATTTTACAAGCATAACCTATTGAAATATTGGGTAAAAAAATAATATGTACATTTTAGTGTTCACTGTAATATAATAAACCTATTTACATTGCTTACAGCAGCTCGTGATAGTCATTTAGTAAGCAAAGTTGCCCGTGCATTGCTATCCAAACACACCCGGAGTTAGCGATGTTAATCGACAATTCATTACAAGCCATTCAATTTTCGACTCACGTGAAAACTCCTGTAGTAATCACGACGAAGAATTCAGCAACAAAACATTCAGTTGCCGGAGTTCAATCAGGACATACCACTAAACTTCAAGAGTAGTCTTATGTTTTTTCATACGTTTGAATCAGCTTACAATCCCTCGGATTGAGATATTTCTAAAATTCTTTGATGGATTTTACTGTGACATTAATACTACAAGACAAATAGTGTCCACATAATTTCTTAACTATTTGGAAACAAACTCTTATAACTCATGTTGTTTAAAATAATAAACTTTATCTGAAACATACACTCGGATGTCGCCACAAATAAAACACACCATTCTTCAACCTGTCATACACAAACAATACATATTATCCTACTTCAATAACCTGTTTGATGTTCTTAGACCTTCGTGTAACGCGTGCGTAAGTAGATGCCCAGTAGGATTAGACTTTATGATCCACTGACAGCATATATTTCATGAGCTGGAATAAGAAATAAATTTTGAAGCGAATAAAGACAACAATGTAATATCCTATTAACGTAATATCAAACTAAATGCCCAATAACGACCTAGCAACCTTCTGTAATCCCCGCCCTTCCACCAGTTGCCTGATATAATGTCATGAAACAGTTGAACACCCGCCACATAGCTCGGCCGTTCGAGCGTGACTGGACACCATTTTGGATAAATAGCAATCTGGGAACTTTACATACGTGAAATATGAGTTTGGTGATTTAGTTAAAATAAGTTTTAAGGAATTTGTTGAAATTATTGTTTTCCAATTTTGCTTTTGTAACACTGTAAATATTGTTCATAAAATGTAACTTTTTACGTTATACTGACATGGCCCGCCAGTGTAAGGGGGCAACATTTTTGGCCCCTGGTCCGAAAATAACATACCCCCACCCCAGAAGTTGGCACAATTAGTTTAGAGAGAACAAGTACCATAAAATATTTGGGAATAGTCTTGAATGAAAAACTTACTTGGAAAAATCACATAGATTACCTTTCAAAAAACTTTCTCAATCAGTTGAAATGCTATATAAATTGAGGAGATTTGTTAATCTTGGAACTCCTGAAATATATATTTCATGAAAGCCTGGCCTTTTCACAACTTCGAAATGGTATACTATGCCGGTATATCATTATATTATACTTTAAAACCCCTTGCCGTTATACAAAATAAGATGATCAGATGTAGAGAGTCATCTAGCTAGACCAATGATTCCCAACCTTTCTACCTTGGCGGACCGGTAAAATTAAATAAAATGTACTCGCGGACCGGCAAAAATTGAAATGTGTGGAACACAAAATAACAGTAGCGGCGCGTGGTCATTTTGACAACCGGGGCAAGCTACTGCGGGACCAAGTCACCCCCATCTACGGGGACAGGATGAGCGCTGTAAGTTCTCCCATCATTTTATGAGTATAAAAACCATTCCATCGGTAACAACCAATCGGCAAAAGCGACAATTTTTAACGATAAGAAAGTGTCTTTAAAACCGGTCCAAGTCAAGGGATTAATAAATATAGACATAGTTTATTTTGAAACCTCTTTCAAAAGGAAAGGCAATATTTACCCAGATAAATACAATGACATATTAACAGAAACTTCGGGAAAGCAGACAAAACCTAAAATGAGGTTTAAAACGTTACTATGAAGAAAGGAAAGTTAATGCAAAGATAAGGACATGCGTCGCTCACTCATAGATATATATGCTGCTAGACTTCTACTGCTTAAACATATATGCAACACGCCGCGGTTTCTTGGAAGCAAAATGCTCAATAACGCGCTGATTAAAGTCATGCATCCCAGAAATAACGTCTCTGTGAATGGATAAAACAGCCAAGGAATTTAATCTATCTTGCTTCATTGTGTTTCTGAGATACGTTTTAATACGCTTCAGCGTGCTGAATGTTCGCTCTGCATCGGCGGAAGTAATAGGCGTCGTCAAAATGATGTCCAGAAATTTTGCAGACGCTGCAAAGGTAGTTACTAGAGTGTTATCTATGAGGAACCCATAGAGCGCGCAAGTTGATGTGATGTTCAAAAAAGTTTGATTGGTGTATATACATCGCATTTCATTTTCCAATTTACCCACGTTTATCATGGGGTAAAATTTGGAGACAGTAGCCAACAAATGGATGGGAAATTGACGTGCAAATTTTGAAAAATTTTTGGGGTTCATCAAAGAGAACGCGGCAAGGTGTTCAGTGCGCAGACGATCGCCTATTTGATTCACCAGAATGTCACAGCATTCCTTTGCAGACAAAATCAAACGCTGCGTTGTTTGCCCGCGGCCTAAAGAAGCACTCCATGTGTCGTCGTATTTTATTGTTTACCGGATACGAGATACAGCATCGCAGAAGTCTGAAATACACGACTGCACAGACGCTCCATCCATTAGCCTTGACTGCAATGCGCCGTATAATACATCCACATGATAGAATATTGTGGAGAAAAAAGCGAGAAAAAATGAAAACTCACCATCTGAATGCCATTGAAACACTCAATGAGCTCAGACCTAATTTCGGACACGCCCTGCACCACGCGTGATTGGAAGTTCCAACGTGTTGGTGCACAAGCTGGGAGACAGCGGCTACATATCTGGCGAAGGAGGTCAGAGCGCTTCGGCGAAACGGAAAAAAAAATGAAGAAAACCCCGAAACATTTGCAAAAAATATACGGTCCCCGGACCGGCGGTTGGGAACCACTGACAAATACGAATTAATAATGCAAAGTTTTATTTTCAGTGTGGATTTCTTCGATTGGAAGAAATCTACCTATGTGAAATGGAAATATTTATGTATCGTTAAGAAATTTTTCTGCTGTCAGAGTATTTTGAAAACCATTTTGTCAAAAGGTTTTGTTCAAAGGTCCACTCATATGATACGAGAAGTGCATCAAACAAATTGTTTTTCACCCCGCGATTCCAATCTTCAGCCACGAAGAAATCGCTTAAATATAGAGGTATTAACGTATGGCAAAGTCGCCTATTTCCCTGTGTATAAAACAGTGTTTCCCAAAATTGTTTAATCGCCAATTTAAACAACATTTATTAGCAAAAAATGCTCTGATTCAATCATATGCAAATATCAGTGTATGCTGCAATATTCATACAATCGTAAATATATACAATGGATATGAATTCACTATTATATATATAGCTATGTTTGTGTGAAAATGATCAAAGATGTTATCATATATACTTTAAAAAAATAAAGAGTGTATATATAGCTTTGGAAATGGGACATTTTTTTCTTACCCCGTGCATATATATAAATTGCCTCATTCTCGAATATTGATTTTTCGTCTAACACAAAATAAATCTAGATTGAGAAAATTATAATCAGCCTTAAGCCCTTCTAATTCTTTTCTTTTTAATTATTGAGTACTGTTAAGTTGTTAACCAGGCTTAAAACTAAAAAAAAATGCGTTTACGATGCCTGCATCAGAGTGTTTTGTCGTGATACAAAACTTTTCTTAGAGGTCGGTTGACCTCTTACCCGCCCCATTCCGATTATATTTATGATTACTGTTCGTTTATTTTTACTGTAATGAGTCCCTTAATAAAATATTCAGAAATAAATCATTATCTATCTATCTTTCATAAATGTAATGATAGATTGTCTCGTGCCTACTCGTCAGTTACACATGACTTCATGCTACGTCATACATCACATGATGCAAATAAAAAAGACGGAACATCTTATGATGCCAGTTTCCTATACTTCTACAATCGCCAGATCGCTGTTATATCATATTACTGTATTACTTTCAGTGTTCATACTTTCAGAGACTTGGTGTTCGCAATAGTTTAGCTACAGATTTTAATCAGTCAAACTATTCCAACTTGTTAGAATAACAGTAAATGAAAAGACATGGCTTAGAACAGTACCGGTACGGTACCGTACGAGGAGTGGAAGTGGTGACTCCTCTGCGGCCCATGGGCCGGGGCCACGGCCCATCGAATTGGGCCTCGGCCCATCAGGCTATGGGCCGCGGCCCATCAAGTTGTGTAAAGGGACTATTCACTTGGCTAACACAGACAGTCCCCGAACTCATAATTAATAGAACTATAATGTAAAAAATCTGAATTTTTTTTTGTCCTAACCCTAACCTGGTACACATACTACAGGAGTATATTTTTTTGTTCGAATATTGACAGTTTTGTAAAAATTGAAAATTTTGGTAAGATAATTGAAATTTTCCTGATGGGGCCGCGGCCCATAGCTTGATGGGCCACGGCCCATGTGGCCCAATTAGATGGGCCGTGGCCCAATTAGATGGGCCGTAGAGGAGTCACCACTCCTGTAGCGTACGAGAGGCCGTCGTTCGCTAAGCACTGCTAAGCCATCTTATCGGCTTTCTTCTCCCACGGAATAAATATGTAAATCCTGTCCAGTACTTGATTTTTATAGTATCAGGAATTTAGATATCAAATTATATTATTTATGAAGTATCAAATTTTTGAATGAAAATTATTTCATTTTAATTCTAAATCACTAATTTATTATTTCAATCACAAATGTCAGAATGTATTTGAGTATCTGATTCGTTTTGAACATCCTTAATTTCAACTTTCTCATACAAACATGCTTTAACTCAGCTTGGAACTACTGACCTAATGCACTTTACTTCTGTACTTGACAGTTTACTGGCTTTAAGTAAATTATAAAGATGTTTGGTGGTGGTTTTAATGAAAAAAAGTTGAAGGTCAACCTTCGGCTGTCTATAAATCGTCTGAAATTGTTGGAAAAGAAAAAGACAGAACTTGCGATCAAAGAACGACGTGACATCGCTGAATATATCAGAGCAGGAAAACTTGACAGAGCAAGGATTCGTGTTGAACATATCATAAGGTAAGATTGATGTATTATTTTTCTGGGGTCTCGTGTAGTTTCGTACCTAACGTACTTCTAGTGGGCGTAGCGTAACAATTTTTTGTTACCTCCATCTAACTACGCCATCCAAAAATTACATCACTATGACATCTCGATCACGTCATAGAGCTTGCCAAATATATGTACGATCGCCCGAAATGGCATTGGCGCCGACGATAAAGAACTGACTGACGTTATCGATCTCTCTCCTATTGGAATCGTTGCGACGAGAAAACGAGAGAAATAACTGTTCGATTCCGGGTGCTCGTTTGCGCGTCTTGGATGGCAGTTCGTATAGTTTCAAGCCAATGGCTCTATTATGTCACTGTGACGTCGTAATGACGTAATTTTTGGATGGTGCAGTCAGGTGGGGGTTAGGATTAATACGTGAAAAAATTGTCATGCCACGCCCACCAGAAGTATGTTAGGTACGAAACTACATGAGACCCATTTTTCTGACATAAATTTTAGTTGTGGCTGCGCAAAATATAAAAAATGATTTAATATTTATCCCGAAACATAGAAGAATCAACCATATAGCAAATAACAATCTGTTCTATTTATGTTTTCAGAGAAGACTATATGGTGGAAGCTATGGAAATAACAGAAATGTATTGTGACATTTTGATGGCAAGAATAGGGCTGATGTTGGCATCGAAATCTTTGGATGAAAGTTTGAAGAAACCCATTTCTTCTGTAATATGGGTCTCATCAAGGTCAGTTTTCATAATTTATTCTGACATAAGTCTTGAATTACCTGTGATGAATAGTCCTATTCACTGTATTATTTACTTATATATTTACCTTATATTTACTATGATAACAATAAGGTCCTAAACTATCTCTGAATTTTCCAACCCTGGGTAAAGGTACAACACACAAATATGGGATCTCTTGTAACATGAAATGTGATTAACAGTGATTAGGCTAACAGCTATACTATAATGATATGGCCTCGTTCACTGACGTTTCCCCAAATCAATTGGAATCCTTGACTGATCTTCGCCATAAATATCACTTGCATTTTGTTTTTTAGACTTGCAAATAATGTAGAAGAATTGATGGTTATTAAAAAACATCTTGGTGCCTACTACGGAAAAGAGTATATGCATGCTTGCCACACAAATGATGTTGGTACAGTATGTGATCGTCTGATGCATAAGCTTGATCCCTCGCCACCTCCTAAAAAACTTGTCGAGCAATATATGATTGAAATTGCTAGATCTGGCAACATAGATTTTACACCGGATGAAGATGCATTACGAGATGATATTGGAGCTGCACCTGCTGCTATTGAGGAGTCTGAGTTGATAGCCTTGTATGACAAGGCTATTGATCCACCTTATAATGGACCGAAAGGGCCTGGTCCTAATGGTGGAGGTGGATTTGGCGGGGGTGGTGGCGGCCAACTTCAAGCCCCTGCCCCATTTTCATACCCCCCTAGTGCTTCTGCACCTGCTGGATATCCTGCGGAAGCATCTGGTTTCAGTGGCCCATCACAAGGTCCAACTAATTTACCCCCATATTCACCCATGGATCCTAATGTGGGCGGTGCGTCATATATGGGGCCTCCTCCAGATATGCCAGAGGGTGCTCAGGCTCCACCTTTGCCACAGAAAAACCCAGCTGGTTCCCCAGAGAAAATGCATTTCGTCGATGATCCTGGCGTTACCCCACAATTTCCACCTGACGTAACATCAACGCAAAATGGCCCACAACCAGGACAAAGTAGCATTCAACCTCCAGTTCCAGCACCAAGAAGTGTTTCGCCTGGAATTCCTGACCTACCATCTGTACCCAGTTCATTCAACACACCACCAGCCACTGGAGGAGGTGGCCCAGCAAATACTGGTGGTGATGACATGGACTTTGATGATTTGACTAGGCGATTTGAAAATCTTAAAAACAAGAAGTGAAACAAAGTGGAAACTGGCAATTATCTTCAATAGCAAACATCTTAGCATATATGCAGTGGGCAGTGTGCAGCAGTTCTCATCGTAATTATCTTTTTACTGCTTGCACAAATCCAGTTTCAGATAAAAACATTAGTTATCATGTAATGTGTACAGCACAGTACTTTATCTGAACATCAGTTACTTTTTTATATGTGCACTTTTACCATGTAATGTAATTTTTCTGTATATGAAAATATATCTTGAAATCCAAGCGGTTCAATCCAGTGCAATTTATATTGTTAAATATTTTGGAGTAGTAATGTTTTTATTTTGCCGAAAGAAGTTTCGTTGAACACAATTAATTCCCTAATAGAACTAAAATACGGAAAACTGGAATAAGATTGTGGCCTAACTCTGACCTGGTGGCGATGTTGCTAATGATTTACGTTTGAAATACTAGGATTAGGAATATGAATGTCCACCATCTTGGTTCACATACATCTGGAGTATCGAATATTTTATGCCACAGAAAAGTCATCCTATGCTAAAAAAGTCTATTTTGACTAGCGCTTAATCGCGGCAAGTGTTTCAGAAGGAAATGGGAGTCGAGTCTGCATCATTTTTACAGGGTTGTAAATTATAGAATATTGAAAACATACATCACATGCTCACGACATTGAGAATACAATAATTTAATATTATATTCAAAGTTACTGTCCCCACACACTAATAAAGCATCTATGTGTGCAAGTTGCAAGCCTCTCGGAAACATGGTCTTTGCAAAGATTCAATTCAGAACCTTGATTTATCCACCAAAACTGAACTCGTACCATCCCTGGTACGGGGGACAAGCAGCTTTGAGACGAATATGCTCAATATAAGTTCTGATGCACCAATGTGTTATGAAGAGATAACTCTGAGAGTAATAGATTTGAAAGTCACAAATGGCTTTACTATTTATTTATTGTATGCTAAAACCAGTTAGCTTCACAAAGCAAGTCTTGTCAGTGATCTACAGCCAAAAACATTCATAAACAATGCCCTGCCCGAATTGAACTGTCGCCCTATTCTGCTCTCACCTATCAGAGCAGTGGTTCTCAACCTTATACTTACTGCGTACCACTTTTGTGCTTTTTACTCTAGCCGCGTGCCACTGACAGAACCCCTTTTGGGATGGGGAACAAACGCACAAGAAAGGCACTATGCTATGGAAGTATTTTATGTGGGGCAACATCCATTTTTGGACCTTCGCGCAAAGTTGCAACGTATCAATTATACGTAGTATTAATTGCGTGCAAAATCGCGAGAAAATTTGCAGACTCTACCATCAGAGCTGAAAGGCTTTACCATCACTGGATTATCGCAAAACTCGGACACTTTTGGTCGGCACTAGCAGCTTAGCCGTAAAACTTAAGATTATGCACATACATCAGGTAGAAATAGTAACATCCGTATAATGCAACAAGGCGCTAGCAGGGTATCTCGGCACATGCTATAAAAACGTTCAGTATGGAACCGCACACAGTATGGAAGATAGAGAGAAAGCTACTCGCGTGCCACGAGGACCATTGTATTAGGATGTAGTACATCTTATGAAATACTGACAGAATCATAATCATTCAAATCGTAGTGTTTGGGAGTGTGATACTCCAGACTACAACTATTTATTTATAATTCATTCTACGTTTTTATAAAAGAGTTCAAATAATTCAATTATCAATCTGTATCACATCTCCAACAATTTTTCATCAAAAGTGAAATTCAAGTGGAGACTAATCATAATTTTCTATGAAAGATTATAGTCAGAATTGAGCAATTTTAATACATTCAATTTTCTACCTTGTCTCTGTACGCAGGACTCTGTGAAATGTAACCCAACTACTACACATTCATACTGAGCATCAAACAATATTTGGAAATAAAAATGTATTGACATAACCATTGAGTGAAATGGACCATAATGATTGGAAGCAAAAATCCCATCGTAAAAAAGTTATTTGGTTGGAGGAGGAGCCATAGCCCCTGGTACACTGGGTTGCATGCCCATAGAACCAGACATAGCAGCATTTGGTCCAAGAAGCATTTGTCTTTGCTGAACAAGTTGCTGTTGTTCTAAGTTAAATCGTTCTTGTTCAAAAACAACTGGCACAACAAGAAGAATAAAACTTGTAGCTCCAATCCACATTGAAGAACATGAAAATTTATATACAGCTTTCGAGCATTTTTTGCCCGTGTTATAACCAGAATACGTCCAATTGCGAAGTCTTTCAGGAAACATTTCTGTTAAACCATAAAGTCTTTCAAGTACAGATTCATCTTCAAAGTCTTCATTATCATCATCTTCGTCATCAATTTCTCGTATTTTAGGAATACTACCAAAATCTCCTGTAGCCATTTCTATATTTGGAAATGAAATCACTGGAATATAGTATTATATGTAGTATGATGTGATGACTAAATGACCCTGTATTGTGAAACAACACAATTATCAGATAGCAAAACAATACAAATACCAATTTGTAAAATCAATAATACACAATACATACATACAGGCTTTATGTACTTATCCCGGGTGAAAGAAAAGCTTATATGGCGGCTCAATCATATGGCGAACCACAGCCTCTTGTTCGATTACCAGTCCATTTATGGGATTAGTTAGCTAGATATTTGTTTCAGATGCAGTTATGTGAACCACATCCTATGGCGGCAAGGAGTCCAGCAATTCTCTTGCAAATAGATATCTCATACAAGATTCGGACCTGCTATACCGGTACCTGTATACCATGCAGGGTAATCAGAGATGCAATGCGCATTCTCAAAGATTAGCATGATGCGCCTTGCCACATAAGATATATAACACAGCTTATAGCCTCATTGCCCTCATACGATACCATACCTGCATTGCCGACCATAGCAGTTACTTGTATTGGGTAAAGATCCTCATTCATATTCTAATATTCTTAATTTTCCTTATTCCTATTTCAAAGCATGACGGCATGACCAGGTAAATCCTGAGCAACATCTTCTAGTTTCGCATTTCAGTATTCTGCCGTTAAGGTTAGTCTATCCAAATCCCACAGCAACCTACATACTGATATACACTAATACCGGTACCGGTACCCGAATACAGGCATAAAATTATTATATCTAAAAGACGCATAATTATGAAGTGCACCGCACGACCATGAATACTGAAAATCCTATAGCAGTGTTGGGTTTGCTTTTGTCACAAATTTATATTAGAACTAATAATAACTCAATGCTGCAATGAGATGGCGCGTCTTTATGTCTATGCCTACTGCAAGATACGGTACCGTACAACGCAAAAACAGCAAATGCCCAACAAACCAGCTTATCGCAAGACATCTGGATGTGAATAGCTACAGGAACAACCATGCGCCCAAGGTCTTTAGTTCGTAGTGTTGTGTGGAGTCAAAAATTGCTCAACGCTAGAATTATATGGAAATGAAGTTTTTTGGAGCGGGAACTCTTACACACTTGTTCACATGTTCAAAACCACCATTTTTAATAAAAATATTTAACCACGTTCTGCTAACAGGTACTGACAGCTGATTTCAGCCAAGTTTGTCGCAGCTTTTTTGATACTATTTTTCAAATATAGCATTTAAACTAAAGCTCATCAGAGAACATTAAATTATTCAATTTAAAACTTATTTTCAAAAACACAACACTCAAAACTGCGAAATCGAGCCGGTGTTTACGACGATGAAGTGTCCCAAATCATATTACAAAATGTTACATTCTTTTTTTTTCTATATTATAAATTTAATATGTCAAGCTTTTATGCATTCATGATATTTCCTTGTTGAGATGAGCGCTTTATTTGATTTATTTTTTGATTGCTATTATTAAATGCTCTCATGTAAAAGAGTCCCTAATTGTGTAATAAAATGTTCCACTCAATTTTTCTATCTTATGAAGTTAATATGCTAAGTTATTAGCTCTTTTTCATCAACCTTTGACCTACCAACGATATCTCAATACTTTTCTATTGAGATCCCTGGCCAATCTATGATGAATTAATCCATTTACTACCAATTAGTGTAAAAATCTGGATAAATGGCCTTGATTTATGAATTGTTCTATTTCTATGTACAAACACTAATATTTGATGTTTATTTTTAAAGTGTTCTGAATCATATCACAAAGTGTTATGAAATATTGAATCTTATTTATTCCTACATTAAGTCAACTGTTTTGTTTTTGCATTAACTTTCTTGATATTTTAATATCGATTGTTTGTTTATACAAAGTTTACAATGTATTGCATTTTTGAAATGCATTTTTTTGTTGTTTAAACCAAATTCTAATTTGTTTTGATGACTCAACCCATGCATCTGATTACATTGCACTAGTGTGTGTAGAATAGAACTCTACCTATATTCGCTTGTTCAAAATCCCACTTGTTATGTTTAACTTAAATTCATTCAATAAAACAAGTTACCCAAATAAGGGGTAGCTTGTCTGACCTGCTTTCCCACTTTTTTTCGTTTCGATCATTTTATATTTTGCAATATAATTTCAATTTGTGCAAAATCCCATTATTTAAAAGAATGCTTCCATAATTGAAAATAGTAAAATTATGTAAATATTGTACATAGTATAAATCGTGAGAGACATTGATATATTGACACGAACCTGTTATTTTTATGCTTATTTAATATAATTGGGTGGCAACTGACTCTGATGACCCCCAAAGGTCGTATCGTTGCCCCCCAGTCATATACCGAAAACTATTTTTCTGATATTTGTTTATGTGTGCATAAATTGTTTTCTTGGTTTGACAAAATGAAATAAACTCCCTCTCTCTCACACACTTGAGCGACTGCACTTATTGCTGATTGGTCATTGTTAACAAGGAATTCGATACTCCTGAAAACATTCATAAAAATAAATTTTGTATCAGGTAAAAAAAGAAATCGAGGGTTCAGTGGAGGCTATTGAAATACAGCAACACAATACCAGGAAATATTCGCAGTCCATTATTGCTCACGAAAATGCGTTTTGTGTGAGAGAGGAGGTTTGAAGACAATGCAGAGAGGCAGCAAGAATCATAATCTTGTATATCGTAATTAGTTCTTCCTAGTCATTAGCATTCGCGCGTTGGATGCTAGCATGGTGGTTTTTTCAAGCTGGAGCATACAAGTGGATTTGAGTTCCAGGAAATATAGTTCAAGCCTTAGGAGAGAACAGTTGAGTGGAACCTAAAGCAGTTAAGTGAAAGACGCGGCACGCGGGAAAGTCAGAACGTAAAGTAATAGAGTGAGAAGCTAACCAGCATAGTCAGGACGTAAAGTAATAGAGTGAGAAGCTAACCAGCATAGGGTTACCATATATGATAAGATGAAATCTCTGACAAAATTTTAATATGACATGTTGACCGATTTTGCAACCGAAACACTTATATGCTAAATTCGCGAAAAATCCGAAGGCAGAGCTGCCGTCGTTTTTTCGTGAGAATAGAATAAATACAGAACGAAACGAAAGAGCAAAATTGTTGCATTTGACTAAATCAAATGCAGATTGTGTCTATTAAAAATGATAGTTATGAAAATAGCACAGGGTATCGGAGTTAAGTATAGATATCGGATAAAATACAGATTACAAAATGCTGACAATTCAGATCATATGTGACATCACAATTACCTAAATGCGACGCAATCAGTGTTGCACAACAAAGACTTTAAGTGACATATTTCTGAAAAAATCGCTTACTTGGATGGATGTGCAATATCTGAAAACTCTAGGGTTTGTAGTATGGATTCACTATATTCAAAAATTCCTGACATTTAAGCACTATTTAACATTTCTCTCCGACGCAAAGTTGACGACTAAAACCCCGGAGATGTCAGGAAAAAAATAAAGCGTATGGTAACCCTAAACCAGCATGCTCTGACACAATAAATAAGCGCCAGCAATGGCGCAGCCGCCAGGGGGGGGGGGGGTCGGGGATTTTTTTGAAAGCAGAAAAAGTCGCCGATAACGCGTGTAATTGCTTTCTGCTAAAATCGCCGTATGTTTTCATCAAGGCGGCGTGTTATTTAGGCCGTAATCGCCTTCTCGTTGGTATTTATTCTTTCTAAATCACAAATTTGTGCCACGGGAACAATTATAATTATTTTATTTTTGTACTCGCACGGAATTGTGAAAACTGAAAAAGCGTGAAATTGCCTTCTGCTAAAATCGCCGATTGTTTTCATCAGTGTGTTATTTAGGCCGTAAACGCCTTTACGTCGGTATTTATTCTCTCTAAATCACAAATTTGTGCCACGATAAACATGATGATTATTTTATTTTTGTACTTTGCAAGGAATTGTGAATTCGGTGAGAGTTTATACGTTCATCGGCGGCGCGGTTCTAAACACAAATGAAGGAGTAAACTCGCGATCTAAATTTGACTGAAAATCGACAATATAAAATACTGATAACAAAACCGTAAACAATAAGCTCTAAGATTAGTTGAGTCCCGCAACAGTCTAAAAACGCTTTTCTAGTCTAAAAACGCTTTTGAAAATCGCAAAATTTCACACATTATGTTTCCTCGCTGTTTAGGAACATACCGCCATTAAAATCGAAACACGGTTAATTGTGGGTGGGATCCATTACTTTACAATTGTCGTCGAAAATTTTAGTGTTATCATTAAACAAGGTTGAAAACGCGATTTTTTCCGTTAGTGATGATATATAAGATAATTAATCTGAAGTATATCCATCAATTTTTACTCTACTGAAATAAATTTTACTCCATGAGAATTTACAATAGATTTACGGATTTTTCGAAAGCTTTTATTTTTAAAAATAATCGGAGTGGCAGCATTGCGACAAGCAATGCACATTTCAAATTTGTCGAATTTGCAAAATAGAAAAAATACGGATCAAAACAATATATAATAGGGCAGTTTACCACGCATTTTTATGCGAAATTCCGTGGTGTTTTAGAGTGGCTCTTGTTTTGTCGGCGCAACCGCATGTTAAATTGAAGACAATTAAATTAATAAACCAGGACATTTTAAATATGCACTTATCGGTCATGGATTGGTTACCTTGAGCAAGAGAAAAATCATTTTTCGTTAGAAAAGTCGGCTCTTCTAACAAGTGACGTAATCGCGGCGACTGTTCGGCGTTGATTTCGAGGCGGTGAATTTGTATATTTTATTTACTGTTATACTTCATATCTATTTTCATTGTATGAAGTAAAATTGTACTAAACGTGATTTTATATCAGATATCGAGATTTTACTAACGGCGATAACGAGGTCACAAGATTGCAAAAATACGTATCAAAATTAAATATATCAGGCAGCTTATCTCATTGTTTTATGTCCACGGCAGTAATGTTTTTATTTTGACGTAGAAAGTCGAGACCGCGAGTTGCGTTGGGGACAATAAATTTAATATATACGTAAGGGCATTTTAGAATCTCGTAGTTGTCATGAATTGAATATTTTACGCGACAGAAGCTGAAAAGGCGGCTCTATTAACGAGCGCGTGATCGCGGTGACTGTTACAGACGGCATTAGTAATTTCCTTCTATCAGACTAGTGATTCTCAAAAATAACTGGTCGTATGCAAGCCTGATTTTGAATTTTATACTCAATGTATCCAAACATAAAAAAGATAATATTGCATGCAAATAGAGACAAGGTAGTGCAATGTTCATCGATGCAAATATAATCACCAACTATCGAAAACTAATATAGATTCTCAATTGATGAGATTATCATAGCAAGACCATATCATATCTGTAAAAACAGCCAGGCTAAAATGCAGAATACAAATTATGTAATGAAGTTATGGCACTGCTTGTATGGTGTGATCTAGATGTGTGTTATCTCCTTTTTGAAGAGTTGTCCATGAGTTGCAACAGGCAAATCAGGTTGCTATCAATCAGATGTTCCGTCATGTGTACAAACCTATTCCAACATTACTATTTTTGACCGCATTGAATATTTTCTGTTTTACCGATTCCTGATTCTAAATAGATGATGGTAACAATAATTAATAATTATCTGGAATAAGTCTACGAAGAGCAACAATGATAAAATAGTCCAGTCACTAAAATAGTCCCTTTTTTAGACCCTCATTGCATGGATGTGGTCAAAGACTTCTTGTACAGCAGCAATCTCCAGTAACAAAAATAGTATTGTAATAGCACAGCCCTACACCAGTGGTTTCCAACCTTTTTTTTTCAAGGGATCAAAATTTTTTTTTAAATAAATTTGATAAAAACCTGCGGCCTACGGCTATGCTCAAATACTAAAGGGCATGTAGTACTTTCATAGTCGCAAAATTGAAGGACTTATATAAAACAAAGTAAAATTAGTAACTTTTAGGTTTAAAAACAAGCAACCCAGGAAAATCTTCAGGCGGCTCAATTTTGAGCTGTGAACCATAGGTTGAGAAACACTGCTCTATCTATACTACAGAGTGAAAAAAATCTCTGAAAAAGTAATGAGAGGCTTCCATGGAGTAATCACCGATGGCCATATATTCACAAAATTCTAGTCTAATCCACAACTACCATTAGTATTTATGTTACAATATCATAAATGAAATTGTGACTAGCCTTATACTTACTACTGATATTTTAAACTGAGGTGTTCCTAGCAGCTCAGTAAAAGCTTGAATTGATAATGAATCTAGTTGATTATTTTCAGTATAACAGATGTAAGCAGTTGCAGGAATATTTTGAAACTGACAGTGGGTGATGACTGTGAAACAAGAAAAGTGCATTAACCGTTTGTTTTTGTATGGTCTTGGTAGTACTACTGATACGAATAGTATGACGGTCTAGGCCAGGGTGATCCAAGGTTGTCAGCTCCGCGGGCCACAAAATTATTTTTGCATCGCTCGCGGGCCACAATAGTGCCAAGAATAGGTAAACAGTGCAATACAAAACAAACGCTTTTATTGTGCAAACACATGGTTATCAGACATAGCCATCCAAGGCTTATAGAATCCGCATTAGAATTTTAGTTTTCTATTGTTAGCATATATTCCCGATCCCGACCAAAACGATAGAAAGCCAGATAATAGTTTAGACTGTCAAGCACATCATTCAACTTCGCTAGTTGCCTCAACTAGCCATAACACTAGTCAATTCAGTGGCATTAGTGGCGTAACAATATGTAAAAAGATCTTTTCTGATAATTTTATTATAAAACAACACAAAAGGCTATTTTTTGATCACTCTCCGAATGTGAAGCGGGCCATAGATAATGAAGCGGCGGGCCTGGGTTTGAACCACCCTGGTCTAGGCTAAGATAAGGTAATTATAGATTGATCAATGTGGGAATTTTCATCCTTAACCTTACATTGGTTGTGGCCCTATACTTGACATAATAAATTTTTGGATTTGGAAGAAAATTTCTCAGTTAACGTACTCAATAACGTACCCAACTCTGTACATCAGGCTGAAAGATTAATCTGGCATTAATTGATAAAAGCCTATGATGACAATGTGATCAGACCGGCAACTACCTACTTGACCATTATACCCACAAATTGTATTGATTTTTGTTAGCTTCATTCATAAGTCTTGAAATCATAGCATTTTAACACAAACAAGTATTCCCTGGGAGCTACAAGAAACGTCAGTTACTGCTAAATACGAGCTAGTAAGTTATCCACGTAACGAGCTATAACCTTCCAAATAATCCTTTCTTCGAAGAGGCTTTTCAAATCATCTTGCAAGCTGTGACTCAATATGTATTATTTTTACAACCATGAATGAAAGACAACACGCTTGTGACAGAATCGGGCTCAAATAAACAAAAAAATAAATGCTTACTTGCAGCAGGTATACTTTTCATTAAATTTGGTTGTTCAAGTACAGTGAATACTGGATGATTCTTAGGTTTTGTTGTTGTTGATAGAGATCTTACAAACGGAGTATTAATTGAATTCATGTCTTCACATTTATATTCATGTATCGTGGAAGATGACAAGACGAAAACATCTTTTAACGGTTTGACCATATTGAAGAACTGAAATTGATAAAGAGTGATGGAATGTGAGATTAAAATACGACAAAAAATATTGCTAAGCAGTTCTGGATTCTCAATAAAATATTCTCAGATTCTGTAATTCTCAGATTATGTAATGCAAGAATTAATTACCTTTGCGGTCCATGGCCAAATTTGTTCTGGTGGAATATATGACTTGCAAGATACAAAAATATTCCTTCTTTGTTTATCAAATTTTTCATAGATTGTTGACACTGAAATTAAAGTATATTGTATTGTTTTATCTGAAAGTTAAACAATGACAATACTGTTTTAAATATTAAAAACTATGATAAACTATCAAAACTTAAAACATCAAAACCAATGTTGGATGCAGACATCCCCTTGAGACATAAACAGACCATCCCTTGGGATAATCATCATTTCCTCGACTGAATCAGTCAGATAAATAAATTAGATACTTTGAAGTAGTAGCGCATTAATTAGATGCAGTTATGGAATCTATATTCATGTTGTTTGGAATACTCCAATTACTGTATTTCATCTCATTTCTGAATATCCAAAACAATTTGTTTTAAAGATGAAAAATCATGCTAAATGCCAAGTTTTCCAGTAAACAATAATTTTTTACATTAGAAGTTCCAATGTATCAAATATGATTGTGATCAAGCGAATGCTGAGAGCTGCTCTGTGTGATAATCCTGTGCCAACCACTCTCGAATGGGTGGGAGATAATTATGGCCATAGGCTATATGATTGAGCAGTTCTATCGTCTCTCCTCTCCATGGGATAAATATGACCAAATTCATTAAATTGAGACCTCTAGGTGAAATGATAACATACATTTGCAACAATTTATATCCATCATAAGATTGCAATGTGTTCTTGAGTTACTTACCGATATTAGGTTGTTTTGAGATAGCTTCATAAATACAATCGTCCTCTTTTGAATTTTCAATGATTTCAACTACTTTGTTAGAATTCTGCAGGTCATAATATATTTTGAGAAAACCTAAAGAGAAATGTTAGTTCATATTTTAAAAGGCCTAGTGAATTACATCACAAATTTAACATGGTAAAATTTTGTACAATAATATTATATTAAAAAATATATAAAAACTACGGTAGAATTGTAAAAAAATAAACATGAAATAACTTACTCCATGCGACTTCTCCAGCAGCAATAATAAGATTATCACACTCTAATGCTTTCTGATCATGATCTGCAGACCATTTCAACACCAAGTCTCTAAAATAAAATATCAATAATCAATCTCGGGATAACAATTGAAAACATTATATACTGTATGTATCTAGATAATTGTTTCGCAATGCCTTTATTTTGATACATTTGTTCTTAATTTAAAACTTTGCCCAGAAGGCCAGAACATTACAAAAACAACTATTTAAAAAGCTATTACACAACCTCATAATTAACAAGTTTTCTTGCAGCGACCAAGAACAATTTTAATGGTAACAAGTCAAAAATTACAGACATTCAACGATTAATAAATTGAATCAAGATAAACCAATTTCAGTCTGATGTTCATTAACATAGAAACAGAAGAATACCAAACCTTGGTTTAGAAGCATTCTCCTCTTCCTCCTCGTCAACAGCTCTTGAAATTACTGGTAATATTTCTCCATGAAAAGTTGCCATTTTGTAACAATAAGTACCGGTATGTAATATCAATACTATTAAAAATACAACGGACGTTGAAAAACATAAAATGCAATTAATGATTATATTGGATATGTGCATACTACTAGAAGTTACTGTGTCAGGATATTGTGACATAAAACAAAAATATTTTCATTCGAGATAAAGAAATGATGTGAAAAAACATTTTTATGACCTAAAACATATTTATGGACAAATCAAGTATTTGAGATGACTTGGAATATGAGCACAGTAATACAGTAATTAAAACAAAATTCGGACAACAATTCTGTATATTATGCGCATTTAGGGTGCACAAATCTGATTTATTATTATGCAAATAGAATGCATGGCAGAAACATCTACATATTGTAAGATTTAAATAGGGGCACCTTTATGAATCTTATACTGAGATGATGTTGAATATAGACAAGATTTTTCAAACAGAAATAATACAAACACTGCTAGTATATAGGACTACATAAGAAACTGAATATTGTTGAAAAAAATACTGCGAATGTAACTTATGATTTACAATTCGTTGTTAATAATAGAAAAAATAAACAAAAACCTGGTAGTCAATACCAAAACATACAAAAACAATATAAATGTATAAAAGCATAATAATATCAAAATCAGGACATTTAAACTGTATAGAATGGCAGACCTTGAAAAAAGCAGTTTAATTAGGCAAGGATAATTTCAAGTCAAGCATGTGAAGGTGGATAGGCCTCGGTGGGTTGGGGCTTGCCATAGTGTGATACCATCAATAATAAGAAAACAAAATAGTCCAATCTTCTTCCAATCGGAGAGAGCCAATGATGAGTTAGGAATATATATTTTAGGAGTCCGACGGCATTAAATCATATAAAATATGTCATAGGAGGTTGCTCACTCAGTTGCTACTCACAGTGCCTTGAGCTTACTTTCATGGAGAAATATGATTGATGAAATTTCATCCACAAGGAAATGTAGATAGAAATAGGTGTGGCCATTTGTATCACGTCGCATGATTTAAAATAGAATATTCAGTAAAAATCATTCACATATCACAAACCAAAGAACTAATTTAATCATTTTTTATGACAATTCATGATATTTATCAATTCCGATTCATCATCCATAATCTCATTGGCATCATCAACATGCCCCAACCGGAACATGACAAGATAATAGAAAACACCCAAAGCAATTTATAAGAATCCCCAAGTCTCCATAATTCTGGCAATTTGAAAGCTTCACCTCCAACAGTAACTTGTCGAAACCCAATCGGAAATAACATTCCAACATATGATAAACATCCAATTGCTATAAACGCCATCCATCTTGCATAAATTAGTCTATCACGCTTCCAATGTGAAGATACAACAAGTAAACATGTTATCCCCAAACAGACAATTCCGGCTACTAAAAACAGTCGAGTCCCGAGCCATTCTGGTGGTAAATCTGGAGCAAAACAAGATTGCTTTCTGCCATAAATCGTTTGACATTGCATTGTTAGACCCAACGTAATATCACCAGCCCGTCCACCTGTATTAATCCAATCTGGGTGTCCAAGACTTGCAACAGCAAAAACTTCAGCAGTGACAAATAAAACTCCTGATATTATTGTTAGCTTATCCATTATGGAATACTGGAATAGCTACCTTGAGATTTTTTTATGAAAAAAAATATATATATATATATCATATATGTTTGTATAAATATATAATATCAGTATATTGCATATCTACAGATATATAACAAAACTGAATACTTAAAAATATGGGGGTTTAGTGCACCTAAATGCAGAGACACCATAACAACTTTAACGATAACCATAAATAAACGATAAATTTATAAATAAATAAAAATTCTGGCTGTTTTTTCACATCACATTTTTGTTAGCTGTTTTTTTAAGCAGTCGCGACATTTAGTTTCATGTCATATTTTTGTTTGGCATCAGGCTATTTAAGTTACGGCATTTAGCCTACTTCACTAGACTCAAATATGGTGCGACTTGCTAGGTATATTACCGGTATAGAATTTATATCTACAATTTTCAGATTTTACGATATTATCTTGCACAGTTGCTAAGCTGTTGGCTGGTCTTTGATTCAATAACTGTAAAAACTTAAATCTACATGTGAACAACTGCTTATGTCTGTATGTCCGTACGTGAGAATATGCAGCAATCCAGGATTACAATAAACCATAACGGTACCGCATACACCGTACAGAACAGTACCAGAACGGCATCTGTAGTCTACAGTTACTGATAAGGCAGTAAGGCGATAACGTTAACTCCTACCTGCATACTCACTTTGCATACCGCCAGCCGATATTATTGAACGCGTGCTATCGTCAGCGTTTTAATTTTGATTTCACATACAGGTATTATAAGTCCCCTACTGTCAGACTGTATTTTAGGTTGAACATTTAATATCACATTATATAAAAATATTCAACGATCGTTGATAAAATAAAAACAACAGCAAAAGTTTCCCACTGCGCGGCGCTGGGCAAACTCCACAACTGAGCCTTGTACTTCACGACCATTGAAATGCATGTAGCCTGATTGCTTGGTATTTATTTACGGCCAGAGTCCTTTCAGCTCCGGATTGAAAAATGCCATTTTTTAGTTTCCCATCAATCCCTAAATTTAACAGGACGATGAAGACTTATTATTATCCCATATTAAATAAAGTAAGTGTTCATTTATTTTCAAAAATATGTACTTTTTGGAAGTATTTTTTAACTCCATCTATATTCTATAATCTATGTCAGGCATGTCCTACCTTTTTAGTGTCGCGGGCCACTTTCACGTGGGGAAATTCATTGCGGGCCGCAACGTTTTTACCAAACTTAAATAGCAACCCAATTCCGATTTACATTAGAATTTGAGCGCCGCTAAATGGCTAAATTAAACGCCTGCATTGTACAGCAATTTTGCGAATTTCTGGACACAAGATGCACACAAAGACCATGGACCATGAAGACTGACCTTTCATGAAAAATGCACATACATTGGCGTAAATAATCAAAAGGAAAAATAAATAAAGTCAGCAATTTTTCTCTTCAACTAGTTCAAAACTTGCTTTTGGTTTCATTGCACAACTGTTTAATATCAACTGGTAGCTTTAATATCGCACAATGTAACTAACTGGCTAACTAAGCCTAAATTCAGGTAAGATTTGATATCATACCGGGAAATGTTATGTTAAATATGTTTATATGCTCGAATTCTTTCTGTGGGCCGCATGCTGCCCGCGAGTTAGACATCCCTGATCTACGTGATGGTAGCCTGCCCTACATCATGTTGAGCGTTGACCATTGCCGCGATGATTACCCAATGTGTGTTCGTGGATTCGAATCCCATGGTGGTCCACACAACCGATAGTCAGTTGCCCTAACCTTCACTAACCAAGTCAATTCATAACGATTGTTATAAAGTAAACTACTTTATACCAGACCAACCACAAACATGACCAGACTGAAAGCTATATGCTGCCATTTGCAATATCAATAAGCTCTCACTTCTCACTCAGCCTCGCTCCCAGAGAGATTATATTAAATACTTGACATAAAGTAAACTCCAAAATCTATTCTTCAACCCCAATCCCCCAAAAACATGGCAAAATTGTGACCATGCCAGCTGCATAAATTCTTGTTATTAATAGCTTCAATATCAACTGTTAGGTTTTATTTTTCCGTAAATTTAGAACATCGATATATCTAAGCTAAAGCAAATAGGAAAAAAAGCAATATGAAGCCAAAACTAGATGCAGCAAATTCAATATGAAAGTCTAGAATAAATAATGTGTATCATAACACTAGAAAAGCTACAAACATTTCAAAATTATAAATATTATATATAGACAGAATGGACGCAACTGTGAATTGAGACCTGGTTTTGGTCTATTCACATCAGTAGAGAAGAAGCCTGTTGTTAACTTTGAGCACTGACAAGTAGGGATTGTAATTATTGAAACATGACTTTATAGCAAACAATATACCCTTCATTAAAATAACTAAATAAACTTGCTACGACTACAACATGGATCATGAAAATACTTTAAAATTCAAAACTCCCAACACACATTCAAAGTTTGGATTACAAACCAATCTTGCACAAATTCTTCAATTTTATTTACCGATCGTTTTCTAACTTGGCTGCAGCTTTTTCAATGATATTTGCTGCTTGTCTAAGTTCATCTTCTGACATTTCCGATGAGACACACACTCTAATTGAGGGAGATTGATCTTGGAGCAGTTCTTCTTGTTCTAATCTCGCAGCGAGAGTGAGAGCAACTCCTTCTTTCATGCACTGGTAAACAAGTTAGCTTTTGTGAATGAATTTGTCAACACAGAAAATCTTACGAATTAGTCTCCCGTATACAGACCATGAGGTGACTCCCTCAAAAATTGATTGTGCGCCTAATGGATAGATCAGGTAATGCTTCATACTTTAATACTTACATTGTAAACCAGTACCAGTTTGAATAAAATACAATAACCATAAAAGACGTTTTTTGTTTAATGATATCTGTACGATAACCCTATACTCCTTAAAAATGTATTGATGAAATCTCAATTTAAGCAATTTATTGACGATGCACCTTATAACCCAATTGACTTCTGGTTCTTGTAATATGGTATTCAAAATTAAAAGATTGTGATACATTAGCATTCTAAACCATATTTTGATTATAATGAAATGAATTAAGAAAAGCACTAATCAAAGTGATACATACCATATCGACTAAACTTTCCATGTATTTTTCCTCACGTTTTCTATCTTTAAATAACTTGCAATGGAGATGAAAAACTGGTGATTCAGGATTTCCCACGACTTCAAGGCTTGGAATGCTGTGGGAAGGAAAACTGCCAATAAAATTCAAATCTTTTCCTATACCTAGCCAATTTCGCGCTTTATAATATTAAGACCATTTAAAGTCATCAAGAACAATATGAAAACATTCTACAAAATTGAACAAATTCCGTGAAAAAATATGGCATGTAAATATACTTACTTGCTTAACATTTGTTGCATAAAACTTCCATTTTTTCTCAGTATTGAGAATCTACCTAAAATGTTAAAATTGGTATAAAACACATCAATTATGTTACTACAGCCTTTTGATGTAATTTTGAATGTCTTAAATGAAAATGCGCTTCATCAGGAATTTGTCTGTAGAATAGTGTAATACTTAATTAACAACTAATTATGAAACAAATTCGATATTCTATAGTTAAAATAAAAACAGAATCTAGTATCTTCAACAGCCAGTCTTTTAAAAAGATTATTAATTATAACTTAGCATTGGAGTTACACCCTAATAACCAATATTCTATAGTCTCGGAGAATACTGATGAACTCAAGATTAGGTATAATTTTTATTCACAAAATAGAATCAGAAAAAGTATACCGGTAGTGTTGAAGTTTTAAATCAAAATAAAACAAGAAAAAGTTTATCCAAAATTAAATTTATAACAACTCAAGATTTTTGTAACATCAGCCGAAGACACAATTCTCACTTGTGTCTTCTTCCATAATATCGAGAGCTTCAATAGCAGCACAAGAAAGAAGCGGAGGAAGAGAAGCAGAAAACACATATCCTTGTCCTGATAATCTCTGATGATCAATAACATAAGTACGCCCAGCACAAAATCCTCCGATAGAAGCAAGAGAGTATTCCAGACTTCCAGCAACGAGATCTACTTTTTCAATCTTAAAAAAGTGAATGAAAATTTTCTTATTTCTTATGAATTCAATATTCTAAATCATTCCGCAGATTGGAACACTTGACAAGATTTGACACATTTGACAAGATTGTTTAGTTAATCGTCAATTTCATGGGGTTTCCTCCTCATGGAGTTTGCAACCAAGATCTTCAACTTGCAACGTCGACACTGTTAGGTGCGACTCGCCAACTATGAAGTTATTGTCCCCTCGTAAATTAATTCATAATAGTTGATAAGCTAAGGAAATGTGCACTTTATATAATTCTGCTTCGCGCAAAGTTCATAGATGATCCTTATAAGGGTCCACAATAAGGTTTTAGACTGGCCGATTATTATTCAACCTCTGGTATGGATTTTTGGTTGTTCGCAATGCTAATATTGTTACAAATAATAATCTGGTATATAAAACATTCTACCTACTAAACAGATTTTTCGTTTATATATTAAATCTTAATCCTTTATATCCATAAATTTAAACTTTAAATAAAAATGTACTATAAACTACCCCTACATACCGGTATATTAAAATGTTCTGTCACTCCACGTCCATGTTCTCCAAGTACACCGAATGAAAATGTTTCTTCAATAAAAAGTCGAACTTTATATCGATACTTAAGTTCAATAAGCTTAGGCAAAGGACAGATGTTTCCAGTGTTTGCATATATTCCTTCCACAACGATGAATTTTCGAGTGACCGATGCACGTTTGGGTTCCTTGATAAAGTAATTTATTAATTTATATGATTTTGGTGAATGAACTTGCTTTGGTAAGCCTCTTTCTTTTTGCAATTCCAAGTAGCATATAAGCACAACTCATCAAATTTTGTTTTAAATCTACATTAACACTACATGAAGGCACACATTTGGAAAAATAAACTTCCTTGCCTTAATTAAAAGATGGAATCTATCTTAAGATTTGTAGAAATCGGATAAGCGCTTAATTCAGTTCGAAACTTGAACAGGAACAATTCTCTCCAAATGCGTTTATTATATTAGTATTTTCCACTATCACATGGATAAAAAATAAACATAATAACATTCACAACTAAAAATACAATATATGAAACAGTAACAATAAGCATCAATAAACCTTCTTGTCTTTCAGTTCTTGTTCTTTTAATTTTGCTTCCAAATCTTCCATGTCATTGTGTTTAAAATATACAATCTTGCTTCGAGAAGCTTGATTTCCTTTTTGAATGGCAAAGCATACGCATTCATCTCTACAATAAAAAATTATTTCAACACAAGGTAAAGGAAAAACCTATTTTTCATTAGACACAAAAAGCAAACGGTGTAACAGATTATGAATGGCTATGATATGAAACTAAATAAGTACCAGTAATGCCATTCAGTTTCTAGAAAGACAAAGAAGTCAACATCCACTCACGCATATATAATATCTCCTCGTTTTGAGTATGCGGGTATAGCACTCGCAATAGTTGCAAATCCATAAGCATAGATAATAGCTTCTTCTGCACCAATATATTTTGCTAATCTATTTTCGAGGTCGAGATGCACATCTGAACAAATTTATTACTGACTTTATCGTAAATAGATTAGCTGCCTATTATAGTTGACCTCAAAGAAAAAAGCATCAACTTGCTAGATAATTCGACTAAGTATAATCAACACAACTACAGCATGTTTAAAAGCAATGTTTACTAAGTGACTAGGCTATACAAAAAACACATCAGTGGGTTGCGAAAAGGCTCATTGGGGGTCGCAGTCAAATCTTTCGCGACAATAACTTGTGTTAAAATGAAATATCAATCAAATTTGGAAACACCCCTGAGACCGACCATCACCGAAATTTAGCCAATACTCGAATTGTTCGAGAATATGCAAGCACATCTGTTCTCTTTATTTTTATTTAGTTTCTGAGGGCCGTAAAATTTGGCCATGCCAAGTGATTCGCAATGAAAATAGTTTGAAGAACACCGATTTAGGTAAACCAAATTTTTTCCATTTCTCATAAATAAACCAAACTCTTTCATCAATTATTAATAATATCCTTTACCATCTACTTTGTAACTTTGCTTTGAGCAAAATTCTGAGACAAATTGCATCCAAGATTGCTAGAATTTTTAATATTGAGAGAATAGGCAGTATCCCAGTCTCACTAAAATATATGACAATCAAGACCTACCAACAGTGCCATAAAATCCTCTTGGCCCACAAGATCCAACCCCATATTTTTTGATTGCATTTGTTGATTTCTCTTCTATCCTTTTATTGCCGAGAAATCCAAGAAAATTCATTGATGCTAGATTCAAACAATCGTAGCTATTGACTGTAATCCGTTTTCCAGGTTGACTGTAAAGTTTCAAAGATTGCATTATGTAACACAAAAGAAAATATGTATTTTCAAATATATGATTTGTATTCGGATTTAAGAAATCCCAAATTTCAATATTAGATAGGCCTACATTCGGTATCTCAAAGCAGGACAAAAAATAGGTTATTTTAATGAGTATAGACTCATACAGCCTCGATGAATTAAAATTCTGCCATTTTTCCATTTTGTCCTCTCGATATAGACCAGAGGTGTGCAACCCTTTCATACAGGTGGGCCAGATATAAATAAATGGGTGAACCGCGGGGTGCACTTTTATTTAACATATGCTTTCTAGTCAGGCACAAAAATTTTGGTTATTGATCTTATGACATGCGTTGTTCGCTTCGCACGAGCTCAGGTATACGCTTCGCAATGCAATGGGATTGGAATCACTTGCATGTACCAGATTAAATTAAATTAAAAATTTGTTTCGCGGGCACCACACTATTCAAAATTGGCACTTCTCCGCGGGCCGCACAATTTTTCCCTGTGGGCCGCAGGTTGCACACCTTTGATAGAGACAATAGAACCAAATAGCAAAAACATTATTGATCAGATAGGTGGTGGTTATAACACAGATGACAGATGAAATACAATATGACACACTCACGGGAAATATGTTTTCAATACCTATTGCAAGGATATTCAAAGAATAAAATATATAGATAAATTTCATGAATATTTTCGAGACAATCTCATCACAATTCAAAAAACTGACCCAGTGACAACTTTATATGGTTTGAGTGGATCTGTTAGCTTTGGTACAAGCGGTTCAGGTTGCCATTGATCAATTAATTCTTGCTTTTCTTTCTCTGTCAATGGAACTTTTTCCTCAATTTTATAACTTTTGAAAAACATTAATCTCACGATCCACAACACAAGAAGAGCTTCAATCGACAGATGGTAGAGTGGAGCCTGCAACAATATTTTTTGTCGTTGATAATAATAACTAAATACGGTTTTCAATTCATTTCAAATGATTTACGACAAAAGCCAAATCTTATATGCAGATACAGAGCTAAGCAGTGCTTCGTACACAAGAGTTTATGACAAACATCAAATTCTGAACATGGTTATGCTATTCTTTTATTTTCTGCTCTTGGGTGATAAATGTGAATACTGGAATACCAAATATGGACGTTTCGGCCCGCATATTGTTGATAAACGTATCTAGGCCCATTGCTGATACATACCTGATATAAAGCGTTCATCAAATCCACCCACATCCACTCACTCCCATCTGCACTGGTTGTTGTTGATGTTGACATATTTATTCTACTCGTTTAACGTATTTAGCCTAACTAATTTCAATGAGAGTTCGTAAAAAAAATTTTAAAAAAGGGCCACACTGTGGATTCGCAAGTTTTGAAAAAAATAAATAAATGAAGACAATATTGATAAATAATTACATACAAAAAACAAATGTCTGAATGGGAAGGTAGTTAGTTTCCCGTAAACCCAATTGTTAGTTACATTAATTCTTGTTACAACATTATTAATACTTGGTTTAGCATTTCCAAAAATAACCGCATTACGTTCCAAAGTACCGGTATGATAAGATTATATTCAATTAATGATAAAAGTGAAAAACACTGATTATTCAGATCTAGTAAAATACCTTTTTTTCACCTTATAATGGTCTATATTTAATACAACAGAAAAAACATGATCACACAGGTGCGTAAATTATACATATATTTACTATAGCTATCCAGACTTATCATCGTTTCCACTTCTTGAGCTTTATCAATATAACGAGCGTTTCCGTTATTTGTTACTACAGTACTATTAGTTATGATCGGCCGAGCCCATAATATGATCAACAACTGATTTGAGTACATTGCTCTATATTGCCATCTCGCGGTAATCCTAAATTCTTCGAATTCGAATAATTATAAGTTTATTTTGACTCCATAATTAGCATGAAAAAAAAATTAAAAATTGACTAAAACAAATAAATAAAACTGATTACAAAATCAGGAAAGCGAGCAAGTTAAGTAAGGTTTAAATCCTACAGATTTTATATTGAAAGGTGTTGTAAAAAAAAGGAGTTTATTATGATGTTTCACCAAAGAATTTCTTTTACTTCAATACCCAGCGCTAACAAGCAAAATGTCAAAGAGAGGGGCACGGTAACTATACAAAATTGCCAATTCGCGAGAATGCACCAAAATAAACATAAGAAAACTGTGCAATGGACAAAGTTCAATCCGCTTCCAATATTAGGTTTGCGTTAATAAATATAATCATTGTTTATACCGGTACCGTACAACCCAGATAATTAAACTATTGCACATGGACTCCTAGAGCATATGTAATGATTTATTTAGGTTTTGATACACCAAATAAAATCTATCCACCGGCTGTAAATATTTCGGGATTTATCGTACTTCAGTTTGTTTGCTTCGTGGTGGTTGCGTCATCCGTAGAGAGCTTCATGTGCGTCCGTATAATCTCTTGTTGGTTCAGTTTTGCACTAATTCTGTCATTCCTCAGTTAAGAGCTTACTACTGTCGCACCTCTGTATTTGAATATTTCTGTAATTATACCTGTATAAAGCCGAGAGAATCGATATTTTAGCAATTATCAAAAATTAATTATAAAACGCAGAAACGGCTGAAATAAATATAGTAGACTAGGAGTAGGACTACCACATACGGCTGTACGGTATTAAATTCAAAAAGTGAGATTTGAGAAGCAAATGAATAGCAATACTGAATAAAGAATAAACATTGTAGCTATAATTTAATGTAGTCTACTATTTGTATTGTATTCATAGTATATACTGAAATGATATTTTCTATTGTAGAAATATGAAAAATACTGAAATAATATAGATCTATTCTAAATTATGAAATTACAGAATTGACTATGGCATGTTCGAAAAACTTGCATGTCTGCATATACCATTAGATTTTTATGAGATTAATCTTGATAATTGGAATAACGAGATTGCGGTCGAAGACAAAAAAAATTAATTAGTCAATGAATCGTTGTTAATATATTATTTAAATTAATAACTCGCTAGTTATACGACATAATTCATCCAAAATCTATAGGCTTCTGGACCGAGATATGATGAACGCAGATTCAACCTCGCTTTCGTAAGATATCGCGTGTATCTAACATACAAACAAGCAAACGCAAATACCTATCAACATACTTACCGATCACGATCGATAAATAACAAACTAATAATTGTTTATCTAGTTATGATAGATATTACATAAAAACATGTCATACAGTCATATGTAGACACATTGTTTTGGTACGTTTTGTAAATTGTATGAATGATAATGCCAAGAACCCCAAATCTTATATTTTTAAATTTTTTCGATCTCTGAATTTAAGTACAATATGATATTTCTATTACAGATTATAGAAAATGGATAAAACAAAGTTAATATTGAATGCTCTGCATTTAAAAACTGCCAAACCAAAGTTTATCTGTTGCTATCGGCAAGCCAGTTCATCCAGCATTTCCGCTCTCATTGAGCCAAATTTACAATCTCATGATGTCATGGATCTTGCAAATACACAATTGTATAATAATTCTGGAAAATCATTTTTGCGGAGAAGCGAACTTAAACATGCAAAAAAGGTTGTTGTAAAGTTAGGAAGTGCTGTCTTAACGAGGGATGACAATTGCGGAATTGCACTTGGAAGACTCGCATCCATCATTGAACAGGTTGCGGAACTACAAAATTCTGGACATAAGATGATGGTAGTTACCAGCGGAGCTGTTGCATTTGGAAGGCAGAGGTTGAAACGAGAGTTAATGATGAATCAAAGCGTTAGAGAAGCAATACAACCAGCACAATTAAATGGCACAAACATGACGGATAAATTTCAACCTAGAAATCACGCAGACCCAAGAGCATGTGCAGCTGCAGGGCAAAGTGGTTTAATGGCACTTTATGAAACTATGTTTGCTCAATACAACATATCCACTGCACAAATTTTAGTTACAAAGCATGATTTTGTTGGAGAGCATAGATTTTATTTACAATCCACTCTTGAAAATCTTCTTTCTCTTTCAATAGTGCCAATCATCAATACGAATGATGCAATCGTGGCCCCTCCTGGTGTTAATCAAGACTTGGAAGGTGCCATCAGCATAAAGGATAACGATAGTTTAGCAGCGAGATTATGTGTTCAAATTTCTGCAGACTTGCTCTTATTACTCTCCAATGTTGATGGACTATATACTCACCCACCTGGTGATGAAAATTCACAACTTATCAACACATACTGTATTAGAAATAATAACGCAATTAAATATGGCGCAAAATCCACTGTAGGTCTTGGTGGAATGGATACTAAAGTACAAGCAGCTTTATGGGCCGTTCAAAGAGGTACATCTGTTCTCATTTGCAATGGTTGTAGTTCAACAGCAGCCCCAATTCTTGATAGTGTAAGGGGTAAAAATATTGGCACTTTCTTTACGGAAGTAGAAATTAACGGTGAAAGCCCGACAATTCAGGCGAATTCAGCAAGATCTGGGTCAAGAAAGCTTCAACAACTTGAATCGAACGAAAGAGCTGAAATTTTACAAAAACTAGCAGAATTGCTTGAATCAAGAAGTGATGAAATTTTGGCAGCTAATCAAGAAGATATTGAAGAAGCAACACAAAAAGGTGTTCTCTCACAAGCCATGATCGATCGTTTAAAATTGACAAACGCGAAAATTCAAAATCTTGCAGATGGTGCAAGACAAATTGCATCACAATGTCACAAATTAACTGGAAATGTGATAGCTCGTACTCAAATCGCAGATAATATGGTCGCAGAAAGAGTAGCCATCCCTATTGGAGTTTTGTTGATTATTTTTGAGTCACGACCAGACTGTCTCGCACAAATTTCAGCTCTTTCAATTGCAACTGCAAATGGTTTATTAGTTAAAGGTGGGAAAGAAGCTTCAAGATCCAATTTCTGTCTCTATACTATTGTTCAAGATGCACTGGATTTGTATGACTGCGTAGATGCCGTAAAACTTATTGATACGAGAGACGAGGTATCTGATTTACTCAAACTTGACAAGGATATTGACTTGGTTATACCAAGAGGATCGGCTGAGATGGTACAAAGCATCGCAAAATCTTCATCTAGAACTGTACCTGTTTTGGGTCATAGTGATGGTGTTTGTCACGTCTATATTGATAAAGAAAGTAACGTCGATATGGCATGTCGCGTAGTGCGAGATGCAAAATGTGACTATCCTGCAGCCTGTAACGCCATGGAAACTTTACTCGTACACAAAGATCTTATTCATACGTCTATATTCAAGGAAATCACAGATGTGTTACGAGCTGAAGGGGTTAAGATTAATTCTGGTCCGAACCTGGCTGGGCAATTATTATTCACCCCAACTGTGACAAACTCTTTAAATAAGGAATATTCGGATTTAGAATGCTGCATCGAGGTTGTGGATGATGTTACAGATGCAATTGCCCATATTCATAAGTATGGCAGCTCTCACACTGATGCTATTGTTACCAATAATGAGGAGACAGCAGAATATTTCTTGCAAAATGTGGATAGCTCTTGCGTATTTCATAATGCAAGTACACGTTTTGCTGACGGTCAACGAATGGGGTTGGGGGCTGAAGTTGGAATCAGTACAGGCCGCATTCATGCTCGAGGTCCAGTTGGGGCAGAAGGATTGCTGACGTATAAATGGATTCTCAGAGGTTCTGGTCAAACTGCACAAGATTTTGGAACAGATGGAACTTTATTCTACACTCACCAAGCTCTTCCTTTGAATTCATAATGCATAATATATCACAAAAATTTGTCTGAACACTGCACAAATTATCTGTCACTGTTAAAACTAATATACACAACAGACTTTGTGAGAGAAAAGGAGAAATAAATGATTATTTAGCTGTTGCAACTTTTCCTAGTTAAGAATGGTAATTATATTTAATTACTTATTTGATAGTGCTCTTCAAGATAGCTGAAATTATTGAGTAAAATGTGAGACAGTTGTAGAAAAAGGGTCCTTATTAATACATAAATTTCCAGCATGTAGTTTATTACCGTAATTATATTTTGTTGATCCAACATATTTAAGAAAGTTTTGTTAATCTTATATTGGAATTTTGATATTCCTACCCTAGTCATTGAATACTTGTTTAATTCACATTTGATGATCTTAATAAAATAAAGAATGTGGCTACTCCTATAAAAAAAATTGTGTAGGTATAAACCTGCCATGGGTAAGTTGTATAATTTTGGTATCCTGGGATCATGACATATACTATGTATTCTGTGTTCATAGGTTTGAATCAATTTGTTTTTTTGTTGGTGTTCCTAATTTCCTGAAATTTAATCCATGACATTGATGTAATTCTAAAAATAGTCATATCAATATATATATTTGACGCTAAAGAAAAATTAGACTGCTGCTTCATAATTGGTGTGAGTAATTGGCTTTAGGTAACGATCATGGTTGACCATTTCTAATTCATGTCTGCTTGGTCATATTTGTATTTGAAGATATATTCTTGCTATTGGGAGGAAAAACCACTGCATGCTCTTTCATATTCGGTGTTAATATTTTTGCTTTAGGTATAGATTTTGATGAATTTATTTTTTATGCAATACTGCCAAATGTGCTATTTGTGTGTTCTGTTTTTACAAGGAAACTTACTGGGAAATTGGGAAGAAACGATTTTATAAAGGTTATTTTAGGTAAATTCATCAATCAAACCCCAGCATGAGAGAGAGTTTACTATTTGAAAACGTGGTTATTATTAGTAAAAAAGTAGTGTACAGTAATTTTTTGGTGTAGATTATGGCGAAACGACCGCGTGTCATCCAATTCAACCGTCCAGCGCTACAACTCTGGACGATAAAATACCCCTTACATAGATAAACATTTATCAACTTGATAATGATAAGATAAATAGATAACATGGCGGTATTAAGATTGCACTCGTAAATCAAATTTACGTATCTAATATGATATAAATTGGTGGAATATGTTGCTAACCGTTCAACATCGCGATATTCAAACATGCTAGAAATGGACGCCTTTCTAAATTATTCTGGTAACGTGGTAAGCTATTATTATCTTGTTGGAAGAGAGCTGTCTCGCCGCCAACATTATTTATCGTCTACAATTGGCGTAATTAGCTACACGCAAAACAGGTTGCGCTTATCGTCTTGTCAAAAGGAGAGATTTTATTTCTAAAACATTGACACGCAATTTAAAACAATATCGAAAATTCGTATCTATTTCACACATTGTTTTGTGTAGGTCAGTATGCAAGATCGTCGAAGGTAGTCGAGGCTACTGACCATTTTTTACATTGTAATAAAACTGTCAGAACTGGTTGCTACAATATAAAACGGCAACGTGCCATCTTTCGTCCGAAGCGCTCCAATCTTGTTTGTAATGATATTCCATGCCAGATTTTTGGTGATTTGATAAGGTAAATATCCTTGCAATGTGCAGCAAAAACAAACAAGCTACTTTATACGCTCGTATGCAAGAAGTTGGCATACCTGGGCTGATTGATTGAAGATAAACATTCTATATTACGCACCGAAAACGCTTACCACCGTAGCCTCGACTACCATGTGTGCGCGTGAATATGTCGCCAGGGATCTCGATACACGGATGACTCACATAGGCGCCTGTGGGGTAAGTGCATCACCATATGCTTCGCCATCTCTTTCCTCTATAAATCGGGATAAAAAAAATGTACTCCAATATCTTCATTCTACTTATTTTGAGATGACGCAGTTGGGTCAAACAAATTACGGTATGGTGAAATTCATTGACACAAATGTTACCACATATTATACACTTTTCAAATGTTCACACCACAAGTGAAGAACAAGATTCACACATCTTCAATCTGCTGAAGAATTTAATAGCAACTGGATGCACTAAGACAATTTACCCCATAGCCAGCAGCCGATATGAACAGTTTTCTCAGAATTAGGAGTTACAGGTACCACATCCATCGCTAATGTGAATAAGTCTTTTCCTTCCAGCGCAAAGGGACCGATGACGAGTACAGTATTCCAAACACACAGTACATACTGCTGTACAGAATAAGTCTTTTCCTTCCAGCGCAAAGGGACCGATGACGAGTACAGTATTCCAAACACACAGTACATACTGCTGTACAGCGACGTAGATTTCATCATTGCCTAAATATTGAACGAACCTTGAACTTTTCTGCGAGAAATCACTTCAACCCAGGTCAGCAATCTACATTTTATTACATTTATTTACACACAAACATTGTTCTGAATAATGCAATTAATAACCCACACAAAATCATAACAATTGTAGAACAACAACTTCCCAGGCTAATGAAGCCAATAGTAAAACAAAGTCAAGGACCAAACGTAACGACAAAACAGACGACACATCCTGTCCAAACAAGCTGACCAGAGAACACACCAGGAAGAATTGCAAGTCGTTTCATGTACTACAACAAATGATTTGCTACATATCTTCAGTAAATCTTGAAATCACCAGCAGACTTACATCTGCAAGACAATGTAAGCATAAATAAAACGAAAAAGTGAGGCCTAAACATATGGAGGCAAAGGCCAAATGATTACAGAAACATCAACAAAACTCCAGCTCAATGTTGGAAAAATTGTACCGAATGTCATATGGAGGTGTGCCAATAAATAAGAAAAAACAGCTAAATACTGAGTGAGATCTTGCAAAAGCAAATCTAATAATCAAGTGTTACGAATACGATGAAACTTTGGAACACTGTTCATATAACCGCTGATTGGTTTCAGCTTCCTTCACCAACCAATCTGGCGCCTGGAAAGAATTACCAGTGAAAGGCATGATTTAACTTAATAAAATAAGTTGTTTCACTGATCTTTTAAAATAAATACGAAATCTTACCTCACAGAGACACAGATGCTACTGTTGAAATGGCATCAGTTTGTTGTTGAATCATATTGGCAGTTGTCTGCTGACTTGTGCTTGGCTGCTGTGATGGATTTCCAGCTGTTTGACCAGTTTGTTGTTGAGATTGTTGAGTGAATTGCTTGCCCATGCAACTACGAGCTACAGATTCAAACAACCTAAACAAATTGAAATTTCAATTATACAGTAGCATGGATTACCATCAACACAATTTTCCTATACTCGAGTTAAATAACGTGGCTGTGTGGCTCATCGTGCTAAGTGTTAGGAATACGCTCGTCATCGCACCTCTGATTATCCTGCGTGGGTTCACAGGTTCGCAACCCATGCGGGGTTAGTTATGTGCGAGAGGATTGCTGGACTCCTCGCCGCCATAGGGTGGCTCACGTAACTGTTGGTCGGTTACGGCTTCCTCTACCGCTAAGTCCATGCTTCCGAAACCAAATAACTAACTAATCCCATACCCGACATGGTGTGGTAACCGAACGGGAGGCCCTGGTTCGCCAAATAGTTTGGCTGTCTTATCGACTTTCCTCTCCTCCGGGATAAATAGGTAAATATTATCCTAACAAGGCCTCGTGCCAGTCTGTTCAGAGACAAAAAAAGTTCGAGAACTGCTGCAGTAGAATACCGGTACCACAGTCATTTTGATAGCTTAATTTTTCAGACTGTACAGTATAACATTTGATAAATCTATTCATTTAGGAAAAAAAATGTTTTCCTCATTTGTAGAAACATGGTATTGGATAAAATAGTAGAAATTGTAACATACTTTGAGATCTCAGGAGCACAATGCACAAACTCATGATTCCAGAACTTGAAATTGGGATTCTTGATCAACTCTATAAAAGTTATTAGAAGTCCCCAAGGATGAGGTCGATTAACAATCAGCCTTTCAAGTAGAACCCTGAGAGAGATATAAAGTTACTTACAATAAATGCTTCAGAACAAAACTTCTCCATTTAAACTATACCATGCGAGACCATTTCATTGGTGAGAAAATATATCACAGCTTGGCTTCATGTCATCGATATTAAAATTGAAATTGCTTTGCCAAAGCAGAATTTTTGTTTGAAGAAAGCAGGCATCTTCAATTTGATATATTTTTATGAGAATTTGATCAAAGCATAGTCATATGTCACTGAAAAGCCCTAAGCTATCATAAAAAATCTTTATCATGCTTTTTAACCGGAAGATTGAATCAGTAGGTTGACTTGATTGAAAAAAATATGTGGTGGTGAATAGATTTCAAAAATTTTTGAAAGTTTTTTTCATCTTGAGGAAACTAACAGTAAACGGATTAGAGCTCGCGGCTGAGTACTACGAATAATAATAACTCTCATGTACCAAAACCATAAACAAGCTTGAATATAGGAAAATGATTAATGATTTTTCTCTATTCATATTCTTAATTTTTGATTTTAAAAAATTAAAAAAAAGCAAAACCAACTGTGATTTCAATGTTAAGCTAACCTTGTTATCTGTTCTTGTATTGCTTCTTGATTTGCTTCAGCAAACAAATACAAGAGTGTGCAGCTGAAGTAATGAGTGTGACTGTTAGGATAACGTAACTGATTTGCAATAGCATTCAGAAATAGGTAACGCCCTGAAAAATAAAAAATGGGTATGGCTGAAGAAATTTGTTCATTTCCCATCAGAATGAATTGACTCCTGATACTGTAAATTTAGCCTAGTTACAATTCTTAATAAAAAAATTACAAAATAAAATCCTGGTCTTGATCTCGGCGGTGTTGCCCATCGCACTAAGCGCTAGGAATACACTCATCAGCCCACCTCTGAAGGTTTAAATCCCCATTTTATGTGGGAGGGGATTGCGGGACTTCTCACCGTCGTAGGGTGGTTCACATAAGTTTCATCCACACTCAAGTTCATGCATCTAAAACAAATAACTGGCTAACTAATCTTATACCCGGCATGAAATGGTAACTGGACGAGAGGCCGTGGTTCGCCATATGATTAAGCCGTATTATCAGCTTTCCTCTCCTCAACATAAAAAATATAAATCTTATCCTATATTTTAGGTACAGGTTTGTTGAAGACATGATCCCCATACATATATCATATGAAATAAAAAATAAACATTTCGTTTGAGAACAAGTTTTTCCGAGTAAAATAGAAAGAAATACAACAAATTACATTATCAGCAAGTTAATGAGAGTCTACTCTAATGAGAATGGTTAAACTAAACCTGTTAGCCAATATCACAATTATGTGTGAAATTAAACAAAATTGGATCAAAATGTTAACCATTGCAAACAACAGCTGTTGAATCACACAACTACTCTAGATTTTCAAAACTACAAGTGGGACTGTACATTGAGTTTATTCAATAAAAAAGCATATAAATAAATACAGTAGTGTACTAAATGGAGGTGATTATTTGTTACTGGGTATTTCAGTAACAGCTGTCACTTCAACCAAGGAAAATAAAAACATAAATTCCAATTCTTCAGCATAACTTGAAATGAGCTGGATTTTATATGTCTTACCCCCTCTTGAACTAGGAAAAATGGAAACTACAAAATACATATTCCAGTTTTTAACGTGGTAGTTTTCTACGGACAATTTTGACACATTTTAGTTGACTTACCCATCTTAAACCAGGAAAAATGATAATTTATAGAAAAAAAATTCTATTCTTTTAATACAGCAATTCTTGGAATAGTGACTCTTGTAGATAGAGCATAGCTCAAAATGAGCTATGTTTTCCTCTTACCTTCAGTGTCCAAATCAACAGATAAATTCTGGAATATATCCATATGTGACGAGTGTGTGATGGTGCTCATAGAAGGTGTACCACCTTTGCTATAAATATATTGTATAGCTTGTGTGCCCACGTACAACACAAGAGAATTAATGAGAGCTACGTTGTATTTCATCCCTGGTTCGTTAGATAGCTGGAAAACAGAAAGTATAGATTTTATTAGGCAATTTTCAACAGGTACAGTCATTTATAAACAACTTCATCTTTGACTCTAGAGTTACTTTTTCCGACCTTCGACCCCAGAAAAAATTCTTCCTATACTCTACCATTGCAAAATTTTTAATGCCCATTTCAAGAGTGTTTTAGGGAGTTGGTGCTTACAGACTGGTTCTTGTTACATGTTCAAAATCACAATTTAAATTCAAATTATTTAACCATATGCCGCTTGCAGGAACTGATAGCTAATTTTAGCCTAGTCTACCACAATTGTTTCGGGACTCATTTTAATTATTACAACTGAACTGAATCTCACTAGAAGACAATTCTTTAGAACTGACAAATAACACACAAAACCTTGATATTGGGCGAATGTATGTCTGAGCAGAAGAAGTGTCCGAGCAGCTGCAGGAATTGCGAATGTTACGTCATTATTTACTTATTGGTCATTGTTATAGAAATATAAAATGAAATCGATGCTCGGGAAAACTTGTCTCCCAACTGTAAAGAATTATGAATTTCCATTTTGACAATGACCCTGATTCTGGGGTCTTCAACAAATTACACCGATTCTAATATACCTGCATCGGAGACAACATTTTAAAGATTTAATGATGATAAAATTAACCACTATATACCTGTAAATTTCCTCTCAAATCAGAAAGGAAAGTGACTGGTGCCCTTGTTTTCAAATAACTGTCGAGATCTTTTCTGAAATTAGCTGGCATCACGGCAACAAAGTTAGTAAGAATACGAGGAGCACTGTTGATTTCCTGCAGCATATCAACCTACAAAAGAATTAAAACAGTATTATTACTGAATTCCCAGCCCCCTTTCAAAATTTTAGGGAAAATCAAAAAGTTGCTAATACCGCGTATCATTGCATTTCGGTAAAATCACTAAAACATTGTTTTCATCGGCGTGCCACGAGGACGATGATAATTACCAGTACTTTTTTGGCTTTTGCTCAGAACTGTGAATTCAGTTTACCAAAAGGAATTATTATACAATGAGATGCTAAAGATAAATAAAGAATAGGATCTGCAACCCAAACCAAACGCTTTGCAGACATTGTGAATCACAAAATTTTGTATGCCGGTTTGAGAATCCTAAGTTTAATAGAAATAAGTTGTTAAAAAATGATATTATAGCAAATAATCCTGAGATATTAAGCCCATCTGAACATAATATTTTGCACAAGGGTTTTACTATCATTTTACATTAGGATACATTATGATAAAGCTTTTATATTTTTCCTGTGAGAGTGGTAAAGTTCCCCTTGTCTGGAGTTCATGCCAGTATAGAAATAGTTGACCATTTATCCATTCCAAATAAAAATTCAGATAAGTGCCTAATTATCCACATTCAAACTAATGCAGGGTAATTAGCAGTGTGGCAGTGAGCATTTTCCTACCTCTCAGCTTCATTATATGTAATAGTCAAGTCTCTCGACCTACCTTTAAATTAGGTGTAAAAGGATCAGGCAATCTCATATTCCTCGGGAAAGCACTAAGAATAAGATTACGAAGTTGTATGCAGTTTGCTGGAATTACGTCACAGAATCCGTAATGATAGTCGCAAAGAAATTCTGGGAAATCGTGCAGTAGAACAAGTAGCAATCTCAATGTTCCCTGTAACGGAATCATTTTTTTCAAAAATAACACTTTAAATTTAAAATAACTTCCAATCCAATTTTTTTCAGAAAGGATGAATCATTTATTTATCATATACAACAAACAGAAACATTATTCATAGAAAAGGGACAAGTTCGCTTCAAATATGGTCGAACGTAAAACAATAACAATACAAAAAAAGAAAAAAGCAGCTGATAAAAATCTGAAAAAAAAATTTCAAGATCAAATTGAAAGATTATTGACATTTCACATGAAAATTGAATTTTTTCACAATTCCAACATAAGATGAATAAGAAAATTCTTATCGCCTTTAAGAGAACTTCTTGTTGTAAAGAACTGTGACTTCCTTGAAATGCAAAGGGCTATTAGAACTATATAGAGCAATTGTGGTGCATTATACAATATTACAAATGTGCGGAAAATATGAAATTCACATAGGCCAAGAACCCATAATATCATTCAAATTTCCATATAAATAAAACATCAAAAACAATCACTCACCCGATATAAAACTTGCATTGGTTTAGTCAATTCAACATTACGCAAGAAAGGACCAAGGAATTTAAACAAGTCGATGAGCAGTTGTGCGTACATTGGCCAACCCTGAAAAAAAAATTAATTTCTTACAAATGAGATGTCGCAACGAAACCCATGTGTTATTTCGCATGGACGGGTGTCGCCGCTGTCCATCCACGTGTAAGGCTAGCATGAAAATATAAACCGATCATTGAAAAATCGAAAATATGTTGTGTCTAATCTTGGTAGCTTGTATCTTGATCAGTTTGACTATTTTTTATGCCATTTTGATATTTTGGCAGGTGTGGCTATATGCCCTTCTAACATACATGGGGTGCATTTGTATATATAAAAGTGGAAGCTTGAACGAGAGCTTGTTTATAGTAAGACTATACAGCACCGTATAAAACATAATGTAGAATAAATTGTTTTACAAGTGATAAAATTTTTTATCTATTTCATTTATTGATAACATATCATACGTCGCAATAAATAGTAAAATTTTTTGACTCGGGTCCAATATTTGCCAAAAAAAGTTCTAGCATCTTTAATTCAAAGAAATAATTTAGTCACTACTGGTTATTGAACTATAAAGTTGACAATTATCGTATATCCGCGTATATAAGCCGAGTTGTAAACTCAACAAAAAGTTGCCAAACTGAGAGGTCGGCTTACAAGCGCATACCTCTGATCGCACTCAAATGAAATGACATGCTAACTTAATTCCAACAGCTAGAACTCAAACCATGCCAAGTTCTCATGATAAATGCAATTTGTAGGGTCGGCCCATATGCGAATTTTTATAAATTCATCAATTTAGGGCCGATTTTAGGAATCAGCTTATATGAGAGGATATACGGTAGTAATTGATTTTGCTCACTTGCACTGATTGAAAACAACAAATTTCATTTCCCAAGCCTTTTTTCATAAGGTTTGTATACATCAATTATTCACTACTCAGCCTATTTCCTTACCTGTACTGACTTTGACATTCATAAATTAGTATTTACAGGCATCTATGTTAGAACTCCTTTTCAGCCGATTAATATTTTAAGGATGCAAGACACTTCAATTTTCGAAGCAGTCCAGCATCGATAGTTATCAAACCCAAAACAAATAATCTGAGATATTCCTCAAAGAGTAGACTCACCTTTTGCTGAGGTGTTTGTAACAGCATTCTTGAAATGAACGAACGGTATGAAATCAGTTCTAACCATGCAAATGAAAATCCAGGAACTTTCGTCGGTCGAAGAATGTGATAAGTGTTTCTGAAATTAGAAAGTCATTTCAGACAAAAATATGAATAAACTCTATGAAAAATAAATTTAAAAAAATCCAGAAATTTCCATAATAGCATTCAAATACAGAAATTTCATTAGGAAACAGCAAAATCAGAGTACTCCTACATATAGAGAATAATGTAGATTCAGAATTGAGTATTTAACGCAGTGGTTCCAAAACTATATGTTGTCATGTGTTAGATCATTTCGCGTATGCTGCGAAAAATCAATCAATTTCCTAAAAATGACTTCTTATCTACTTGTTTTGAACTTGACACCAATTGATCCAAACTGTTAAAATTAATAATGAATTGCATTCATTTTGAAATTTTCCTTGTCATAATTTGATGCTAATAAAGTCAGATTCTCTCTCCAATGCATGGTGAATAATTATTACAGAATATAAATAAATCTGTCTTAAATGAAACCCAATATTGCCAATTTTTTTCTTTTAATAATACCCATGTTTAAACAGATACACTAAAAAAGTAGTACTTACGTGAAAGCTGTTAGTGTCTGGAAGTTGATCGATTCTAAAACATGTTCAGGTGCATTTAATTCGTAAAACAACATGATGAATATACGATGGTACGGCATCTGATGAAATTCGGTTTGTCTCTGGTCATGATCTTGTTGAAGAACACCGACTACAATTCCCAAAACCTAAAGAAATATTGGAGAAGATGGATTCATATGAGCAATAGAAATACAGGCGAGAAACAAGAGAGAAATGCTAAAATAAGATAAGATTTACATACTTATCCTGGGGGAGAGAAAGCCGAAGAAGAAGACTTGTAAGACTATGAAAAATTTGGAAAAAGGGCAATATTCTTCTAGCATTTCATTAATTTGATATCTATTCGTTCTTTAGTTAAAGAGAAAATCATTTTTTCGATACCTAATTCTTGGCGCTCCAGAAGTGTGTGTACTAATATGTAGGTAGGTAACTAATTTTGTTCGCCTACTTTACATCAAGTTGTATAAAGGAACTGAAATCTATGGGCAGGGTCCATATTCACTTTGCTAACACAGACAGTCCCTGAACTCGTAATAGAACCAAAATAAGGAAAATCAGAATAAAATTACGGCCTAACCCTAACCTGGTACACACACTAATGAGTATCCAATTCTCAACACCTTTCTCAACACAAGAGGTAATATAAAGATCCAGCCTTCCCTACAACTGAGTTATACAAAGTGGGAAGCAGCTTACCTTATTCAAAAGATTGATTTTCGTAACAGAGTTAGCTGCGTCTCCAGAATGTTTTACGAGTAATGTAATCAATCTAACAAAAGCATCCAATGTGTGAAAACATTTGGCACGAACCAACGTTGGATTCAGAAGTGATGGACTGATATTGGACTCCTGAAATAATATGAGAAACAATGACAATTTTAACATAAGGTAGCCAACATAGAGAACAACTAGGATTCAACAATACAATTAAAAAAATTTCACATTTTCCCACTGGACATGTTCTATTCAGTATACAAGTATGACTTCAATCGATACAAACAAAATTTATGTCAGTTATTCTTATAAGATTTGGTTGGCTCCAAAGCTAAACATGACCCCTGCGCTTCTAAAATTTTAATTTATTTTTTATGTGCCACATATAAAAATAAAAAATGCATATTAAACAAATCAGTTAATTTACTTTGATTTAAAGTAGATCATGAATGGTACGCAGCGAAGAAAGTCCGTAATTCATAGCCCATAAAAAACACTCTGTGGTCACCTAGGGGGCTAAGGGCCCTGTTTGAGAACCCCCTCAATTATACTAATAAGTATCGCACTGATAGAACATTAATAAAAGTATAAAGTTTGTATGAAGTAACACCAACCGACTGTAAATATTATAGTGAGTAGTCTGAACAAGTCAAATTCTGTCAAGATGTGGTTCAAATCACATTGGGTATCAAATTTCGAACCCACCTGTAACAGACGATACGTCAAATCTACACAGAGTTCAGTACATAAGCGGAAGAATCTAGTGATCAGGTCATCAGTACGTAATATTCCTTGTTGGTGCATCTGTAAATCGAAAGTGAAAAAATTTAAATTTTTAATTAAAATTAGGTAATAAAATTTTTTTCTTCAAACAGATCTAAAAATTTTAAAAAACAAATTGGACCATATTGATCGCTTTCCTAAAATGTTGTTCATATGTTGTTTTTGGACAGGGAAGTCTTTATTTTTTCTCAAACCAATTTAACCCTGTTCATACACTTGTATATTACTCTCTCATTATTCATGACATAAACCAGCGTTTCCCAACCAAAGAGGAATTTCTGGTTTTCGATGAGAAAATTTGTATTTGTGTGTAGTATTACAAATGTTTCTCACGTATTTATTATTATTTTAATATGCATCTATGCACACATCAGTAACCATTCAGCCTGTACAACAGCTAAGGTGCTATTTGCGTGTATCACAAGCTAATGATCCGTGGATCTTTGAGTAACGAACAAAAACAGAGTTTTCAAGCGTACTGGGGGAGGAATGAGGGATTTTAAAATGAGCCAAGGGAGGTATATAAAGAAAATTTGGGAATCACCGACAAAAACCAAACTGCATTCCTATGGGTTATTATTTACTGGCCACAAGCACAAGTAGTACGAAGTGATCTAACAATGTAAAAAATGTAATCGTACTTGTTGAACGAATGTTGAAAATCCTCTGGTTGAATCTCTTCCAGATGTTGGACTGTGATAAATATTGACCCATTCTCTCAATAAATATTCAGTTTTCTCGTTCAATCCTGGTGGATCGTCGTATTCACGAGCCTAATATTTTAAATATGACATCAGAGCACAAAATATTGTAAACCATTATAATGTAAAAACAAATAAAATGATGAAAAAATATATGTTAGCAGCACTGGAGAGGAGTTTGTAGCTCAGCTCAAAGTAAATGAAATGCGAAGTCATAGCTGGAGCCACTGTTAAAATATACTATCGCTGCGGAGATGGAGTCGAAGGTTGTGATTTTAGTAAATATGTCAGCATCATATTAAGTATATTTTTGCCTTTTTAATAAGTGAATCACACATTTACTCCATCCCGGCACTAGAGAAGAAGCCATTTAGGAATAAGTTCCTAGTGCGACTAGGTTAGCACAAATCATAATGGTTCTTATACATTCACGACAATGGCTGCCACTAACCAATTCTAAGATTCTTAAAGCAAATAGGTTCTGTACTACTCACTCTAAAAGCTCTAACTAGCTTTTTCCCTAAATTACAATTTATGTTAAACAAACTTTAAATTTATATAAATGTAAAAATTCTTTCATAAAACATAAATACGAATGAATTAGGTACCTGCGATATACCAGAATGCATCATGTGTGTCGGCCCCCCTGGTGCTTTATCGAGAATTGTGTCATAGTTCGATCGAATCATTGTGATCAGCTGTGACAATCTGTAAATAATTTTAAAAAAATGAGTTAAAAATGATAAATGTTTTTATCCAACATTTTATATTTACAATATATAACGACTATATTAGTATTATATACAGAAAAGTAATCATCAATGGTCTTGCTAAACTGTTGAATAGGACAGGATTTTCGGCGCTCTAGAAGTATGTGTACCAATATCGAGGTAACTGATTTTGTTCGACTACTTTACATTAAGTTGTGTAAAGAGACGAAAGCCTATGGGTAAGGGTATATTCACTTGGAACACAGACAGTCCCCGAAATCGTAATAGAACTAAAATAAGGAAATCGGAATAAAACTATGGCCTAACCCTAACCTGGTACACACACTACGGGAGTACCAAGAAATCTACTATGCATAAATGAATTCTTTACGCTTGTTAAAAAAAATATTTCAAAGGAAAGAATCTCACCCTTCAGGAGCTGTTCCCTGTGTGTGTGTATTGATTTTCACCAGCATTTCAATGGTATTGTACAAGTCTGATTCAGTAACAGGAGAACCTTGCTTTTCATCGAGTAGATATAATTTAACCAGTTGCATAGCAAATTGTACTGCCATGTAGTTAAGACCATTCTCCATTGACTGAAAAACGTAAAATATATATTTTGTATTACGTGAAAAAAGTAAATTAGTAATTCGGGTAGCGAAATCAGAAGAGCAGTTTGACAAAAATTTACAATTTTGTTACTCATCTAACAAATCTGATTAAAAATTAATTTCAGGTAGTCTCTGTATTTCAAAACAGTCTTCGGGACTTCTCTAAAGTTGCATTTTGAAAATATAGTGCATAGATTAGAATTAAGTTTGTCTGTATTCAAATATTTTGGTATTTCAAGATTTTTTCATTTTTTTTTTTCAAATTGCAGTAAAATCACGATTTTTATGGGAAATAAAATAGTAAAATACAGAGTAAATACAAGTAAGTACATAGTAAATACAATTGTTATTACAATAAAATCAAACAAAATTTTTCATTGTCATTACTATGAAATTGGGCGAAATATTTGGACACCCTGTATATTAAATAGCGTTAATTTTCAACAGCCTTCAACTGAACTTTTCTCAGAACTCTAGTACAGAAATTTTTTAGAATTTTCAAACCATGTATATTTATTTCAGACGTTTGTAATTTCTTTTTGTAGAAGGCTCTGTGCATTGGTCATTTGAAAGTTGATAAGATACTTCGCGTGGAAAGATCAAAACTTCTCTATTAACCTACGGGATATCCTCGCATATAAGCAGGTCCCCTAAAAACGGCCCTAAAAACGATGAATTTATAAAGATTCGAATATAAGCCGACCCTACAAATCGTAACATGCCGTACGCACCTATTACAGCAAATGGTTGCAGAAGAGAACTAATGAAAAATGATAACCATTATTGTTATGTTACTTACCGGTTATTAATAACGATAAGAAGTGTCTCAAAATCATGTCATAGCGTAAACACGCAAGCGATCGTGTGTATAACAATCAATCACATACTGTTATCGATGTCATAGCGTACTAAGCACTTCGAGTGTGTTTGACGTAAGAGCCCACACTTAGCGCGTATGAGCCGACCCTTTAGTTTGGCATTTTTTTGTTGAGTTTTGAACTCTGCTTATATTTGATGATATACAGAAGAGTTCTGAAACCCTGGGTTATTGAAATAATTTTCTATCATTCTACCTGAGCCAGATGCATATCGTATTGTTGAAGATTGACGAGATGAGTTTTGATCAACAGATCGACAGCTTCCACATTATATTTATATTCGTCTCTGTGTTCAACAAGTAATCTCGTAACGTGTTTATTCGTCCATTGGGGTCCGTACGCTCGCTGATCTTGTAAAGCTTTCATTACAAGAATGTGACATTCACGATATCTTGCAGCGACAGATTGAGCCTGTAAAACAGATAACACAATAAATGATGTGCAACCTGCATATCACATATAATTCATGTACGATTCTTCAATCAATGATGAAATAAAACTATACAATTTTCCCAAATATACTGTGAAGTTGTGGAGAATCTTTAAGATTAACACATAGAAAATTCTACCATTAGGTTTAGTCGTTACCGCCATATACATTCAGTTCCAAAACCATGACCGAGTTCTCAGCGATTGGCATGTTATCTTAAACCAGGGGTAGGCAAGGTTTTTGGGCCTGGGGCCAGAAATAGCATAGTTTGCCGATGTCAGCTTTAAACATAACAGATATGACTGTCTAATACCACTGATATAAAGCATTATGGCCGAAGCATAGTGGCATTCCGAACCGAGATGTGCAGAGAGAGTGAATAAAACTTGAAGCTACTTGAGGCATGACATCTGTGCAATACCGTTAAAATTTGTTTGCGATTGATCATTGAAGACCTGTACTTGAACAATTTGATAACAAATTGATTCAATTGAATGAATAGGTAAAAAAATTCATCATAACTACAACTGCAGCGTCATTTACCTCTTCGCTAGGTGGAAGAGTGAGTCGCTCCAGCAAACCTTCAACAGCTTTCTGTAGAAGAGCAAGTGCAGTAACAATTTCTCGAGAATTTCTTGCGTGAGCAGTCGCTTCCAGAAGATTTTGTAGTTGTGATTGCGGAAGACTATTTGGTGGAAGGCTGATTGCCTATAATGAATATCAAAATAGAGAGATTAGTCTCTTTTTTCCTCATTATTCAATAATTTTTTAGAATACAAGATTGGGAAATGAAATTAAATTTTATCGAAATTGATTGAGAATTACATTTTTGAATTAAAATGCTACAAAATGAAAGCTGAACTTCAAATCAAGAATTTTGATAATATTTAAATTCCTTATTAACATCTCCGTGTCAGTCAAAAATACTCTAGAAAGCAAAAGTGAAAAACAATAAGTCTCATGCCAAAACTGAATTCAATCGAAATCTCAACAAATTCCTTGAGCTATTGTTTAGCTCTAACATCATAATTTGATTTTAGTTTGGTTTTGGCAGCATCAGGCGGGCCAGATTTAATTACCCAACGGGCCGGATTTGGCCCGGGGGCCGTAACATAGTGTCGAAAATAGTGCACATTAGTAAATTCACAAAATACATTTACTTGACGCAAGACGTAAAGAAGACTTAGATAGAATTAAATACTGTCATTTAACCTGAATATGTTGCTCCAGTTCTCTAATGCATCTGTCGTAAACTTGAGTGATTTCATCCACCGGCCATGACTGAAGAAAATAACATTAATTTATATAAGCTGAAAAGTAAAAATCTAATACAGTGAAAAAGTGAAGTTCACAATACCTGCATTGGTTTGGCCAGAAATCCTGAAGGTTGTGAAGCATCATTGCTTGGTAAAAAGCCTGGAATGCATCTGGCAAATTCTTCATAAACTGCAGTTTGGTGTGGGGTAACACCACCCACCTATTTAAAGTAAGAAAATAATGTTTGTTTGTATGTGCCATAATAACTTAAATTGCCAGGTTTATTCACACAAGCCTAGCTCCTGGTTCTCTCAGAAACAGGAATTATAAATGTTAACGTGTGATTTGATGATATTTTGTTAACCCTTTGCATTCTTCTGTTACCAAGTAGGGTTGTTTCGTATTTTATGAAAGTACGTTTACAATACCAACAATTATTCGTGGCATTGCGTGTGACAAAATTATTTTGAAAAATTTGGAATATGCATCCCTGGTCTAATATATAGAGCACATACCTTCAATCGAATTTGTTCTGGCATACGTTCAGCTTGGTATGTCAATACAACAGAATCACAATATCGACGACCTTCTTGTCGTGCATGCTTGCGTAACTCAAATTCCTGGAAAAAAAACACAATATCAAGAGGATTTTCAAACATAAATGGGGTGGGTGCATAGATTATTGAGAAGTGAACAAGGGGGCTTAAAAAAGTTTGAGAAACACTGCTATACAGTAATAGGTTGCAGAATTGATTTGTACGGGAATTCCAAATTTATGAAAAGTAAAAAATGCCAGCCTATTTTTTGAATCAAAATTTCTTACAGTAGCCATTCGTTTGTCAATCTCCATAAATGCTTTTTCAATTGCAGTCTTCTGTATGAAGCAGCATGCTAATTCCATGTTATCTTGTGCCAGGACAGTGGCCGCTTGCTCTATTAATTCTTTCGGTTGTTGAACACCCACCTGAGAATATTGAATATATAGTTAAATTAGCTAATGTAAATGCTACACCCAAGTTTTTTGGAACGCAAATATGAAATTTCATGTTTATGTTTACTGGATTCGCTGCGAGCTACCAACCATTCACTTTTGAAAGTGCAAAATTTGGCTGTCAGATTAAAAATGCAAAGTTTTTTCTGACATCTGTGATGTAAAACTTACATATGTAAGATTCTTCTCTAACAATTTTAATTATTTTAATTTTCAAATTGTATGCAAATGAATATACATATTTGTTCACGGACTTGAACAATATTTAATAATTTTTCGCTGCTTTTTATTTGTGAGCAGATTCTTAAGACTTCATTCATCCCAAATAAATGTCTCAAAAGAGTATTTAAAACAAATGTATGAAACTTTTCAGCTTTTAGATACTGAGTTGCAATCAGAATTCTTAATTCGAGTGAGTTTTTCGATTACTTTTGAGTGGTTTATAAGTATAAGTCATAAGTTCATGATGTTTCAATCGAGTATTTGAAACATATTTTACTACTGGTAGATCATTAGCTCTGTAAAAAAAAATTGTTTAACAATAATCATAAGATACAAACTCACTCTCTGTATTGCTTGTGGCAGATTGATTTTCAAGTAATTAGTAATACTTTGAATAAGAGGTTCTCTGCATGTAATTAAAGCCATTCCTGCAGTCAGATTGCGAACCTGGGAAAATTCAAAGAAAAACATAGTAAATTCTATAAAAGTCTTATATATAATCGATAGTATCATGTGCTCGAGAAAGACTTGTGTTTATTTAAGATTTTGACAAAGATGGACATTAAAATAGAAGTTTATTAATAATGCCAAATCTGAGATGATAGGAATGTACGATATATCATACCATTTGAACAGCCTACTCCAAGAAGGGCTTGTGAATGTGATAGAGATAATGAATTTGAGTTTTAGGTTAGCTACACATGATGTGCGTCGTATAAAGAAAATGGTGACAAAATATGCCAAGATCTGCATGATAATACAGTTATACTTTTCGTGACCCAACATTTACTTACACAAGAAAAAATCACACTTTTAGAGTTTAATAATAAATACCATATGATGAGCAGCTGCTCGCATTCGAAATTCCTCTGGGTCTAAAGCAAAATCTTTCTTGACAATTTGTTCGCATGTCGTCATAGCTATTTTAATAGCACGATCCACCACTGGTTGTAATAACTCTTGGACTGCTCGTTCCACTGACATCCTGACACAACTTTTTAATGCAGCTGGGGTGATTAACGGTACCTGTATTCAAAGATAAATAAGAAAGGACTTTATCAGTAAATATTAAACATTTTTAAACTATGGCTAATAGCTGAATATGTTTACTAAAATTCCTAAGGCTTCCCCAGTTTATGGATTACCGATATGAAAAATGGCTTGTTCGAAAGAGTATTTCTTCTGCGGAGGTTAGTTTCGCTTCTGTCACGGAAACAAAATATCAATTCGGACTTTAGGTGATGCACATCACTAGGGTCAAAGCAAAACCCACAGGACAAATTTTGAGACAGACAGACAGATACACAGACAGAACAACTGAGAATAAGGGTTTCCTAGAGCGGAGATCCAATAATGGTACCAAATGTCATATGAAAGTGTGTAGTGTATCAAATGTCACATGGAAGATTACCCATGAGTTACTGAAAACAGCAAAAGTTGGGTGAAATATCAGACCCTATGGGATTTGAAAAATACAATAAAAATAATAGCCTTATAACAATTTTTCTATTTTTAAGTACAAAAAATCTGTACTAAATTATTCCATAATTTACGAAGAACAAGAGTGCCTTTTTCACAACAGCTGAATAACAACAATAATTTCCACTTAACTTCGTAGCCAATAAACAATAAAACAAAAAAATACTAACGTTTTTCAATATTTCAGGTTTCACCATCAAATGTGATTGTAGGGTAGATATGGAGTAGATATTGATATCATGCAGTGAAAACCTTGGTACTGATGAAGACATTGACAACATCTGCGGCATAGTCTGAAATATGAAAGTGAAGAATTTATATATTATTTTGCAACGACCGAATGTATCAAAGTCGACTTTCAATACCATAAATTCAAATCTGCCACTCTTGTGAGCACAACTTCGTGGCAGTTAGAGGCCTGAATATGAAATAACTGGGTGAAACCGCGGGCCGCACCTTTATTCAACATAGGTTTTCTGGTAGTTGTAGGCACAAAAATTTTGGTCGATCTTATGACATGCGTTGTCTGCTTCGCTCAAGCTCAGGTATAGGCTTAGCAGCGTAAAGGAATTGAAATTACTCGCACATACTAGATTAAACCAAATAGATAGGAAACTCGTTTCGAGGGCCGCATACCATTCAAAATTGGCACTTCTCCGCGGGCCACACAATTTTTCCTTGAGGGCCGCACTGGCCAGTGAGCTGCTGGTTGCACACCCCTGGGTTAGAGCATTAGACTTGGCAAGTTACACCTATTGGGTTCAAATCCATTGCCTGCCACCTAACCAAGGGGTCAATAGGTTGAGTATGCGATGCAGGACCGTAAGATTCCGAATCAAAAATAATAGTTCAGTACTTATGATTTGAAATCAGTGGCTGCTTGCACAGAGCCTTGTTCAGAGCAAGAAACATGAGAAACCTTTGCATATAAAAAAGTCATCTTCTGTTTTAAATTTAAAACTACTCCATATATCTAAACCAAAACGGTGGGGCGCGCACCACAAGAGAGGCGTGACTCTGATTAAAAATAAAAATGTGTGCATTAGGATGTGCATTAGCCACCACAAAACCTCGAATTAAACATCTTGTCGCCAAAAACTGACCTGAACTGATAAAACTAACAAACTTTGCTTGATTTTGAAACTTTTCATTTGTTTCATTATTCATGTTCCATACAACGTGTTTTTTGAATAAAACATACTTTTGCCTTACAATCTGTTATTTTCAGCTTATCGTTAACGAGTTATCTTTAAGGTGGGGCGCGAGACTTGACAAATTCTGAAAGGGGGCGAGGCCCAAAAAGTTTGAGAACCACTGTTCTGAGCTTATTTTCAGTCCTAAAAGCACATACCTGCCCAAACCCTTTTCCAGCAGATGTCGTACTGGGAGGCAAGCTGCCAGCAGCCGATAATGTAACGCCAGGAGGTGGAATGCTTTTTTGAACTAGATCTTGATCTAATCCGACAGATGGTGTTCCTGGTTTACTACTGTTTGTATCTTTATTGGAAGCGGATAGTTGGTAATCGATGGTATGTTTGTACGATGGATCTCGTAGATAATTTGATGGCTTTATTTCGTTGATGTCCAGTTGTAAATTTTTACATAAAACTTCGACTTCAAATTTCAAGTTGAGCTGGGATGAAATAAAAGTCAAAAATGGTAATTAATGAAAAGTAATTTTGACAATTGTAAATAATGAGTTGAAGAGAGGCTAATACTAGAGATGTACTGATACCACTAAAATAACGCTGATACCGATACGTCGATATTTCAAAAAACTATATTGATGTTTGTAATCCCGATGCAATGTGCACAGGCGCTCGAAAACTCGGTGTTCAATTCTAAAACTGATAGAGTAAAATAAATTTTCCTACTTTGCTTATCCTATCAAGCCGATACGTTGAGTTGCGTGCGCAGGATTTTGTGCCAATATAACGTCGTATTTTGTATTTTACACATTGGAAAATCCAATAATATTCGATTGATATATTTCTACATAACTACCATGTCATACTAAAATTGAAATAAACTTTGCTATTTATGCTAAACTGAATATATTTATCAAGCACTTTTTTCCATATCTTTTTCAAATGATTTACTGGTTAGAATTCAAATGATATTACCATGTAATTTCTGTTTAAAAACAAGCTAATATACTATCCAATATATATAAAAATCTCCAATACCTTTAGATCTGGTTCATTATGCAACTCCACAAGAGCTCCAATGATTGCCTCAGTCCATGGGTTTGGAAGTTTGAATACTCGACTTTTGCCAACAGATTCCAAAATTTTTGCCACGAATGGAACAACGTATAGAAGTTCCTGTGCTCCTTTCATATTTGCTTCATATAGAAGAGATTTCAAATCAATGTCCTGAAACAGGGAAATAAGGAAACTGTTTACGAAAAGTTATTATTGTGCACAATGACGTAAATTGGTATTGAGTAATAAACTTAGGACAGGATTTATATATTTATCCTGAGAGAGAGGAAAGCCGATAAGACAATTTAATCAAATGGCGAACCACGGCCTCTCGTATGGGATTAGTTAGTCAGTAATTCGTTTCAGGTGCATGGACATGATGGCGGAGGAAGCCCTAACCGATCAGCAGTTACGTGAACCACCTTACGGCGGCTGCTTTTTTTTAACTACATTAAAAACCAGCCTAGGTACTATTGTTTTATAAATAAACCGTCATTTTACATTGAATAAAATACAATAACCATGATAAATAATGAGTTTTTTTAATGAGCCTTTAACGGTAACTTGATACTCCTTGAAAGTCACGTCTTATGTATGGTCTAAACTCCAATCTAAGCAATTCATTGACGATGCGCCTCATAACCCAGTGCTCCTTATGGTTTGTAAAATGCGGTAAGTCACATTCGCCAACTCAAGTCAAATTTGATTATTCAAATGGATTGACTTGAGTGTAGAAATCTCAAATCTGGCAACCAACTTGGACCACAATATCAATTGACAACTAACCTCAAAAAGAATCGGCTTATTTTTCGGCAATGTTAGCATTCCGAGGAAATGTCCAAGATTTTTTAACAGCGATCTATCTGAGAAGTTTGCATCAATTTTATCTGACTTGAGCAAAACCTAGAAATAAAACAGCAATATTAGAACAGAGGACCAGTGCAAAAATATTTAAAAATTAAGATTTTACATATCTTCCCATTATGACATCACAACCTTGTAATAGCCTTGTTTGGGAATATGGTTACTGAGTTAATAAATATACTATGACTAAAAATACTTTGCAAAACCTGCACCTACGTAAGGTGAAAATCTTTAAATAACTATCACAAAATTGTAATTTGGTTAGAATTCCACAGCTTACATTAATTGGTGTTTATGATAGTTTCATAAGGGAAAAAGGGATTAGAATTACTCGCTCGTACCAGATGAAACTAAATTAAAAACTCATTTTAGGGACGCACACCACTCTAACTTGACAATTCTACGCGGGTAAATTTTTTCTTGTGGGCCGCATTTGCCTGTGAACAGCAGGTTGCACACCCCCGGATAGGATATAGTGAAACTATCAATATGAACGCAACCCTAATCAACTTAATCAACAGTCGGTAGTTGGCCGAAGAAAAGTATTGGAAAATTCACGCCAATCCGTAAATTCTTACGGTAATATTCCGAAACACTTCCTTATGAACTAGTTTAGTCAGTTTTGGCATTCGAAGACATTCCAGGAAATTTGAATAAAGCTGATGAAAGTTTGGTTCAATGCTGACTCTCTTCATCACAAAATATTGAGAAAGCCATGCTATATATTCATCTTCCACTACGCCTTGCATTTCTTCGCTCTGGATAGAAAAATAACAGAAATTTCAACTTGAAATTAATGATAATCAAAAAGCATTTTTTAGAACTCGGATAATCAAGTTTATTGTTTCTTTTTTCTACGAAAAGTATTATTGCAAAATTTTACGAAGTAAATTTTGGTGTTAATCACCCTTTTGCTGAAGCAAAAATAGATAATGAAAAATATTATTTTTCATCAAACTTGCTTCTTCATGACATTATGATGCTCGTCAGCCGTTGCAGGTTAAAGATCTTGGTTTCAAAGCCGGTGAATTACACAGAAATAGGAAAATTTCAGCTCTACCTAAAAGAATAACTCCTTCTATGTCAGTGGAATCTCGTAGAGTTTTGATAAAAGTAATTGTGTGGAAACTCATGACATCGCTACGGAGAAGTGGTATAATTTAATCATTTGAAATTTAAATAATCTAAACTCTAGACTGATTTCTTTAAAAAAAGTTTAAGAATTTACCTTAGCCTGTATATTAGAGCTTGAAAGGTTATTGAAGATAAAAGCAATTTTATCTTGAGCTGATTCAGGAGGTTCTGGGATTTTTTCCTCAGGAGCTTGAGCGCCGAGTAAAGTGTCGATATTTGTAGCTTTGGCAATCGATGGTTGCTGTTAAAAACAAATATATGTTAAATCAAAAAAGGTGATAAAATACAGAGAGGTAATAAATATACTTCATTTTATATTGAGTGGCTCTTACAAAACACTATAAATCCTAAAGTGTTTCTACCTCTTTTCCAATTGGCTTTGCACCAGCTGATGATGCTCTTTGTGGTTGAGGAGCAACAGCTCCAACTGTAGATGGTGGCATTCTTGTTGGAGTGAGTGAACCAGATTGAGGGGATGGTTGAGCAATTTGTTGTTGGAGTGGATTCATGCTGCTGGGTGTTAGGGAGCCGTGTGTTGTTCTCTGTGCTTTCATTGGTGGTTCTTTAGAAAGTTTGCCGTAATCAACATACTGTAATAGGTTTTAAGGATTGTAATTATAATTTATTGACCTGAAAAATAGTATGTAAATGCTTTTATTGAAATATAGTTCAGGAATTATTGACATTTTTTCAAAAAAATTTTCATTAAATTATAAAAAATGAATATTTTGAAAATATTTTATTCAAATTGGAATAATTGCAAACAACGTCGCCTTTTAAAATTCATTCTTGTATTAAAATTTATTTTAAACACTATTCATATATGGGAATGTCTTTTTCATAATGAGAATTTAGAAATAAACCAATCTTTAACAGTAATTGTGAGTTAGTTGAGAATCATGGTAACCAAGTGATCAATTAGGCCTAAACAACAAGAATATTAAAAAGAATATATCAGGGTGGACGTGGAACGATGCATATTGGAGAACCACAGTCTGAATTATACCTCCTAATAAGTGTTAAAAACATTTGTCCTCAAAATATCTTTGGCAAAATATATTACAGACTGAAGCAAAAATATACTGAACCCAGGTCATCTGATATATATATCAAAAACTTTCGAGCAAAGCGCCTTACAATACTAAAACACAAACAGAAATTCAAGAGCCAAATGAATTTTAATAATTTTTATATGAGTAATTAAGAAATTTTTTGGTTTCATTTCTTGTGTCAAGCTTATAAGGGTTGCCCACAATAGTATGAACTGGGTTGAAAAACAAAACATTTATATCACTAAAATCTATACAAAACCAAGCAAAATCAACAAAAATGTACAAACCTCTACTAGATGCGGAGGAAATTCCTTAAAATGTGGAATTCCAGCGATGTGAAGACAATACTGAGGATATTCTCTTAGTTTGTTTTTAAATCTATCCAGAGCAGCAATACCAAAGTAATACATTTTATTTGGTTGGGGTTTCCGCAACGCTTCCAAAACGTAACGTAAAGCAATGCCAAGTGCTGAAATAAATGAAAATAATGTAAGAACTAGAATACAAAACGATAATCGTAAGTGTAAGTAAGTGAGTAAGTGACATAGGCCAGCGGTTTCCAATTGAAGCATGCGACGATTTGCTAAGGGTGCGCCAAAAATTATCAGAATTATGTTAAACATAACACATATATGATTGAATATTTGAAGATGTGTTCAGAGCAGCAGACGAACACTTCTTATTAGATAAACAGGTGTGAAGTGTAACTGTTATTACTCATCGATTTTATTCGGTAAGTATGTTGATAGGTATTTGTCTGTTTGTCTGTCTGTCTGTTAGATGCACGCGATATCTCACGAAAGCGAGATTAAATCTGCTCCAGATTTTGCATGTTCATTCATCATATGTCGGACCAGAAGCCTATTGATTTAGGATGAATTATGTCGTATAATTAGCGAGTTATTAATTAATTAGTGATGGGACACAAGGTGTCACTATGGAGTAAGAGCGCTGTTTTGGGGATCCCCTAACTTTCGATCGATAAGTCTTCAGTCTCTGACCGATATTCTCGTGATGTTATGTTGTTTTGTTGACATTGTCTTTATTCTTTGGGCCCACATGTTTATAAACTTCAAAAAGCATAAATTCACATTAACGATTACAAAATTGAGTTTTATTTGAATGCAGCAATTTTTTTTCATGTAGGTGTGCCATGAGTTTTTTCCTTGATAATTTGGCGCTGCAGAAACAAAAATTTTATGAACCACTGTAGGCCATAAAATTGTTAATTGTGAATATTAAAAAAATTGAAAAATTCTGTCCTGAGATCATAACTTAAAATTAATTTCCCAGTGGAGTAGGAGGGTTGGATATTCATATTTATCATGAGAGAGAGGAAAGTCGATCAGATAGTTTAGCCATAAACTATTCTATGTATTAGCCATATATAGAATATCATTAAATTCATTCGATCAATCAATCCATCAAACATTCAATCCATATTAAAAATAAAAACAATAAAAACAATCACTCACCTAGATATGTCACCAAGTTTTTTTCAATGATTCCTCCGAACAAGCAAGCAGTGATATATAGTTCTTTATCGGGATACTGCGGAAAAAATCTGTATTCTTCAAACAAATTTCTAATCATGCAATTAAAGACTTCCCGCTCTTTTTTAATCGTCGAATCTTTGAATTTTCTCAGCAAATCTAAAATCTGGAAACAGAAATAACATCGAGTGTAATAAGTGTTGAACTACCCAGATCAAACCCCAATTCCACCAATTTTCACACAAGGTGAAAACAGGAAAAATTCCAGTTGTCAAAAAATAGGAGATTTTGTGTATCAATGGCAGCCTTATAGAGATTTGTTGATCTGAGTGATTGAAAAGGTGTCGTTAATATGAATTTGGGCATTATCAAAAAATTCAAATTGAATAAAAGTTACTTATGTAGCATTATATACGGGTTCATAACTACCATATTTCCCAGCTAATAAGTCGCTTTTCTAGCCCAATTTTTCGACTTAATTTTGGGGAGGGGGGGCTGTCTTATTGGGAAACTATTATATTTTTCTGTAGTCCGCTTATTTATCGCAGAAGTCTTCTCAAACGTGAGTTGTGTTAACCTTATATTTGGATATAAGGATCTGCCAATCATGATATTTAATTGACTTTGTACTGCCAGCTGTTATTTGTCATATTATTTTTAAAAACTCCCTTGTAATAATAACCGACTGGTGTCATGAAGCACTCCCTATTTAGGCCATTATCATTATTGGTAATTTATTAAAGAGATTCAACGGAAAACGACAGAGACAGGAAAACACAGATAACCCATGGACGTACAGTGTAGTACCGTACTAACCACACCATATTCAAAGGTTATTTCAACATTCGGGTTAATAGGTTGTTCAAATTGATTGCTGATTTTTAACTTAAAATTACCGCTTTATTGTTAAGAATAATTAATTCTGTGGGTATGATTCTACTAAACAAACATAATCTGGATCTCATATTTGATACAAAATATGCAAATAAAAAGTTAATAGCAAAATAATGATTCACGTCAGCAATGTCAGAGAAAGGCATAGAAGTAGGCAAGGACGTGACTATGTTTTTCCGCTGAGATCACAGTTACTTAAATGAATATATGAGATTGCTTTTGTGCACTTCTCACTCAAAATTAATTTTAACAGATTTGGTGACTTCATTCCTTTTTTAAGAAGTGAATTTTCAAAAAATGTATTGACATATTTCGATAGGCTCAAAAAACATATCGCAACTCTGCCCAGTTTGGGAACCACTGTTTTATCTGTTTATCATATTTATATTATCAAACATTTCATCTAGTGATAACTGATCTACTGATAAAGATAAGATAGCACCAAATAATCTCACAAAGGAATGTGTTGAAAATAAACTGAGGAAAATATATACTTACTTCATCTACAGTTAATGTTGAATCAGGAGGTTGGTTGTAAATCTTCTGAAAATAACTGTTTGCTTCATCTTCAATTTCTTTACTGAATTGTTGATTCATCTCTGGCCAAACTTGTGAAAGATCACCAGCTGAATTTGAAAAATATTAATCAGGTCAATTTCATTGTATTATAATGTAACAAAGAAAAAGTGTTATCTTCATTTCTTCGATGTACACGCCTATATTTCATAAAAATTTGAGTACTGGAAATTGCTAATTATTGGTAAAAATTAATTATTGGAAAACATTTAATCAGTTCTTACTTGCAGCGGGTTTTGCTGATTTGGCTGCAGCTTGCTGGAAGGCTTGTTGTGTTGCTGCTCCAAGAGAACCAGCTGCATTTGTTTTCTTTTGACCAAACACACCTAGTCCTGTGCCCATACCACCACCAAGACTGCCACCTAGACCCCCGCCAAGTGAAGGACCAGTACCCATACCTAAACAAAATGCGTCAAAAGGGCCAGGTTTTTTAGAAAAGCAGTCCTAAATTTTATGACTTAATTGCACTTAAGTTTGAATCAAAAAATGATAAAAAAAAGGGTCTAAAATCACAGTTAACAACCCTTGATTTACAAGTACAACGCTTTATTCACGAGTTTTAACAATTCATGATTAGTCAGTTCTCAATATATCCTAACCAGGTTTGTTGTAATTTAATCAGTAATTGTTGAAGTATTTTTACTTCATTTAATACATCTGTGAGGACGAAAACAAAATATGGTATCGATAAATTCCCTTTGCAATTTTAAGACTTTATTGACACCTATATAAGCAGTAAACATACCTCCGCTATTACCCAATCCAATTTGTTTCGATTGACCAAATAAGTCTTGTACTTTCCTATTCAACATATCTAATTTCTGACCACCGAATGAATCAAATTTTGAGGATGAAAAAGAATCCGTGGCAGAACCACTGATACTGAGACCTCCAAGTCCAGCCAAAAGTTGATTAGAAGCACCAAAACCTATAAAAAAAAATGATAAATTATATTGAAAAGGAAGGTATATCTCGTTTATTATTAGGAGATTTTCAAAATTACTTACAGCATTTTACGCTTCATCAAAATTCGGAAATTGAAATGAAATAAAACTTGAGAGAATATGAATAATAAAAGAATGCTTTTATTCATTTTCTGAAGTAAAAGCAAAGAACCTTTATACATGTCACTGCTTGATAACTAGCTTTACTTCACAGTGCCCTTCCAATAAACTAAACTTTTACATTTTTCTGCAATTGTGGCATTATTACAAGGAGAGCAGATAGTTGCTCAAAATTTCTCCATCACAAATCTACTTTTGTTTTTTTTATAAAAAATTAGTATCGTAATCAGATTTATATCGAGTTGAATGGAACTAAAAAAATACCTTGTGACATCTGGCTATCAAATCCAAGTTGAGAAGAAAACGGTCCACCACCAATTCCTTGATTTGCACTTGAATTATTTCCTGTTAACCCGAAACTATTACTTGCGAGATTTTGTCCGACAGAAGATGAAAACGCACTGTTATTTAGTTGACCAATTGTACCACTTGCACCTCCTCCTATGGGACCAATAGCTGTGCTGCGGCTTTTATCTAAAAGTGGGTTGGACGACGCTGGTAATCCTGGGGCGTTTCCTGCTGCCGATGTGCTCAACATGTTTGAAGGGGTCAAATTGGTCGCCGATAACATACTCTGATCATTAGCGGACATTCCAAACGCAGAAGATCCTGGTGGCTGTACATGTAAACTTCCTCCGAACCCAGGTAACTGAGTAGGTTCTTGTTGAGTAGATTGTTGAGTTGATGCTTGTTGTTGAGTTGGGTTTCCAGAAAATGCACCCATACCAGGTAAATCCAACTGAAAAAGTTGAATTGGGATAAAAAACAGGAACTTGGCTTAGAATGTGGAGTTTGAACATGATTTGAAATTTGGGATTATTAAAACACTTTTATAGTTAAATCTGGCAATTGAATAATTGAATAAAATAAATACGTGTGAAATTGTAATTACTCATTATATTTATAAACTTCAATGAAATTCAAGTGAAACAATGTCAAAAAAAGACCAATTCGAAAAGAAATGTGACAGCCTATGCTATATATGACTGGACAAATATTGATGGCAAGGTATTTCAACTTATTACAGTAAATAATAGTTTGTTGCATCAAATCAGAAGAACAATGTGTACTGATATAACAGAAGAAACTTGAAAGATCAATAATTTCTGAAGATCGTGAACAATAATCTAGCTATATAAATTTGGAAAAGAAAAATGCCCAGATCAGAATAGTACACTACTATAGAATCATCCATTGTCATTATTTTCTACTTCGAGGAAACTAAAACGAATATAATTTGCAGAAAATCATGCAGTAAACATAATTAAAATTTTGTCAATTTAGCAATTTTCACACAGTACTAAATCACTTTTTGAAAGTAAAACTTCACAGAATAAGTTAAAATAAAAGTGAAAAGCTACTTTGAGGAAACTATAACAGATATAATTTGAAAAAATCATGCAATATGCGAAATTACAATTTTGTCAATTTCGCAGTTTCACACATTACAACACTTTTTGCAACTAAAAATTCAAAGAATAAGTTAATCACTCTCATGAAAAAATCCTGAACTTACCGTTTTTGAAAGTGAAGTTTCAGGCAGGACGTTAGAAGCAGGTGCGGCAATAACTGATGATCCAGGTGCACCAGGTTGTCTATTGTTTCCCATAACACCAGGAGGTGCTTGTCTTGTTTTACTCATTAAACTACTGCAGTTTGCAACCATGGTGAGAATATTTTCAGAAAGAGTCTGAGACACATTCCTGGGAAAGAAAATATGATAAAAATTGAGGATCTGGCACTGACATGGGCAGACTACGACCCGTGGACCAAATCCGGCCCGCCTTATGCTGCCACAACCAAACTAAAACTTTAAAAAAATATCTAACGGAATTTATTGATATTGCGGTTAAATTTAGCTTTGGCACAAGGCTTATTGTTTTTCACTTTTGCTTTTGTAAGACTGTAAATATTGTTCATAAATTTAACTTTTTATCTCCTGGTCCAAAAACCTAGCCTACCGCTGATTTAGAGAATTAAGTCGTTAAAATTTGTAATTCTGATAGCTTGCCTTGGATCTAGAAAGGTAACTTTCCTAGTATTGTACACACAAAAGAAAAAAGGCTGAAAACCACTGCACTAGGATACAGTAGAAATCACTATTACAACAATTAGATGACACTCACCCAACACAAGCTTGCAGACAAACTAACACAGTAGCTAATGTCTCAGGTGGAAGTTGCAAGTTCTTTGGTTGACCGTCATCTTTTACACCTGGCAATGTAAGAATACAACAGTTACATTTTTTATCATTAAAAACAAAGTCGAAGTTAGAATCTGGCATTTCACTGAAGTCAGAGCCCTACTTTTAACATCCCTATCTAAAACTTTAGAATTCAAAATTGTTTTTCTCCACTAGAATTTGCCATTTTATAGCGAAATCATGAATTATGTTTTTTGTGACGTAAACGGCATATTTATAGCATGATTCAAAATCCAAGTTAATAGCAACTGAAAATTCAAGACTAAGATTCAAACTATCTATATAAAAACACCTTTCATTCAAACGAAATTTAAAAGGAAAAATTCGAAATAATAAGAATCTTGAGATTTTTCCTGTCAGTTATAAAACAATGCTAGTGGCTAGAGCAGGGGATGGTAAAGTTTCTGGACCAGGGGCCAAAATTTTTGCCAACCTAGACTGATGGGCCATTTAAGTTGTAAGCCTCGTGCCAAAACTAAATTTTCTCGCAATCTCAACAAATTTTTTGAGCTATTCTTCAGCTAAAACATCAAAACTTGGTTTTAGTTTGATTATAGCAGCATCAGGCAGGCCAGATTAAATTACCCAACAGGCCGGATTTGGCCAACGAGCCATCGTTTGCCTGTGTCAGGGCTAGAACATTAACCCAGCATCATTGAGTTAGAGATCTCAACGTCATACCCAAGCCCACCACCTTAATAAGTGTGTAACTTATGAAGTAAAATATGCAGAATTTGGAAGATTCCCAATACCTTTGATGACAGTGACTCATGGTTTTGCCAATACTTTGAATTACAGTAGGAAAAACATCAAAATTAAAACTCAGTAGAAATATTGAAGAAAAACTGTAGGTCTGTACATCCCTATTTTAAACCAAAAAAATATTCTCTTTTTTCATGTGAAATACCAATCAATTTTTCTTACCTAAAATGGATGGACATCTCCTTTTTAGGAAAGCAACACAGGCCTGGATAAAATGTTCACCATGTTCTCGGATTTTGTCCGTCAACCATTTATCCAATTTTAAATATTCCCTTCGAGATGCAAGAACGGCTAAATCGATCACAAATGCAAATGGACTTGCATTCAGCAAATGGGAAAGTGCCTGAGAAAATAAATATTAGAGCTCGACCGATATATCGGCCAACCGATATATCGGGCCGATATTGCGTGTTTGCCGATATATCATATCGGCCCAACCGGCCGATATATCTGGCCGATATATATCAGCGTTAGTCGCTTTTCCACGTTCTAAAAAATGAGTCTTTTTCCCCGGGAAATATCTGCGGCCGAGCGTTTTTTTTTTTTCACTTCTCTCATTTTGCCTCTCAATGAACAGAGAGTTTTCTTCTATATTTCTCTCTTCGTGCGGCGAAAAATCCTCGCCTTCGAATATCTTGCGTCCCCACTAGACTTGCACGTAATCGACAAAAATAAATTCCGTAATTACGGCAAAATCGATTACGTAATGACCCCGTAATTGCGATATGTTTTCACGCATTTAAACCAATCATAAAAACCATTTGAATCCACTTCTTTTCCGAATGGGACATCGAAGTTTGGTTTTCATATCACCGACAGTACTACACGCCGGCGACAGATGTTAAAGACAAATACCAAGGAGTGAATTCAAATTAAATTTATTCTGATTTTTATCTTTTGTGTTGATTTGATTTTCCTTTATCACCTTCGCAAATTAACCGTCCCAATCTTATGCGATCAATTTTATCATTACCAACACTGGTATACGGATATTTATGAAACAATAGTTGCCTTTTTTAAAATCGACTTTCGTATTGAGTAAAAATTTCGGATTTCCAAGTTATTAATCAACGACGAGCGTATTCTTTCGTTTGATTATACCTGCGCTTGCCTCGCGACGAAGACTTGTTATTGCTCCGTTTTTTACATTATCCGACTTTGCTACCTAGTTAGCATTTTGCAATATTTATTGATGCTGAATTATTGACGATATTCCGATTACCAAGCTTCATTTTATATCAAATCATTTCGCGGCCTAAATGTTATAACATTATTTGCGATAAATTCAGATCACATATCAATTATTAAGCCGGCGGTAAATTCTTACCCGTGACTCGTTGTAAATTAATGCTAATAAATTCTATTTTGTTTTTTAATGTGCTGTAATTTGTATTTATAAAAGTGATTGAGTCGGGAAAAGAAAGTAGCCTTCTCTCCCTTTGCTCCATAGCGGCGGTAAAATTCGTTTCATGTCTGTTTCACGGAGAGAAAGAAAAATACGCCTTCCGGAATTACAATCAACTATAACACATTCTTATTTATCGTTATCAGCGCCGAATAAAAAAGATACCAAATCGTGAAGACAAAAAAGTCTGTCGGTGTTAATTGCGTTACGGTGAAAACGCTCATAATAATATCGTTTTGATCGTGAAACCAAACGCTCAAACGGGGTGGCGACTTTACGTAATTTGTAACTTCCCTTCCGTAACTCGAAATAATTACGTAATTCCCTAAATTACGTGCAAGCCTAGTCCCCACCTACTACTGTATGGATCAAAATGGACTTCTATAAGCTTTTTACTGATTGCCCTTTTTCTTTTGTGCTTGGTTTTTTCAAACTTTGCCTTCTGTTTTGTGCATTAATGTGTGTTCTTATTATTTGCTGTGAAACTTTTATCAATGATGCAAGCACTGTGTAGGACTGCTTTATTTTTCAACATAAAATTTTGATTGACTGAAACTGAATTTTTCTTTCTGTTTGTATTTACTGCGGGTTCAGGTTGTAGATATCGGTATGTCGATATCGGTTATCGGTCACTAGTTGGCCGATATATCGTTATCGGTATCGGTGCCAAAAAGTGATATCGGTCGAGCTCTAATAAATATTAGAGCTTCTTATTATTTGAAGTCTTTATGCAGTCTGAATTTGAACAGATATCTTCATATATAAACGTGAGGGAGGAGAAAATACTCATATTAACATGCTCAGATCATAAAAAACTAAATTCATGAAATTTTAAACAGAATCTTTCTCTCAATTTCATATTAAATATATTTTCGGTGATCCAAAAGTGTGTGTACCAATATGGAGGTAACTCATATGGAATATGGAGGTAACTAATTTTGTTCGTCTACTTTACATCAAGTTGTGTAAAGGGACGGAGAGCCTATGGGCAGGAGGTATATTCACTTGCCTAACACAGACAGTCACCGAACTCGTGGTAGAATTAAAATCGGAAAATTGGAATAAAACTATGGCCTAACCCTAACCTGGTACCGACACTACGGGTGTACAGTGTTCAAAACCTACTGAGTACGACTAATAGCTACGCTCCCTCCCTAGTTACCTATCCATGAATGAATACATTTAACATTACCTTAAGATCCTGTGCTACATCCAATATTCTTGACAGTCTCTGTTGATCGTGCTGATCTCTCATATACCATTCAGCCATACTCAACATCACCAATTGTTTGATGGCGGGAGACTGACCCTAAATATTAGAAAAATAAATTTCTGCAACTAGATGCATAAATGCCGATTTCCAGCAATGATAGCAATTTGTTAACCTATTATTATATTTTCGTTAAAAATTTAAAAAAAATTTGTGCAAATTAAATTAAATTGAAGACAAAAAATGGATCTCATCTGTACATGGTTGTAAAAATTACTTTGCAAACAGTTTTTCTTACAAAATTTTCCTTGCAAAATTGACTGTACAAATTTCAATTGTTACATCAACATTAACTTATTGCTGATTGGTCATTGGTGATGAAATAAACTAGTCTATGATGATCTGAGAAACATCCACATATAAGGATAACAAAAATGTACATACCTGTCCATGCCAAGCATAATGTAATATGATTCCTGAATTTGGATGAAGATTGAGAAATGTTGGAAGCATATTAGAAATTAATTCTTGTCGTAATTTGTGAAACGGAGAACTGAGCTGTAATGGATTAAGCATACAATTGTAAAAGATGCAGATATCAGGGATGTCTAATGTGAATTTGATATTTTCGAATTAGGATGTAATAATGCTTGATGGGGAAAATCTAAGTGTTGACAAGGGCTAACTAAATGGTTCGACGTGACGGGTTGTGACCAGCAGGATGACTGTTGCACACCAGTTTTAAAACATTTCACTGGGCGTCTAGTTGCTCTTTTTTCTGATTCTAAATCATTTATTCAATAGTCAACTATTCGGCTATAGCCATTCCTGGCAGATATCACTTTAAGTCTAGAAAAATGACATATTATTGCGTTAAGACTCCCATATGTGCATGTTGTCGCCACCATCAAGGGATTTATCGAAACCTTCTTACGTTCGTCAAAATATTAAGATATAGGGTTGGCTATATTTGTGTCTCAGATCGAGCACAATATACACCTTTATATATATAGCTATAGATACAATTATTGGCAATCCTATTAGCAGATTTATAAACCATTAAAATTTACCTGTAGCAGAGACAACATCAATAAATCTGGGCAATGTTTCATCGGCCACATGAAAAGTGTTTTGACAGGTTCATAATGTCCATTTTGTGAAAGCTGTAGAAGACATTCAACCAAATCCAAAGATTTCCTGAAATTCAAAAAAAAAATCTAATAATCAATAAACCTGATACGACATTGTTTGGATGAGATTAGATTGCTAGATAATAAAACAAGTATTTCACAAGAATGAAAATATTTTTAATATATCAATTGTCAATGGCAATCTGTAGGGAGGTAATTGTTGAATTCACTAACTCAATTCAACTAACAGTCCAAACAGACCAAATTTATCAGATAATAGAAATCTCTGAAGAGGGCGTTAGAAGAGCATATTTGCATTTTCCAAGAGTCCAACAGAACTCACAAAATGTATTACCCAGAAAGATCATTAAAATCCGATCTAAGGAAGACAATGTTAACGACCTTAACAATCCTTTCATTACTCTAAATTTAATTGGTTGCAATAAAATCTCATAGGATTCTAATTAGTGCAAGATCACATGCTTCCAAATTTATATTGATAAAAATATTGTACTGTTGATAGAATTGTAAAGTTGAACAAATTTTTTAACAGTAATATAATACCATCAATATAATTCATTATTCAAAACCAACCAATTTAAAATTTCCTTATTTTCCTCATCCAGTGGTTGTTTCAATATGTCGACGGCACATAAATGACAAGGATGATCAGCAAAACAGAATATACCAGGATTAAGCAATGATTGTTGTATCCATGACAACTATAAACAAAATGAATAACAATATACAATATTATCATGTTTTATAATGTGATATTTTAACAAATAACAAAAATTGAAGTTCTTTGTGAACAATTTCAACATACTATTGCTACTTTTGCCAGCATGAATGTAATATATAGAAAAAAACTGAAATGAATTTTTCATATGTCAGTACGAGTAGTACTGGTATATATTTGAGTGAGAAATCTGCAAATATGTCTTAACTTAATAAATTTGGTTTACAGAATTAGGAATTAGGCTTCCGTCCCTTCACACAACTTGATAGTAGTAAAGTAGGCGAACAAATTAGTGACCTGCATATTGATACACATACTTCTGGAGCGCCCAAAAAAAGACAGAACAAATACTGGATTTTTATATAAAATTCTCAAACACATTTTTTTCAAAGAAATCTCATAATCGACCAAATCTCGTAAATTCTCAGATTCTAAATAATGAAACTCCCTCACAATACAAACCAATTCAGCAAAATTTAGTTAAGTAAATGAATAAAAGTATATAAAAACTATCTCAGACTAACCTGACCATTCGAATTCTTCCACGGTTGGTATAAAGTAGCCGTAGGAAATAGATCTTTGGGTGGAATTCCAAAAGTTATTGCTTTGACAACCAGAAGAAGTGCTTGTGCATTGTTGATGATAAAACTAGGATAATCCAACTCTTTCATAACATTTTGAAAACTCAAATTTGGGTTCTGATAATGAAAAGAATTCATAAATATAAATCAATTCATCACATAGATAGCAATTAAAACCCATAATCAGGAAAAGTGTTTCAACGTCTGAACTCCGAACGACAAAACAACAAAACCCAACAAGGAGTAAATATATAACAGTTGCAAAATCTGAATATAATATTCCTCAAATAACATGCTTACCAAATCTTTCACAGCTTGTACAAAAGCCTCAACATTCCACGAATTAGATGACTCGTTTTTATCCTTCGAGTCGGACCAAGTTCCACCTCCTGACAGGGACTGGAATCATTCAAAACAATACTTTAGTTTTTGAAAAAATTACACGGAATTTAACTGAATTCAGTAAATCATTATATTTCATTTTGGAATTCATTATATTGGGATTATTTGCCTCCAAATATAGTAAATACACAAACCTGCAAAGGAGGAATATTGTCTAATGGTTCTGATATAGTACTGGCCATCATCCCAAGCACCCGAGCAACCTGACTTGCATTGACAGTGACGCCATATTGAACCAGAATTTTGCGACATTCCTCGACACTATCACAAAAATATTTTTCTTTCAGTCAACAAATTACATAGTATGATCAAATAAACAAATTAGTAACCGAATAACTATAATCTGAAAACAGATAATTTAATTTCTGGATAAAATATCAGACATAAATCTGGGAATTCTGTTATTAGACAGCAATGGAAGATGAGCTCCGTTTAAAAAAAAATTATTTTTCCACAAGTTTTTGAATGAATTTCTGTAAATTGTCGGATTTAAATTATTTGACTAAAAAATACAACTTTCCAAAAAAGGACCATGGTACATTTCAGCGCATCCGATCCGTTTATAAAGCAAGTTCATGCAAACAGTGGAGACATACTTAGAACTGAGGAAAATTACCCTCGCAAACTCACTCAAAAATGAAGGAGATACATGTCTGAGTAAGTTACCTTGAACATGATGAATATCCTATTTCTCTAATGACATCTGCCATAAATGCTCTTGCTTTATGAATACTTCCAGTAGATTCAGTCAACACTGAATTACCCTCGCAAACTCACTCAAAAATGAAGGAGATACATGTCTGAGTAAGTTACCTTGAACATGATGAATATCCTATTTCTCTAATGACATCTGCCATAAATGCTCTTGCTTTATGAATACTTCCAGTAGATTCAGTCAACAATCGATCCATATGTAAATCTTCTTTCTCCCGATAAAGCAATGGTAATAGTACGATTGGACAACGATCAATGGGGAAATCTGAGAAAAGAATGGATAGAACCTGAATTTTAGTAAGATACTTAATTTGTAAATCATAGCAATAATGAAATAAGGAATTATGGTATTAAAAAATCAAAAACTTCTAATAATAACAACTAATTCCGAAAGAAAATTTATAGCTAATAAAAGGAATGATTTTTAACCACAAGGGGGTCTTAGACAATTTTGAGGGGTTGTGAAGTCAATTAAAAATAAAATATTTGTTAGATTTAATCTTTAATCTTACTATTTGTTATTTGTAACTTATTGTTAGCTAGCTATTTTTGAGGTGGGGCGTGAGAATTGACAACTTTTAAAAAGGGGGCGTGGCTTAAAAAGTTTCAGAACCACTTTTCTATTTAGTCTCGATCTCAAATGGCAGCGGTAACTAGAAAAGAACCGCAGAAATTTCCCAACACATTGGAGAAATACAACAACTCATTCATATCTTGGATGGCCATATGTATCAAAAAATTCACAAACCATAATTCTGATCTAGATTCTGGTTATCACTTTTAAGTCAGCGTGTTTGATAAACTTGCTTTTCATAGATTTTTTATTACATTTGTCAACAGCAAAAATATTAGTATTCATATCGGCAATTTGTGATTCAGAAGGACCTTATCATCTCCTAATGGTTAATTCTTATTAAATATATGAATTTACTTACTAGATCTGAGAGTGGCAAGAAAAGCTTGCTTTTTATCAGGTGAAACAATTCCAGAGCTATCTTTGGCAAGATAACTAAGAAGTAAGTGCAGTACTTCGATGGCAGTGTCTTGCAGGCCAATGTCCTGGAGATAAAAAGTTATACAGAATACCAAAAGTTTTTTTTATAAGTACAAAGGTGTAATTTGGCCACTATAATGTCAGAATAATTACACCCAAATTTTAATCAAATAACTGTACCAACGTCATATGAAATGTTGAAAGAATTGTACTAAATCATAAAAAATAAAAAACAATAGGCTTCTTCCTCGGGTACAGAAACTTTGAAATTGATTCACTTATCATTTGCTAAAAAAACGATATCTTTACAGCAGCAGAGACAACAATTTAGCATAATAATTCATAGGTAAACTTCTTGTCCTATATTACCCTACTTGAAGTGACAGAAAATTCTAGACATGTATCATAATTCAATTATTAAACTGAAATTCAAAATTTGACAAAGAAAATTATAAAAAGAATAATCATACAAACCTGTGAATTGCTCCCTCTTCCACTAACTTTAACGCTTTCCAAATGTAATCGGATTAATTCAGGCAACTGAGTTTTAATTGCTTCAGTAGCTGAAAAATAACAAGCGAAAATGTCATTTATCCTGAAGAAAACCAATAAGATGACTTGAACATATGGCACGGACTCTTGCCTGGCATGGGTGTTCATGTCAGATAAGGAAATAGTCAGTCAGTTATTTGAATAAAATTGATGGTGGAGGAAGCCGTAACCGACTAGTGGTTAGGTGAACCACTCTACGAGTCCAGCAATCCTCCCACATGTAATTATCCCCACAAGATTTTACCCAGTGACATCGCGTAAGGTAATCAGTGTGTGTTCCTCGCACTTATACTTAACACAATGCACCAACATGTTTGATGAGACACAAAAATGGCCTAAATTCAATTAACTTACACGAATAGTAAACTTGTTTGCCAGGTATTTCTGCCTAACTAATGTAGAAGTTTTTATTCAATTCTTTGAACTCATACCTTGTTTTCGAACTTCCTGAATGCTCGAATGTTGCAGAGCGATTGCAAAAGTCACTTCTTGTACTTTTGTGAACTTTAAAACACGGCTGATATTGGTAAGTAGAGAGTCAGAAGGTACCAATGATTTTTGATGAGAGAAGGGACTGTCAACTGAGTGACAGAGAATTGAAATGAAACCTGGTTTTGTAGCTAAAGTGCTGCACTGCAATATTAATAGTTGAGTCTGAAAGTAAACAAATTTATAAATGTATGTAGAATTATAAATGTATGTAAAGAGTTGGGGTCTCGTGTAGTTTCTTACCTCCGATACTTCTAGTGGGTGTAGCATAACGATTTTTTGCACATGTCAATTCCAACTCCTACGTGACTACGCAATCCAAAAATTACATCACGACGATGTCACAATCACGCCATAGAGCTTGCCGAAGTATACCTACGATCGAGCGAAATGGCACCTGAGCTGACAATGCAAAACCCACTAACGGCAGCGAACTCTCTCATATCGGGATCGTAGTAATAAAAAAACGAAGAAATAGCTTGCTCGGTTTCAGGTGATCATCTGCTCGTCTTGGATGACAGTTTGTATAGTTTGCAGGGTCTTACACGTCACTGTGAAGCCGTCGTGACGTTATTTTTGGATGACGCAGTCAGGTTGGGATTGGCATTGACATATGCAAAAATTGCTATGCTACGCCAACTAGAAGTACTTGAGGTACGTAACTACACTAGACCCAAGAGTTGTTGGCTCCTGTTTGAAAAAATTGAGAGTATACAAAACAAAAAAATACTACATATTATGCAGCCCATCAAATTAAAACTGTTAGCAAATATTAAAATAGCAAGCAGCAATTACCATGAGTAGAGATATTGATCTGTATGTCTTAAAATTAAATATTATTAAAGCATGTTAGGAGTCAAATTGATTGATCCAAATGAAATATTGTGAACCACATATCCTATGTCTATTTCTAAATGTTGCCCATTTCATGGGTGTGGTACCCTGCACACCAAATTGAATGAGTCCAGCAATGCTGAGAATTTAAATGAGTCCAAATTTAGCAAGTACTGGTGTTCAGTCCAACCAATTGAATATTAAAACAGTCTGAACACATTACTGTTATATATAAGTACAAATTGACCATAAAGACTACATGAGTCTGTGATGATAAAAAATCACACCGACTAAATTACCGGTAGTCAGGATTACCATTCAACTGTTACTAAATTACCTGATGATAATCTTTTCCGTTACTTTTACCATCCCCACCAAAATCAATGGATGAAAAAAGACAGCGGAATAAATGACGATCTGCTTCTGGGCCGTGTCTTTCAGTAAGCTACAAAAAGATTGATCAGAAAATGCATGAATCAAAATTAAACAAAAACGATCAGTATATTGGTAAATCGATGATCAGATTGAACAAATCTTACTTGTAGTATTTCTTGCACACCAGACTTATAATTTTTCTTGCTCAAATTCGCCACAAGGTAGCTGATATGCGATAATGCTAAAGACAAGGAATCAAGATTCATCGCTGCATCGGGGCAACATATCCCCAAATCCCGCGATATCGCAACCTCACACGCCGGATACCCAAGCTTTGATCCGGAAATTCCTTCCTCAGATTGAAGAAGAGAGACACACAATACCAGAATAGGCAGTTAAATGACAATCAATCCAACAGCAATGGTATTTTGTTGATAAGAATATAAGATTCACAATTCAGCAATTAGGTGTTATATATCATTAGGCATTTAAACATTCATCATAGAATTAATATAAGATATGAACACAAAGGGATAGGAATTAGATAAATTAGTTTAAACACCTGCTTACAGTGACAGCTGACCTCTCAGAAAAATCAACAATGATTTTAAACATGGCATAAGAGTACATGATTTACATATCCATCCGAGGGCTGGAGGGGAAAGTAAATTTGGCGCGGCGGTGTGGCTCAACGGGCTAAGCGTTAGGAATACGCTCGCCACCGCACCTCTAACTACTCTGCGTGGGTTCGCAGGTTCGAAACGCCGTCTTATCGGCTTTCCTCTCCCCTCGGGATAAATATGTAAATCCTATCTTATACAGTAAATCTAATCCCATACCCGACTTGGAATGGTAACTGGACGAGAGGCCGTGGTTCGCTATATGGATACGCCGTCTTATCGTCTTTCCTCTCCCCTCGGGATAAATATGTAAATCCTATCTTATCCTATAAGATGACTAAATAGCACCGTGAACTACAGCTATCCCCACCAAATTACCACTCCATTTCAAGTACAAGATCATATTTTGAGATCATAGCAAATTTGTGGTCATAACTTCAATCTGTCAATACCCTATCCAATGTCCTAAAATGAGAAACAGGTGCTGCCAGTTTGATTACTATCCAATCTCAATTTGGCAGACCCTTCATCGAGTACATACCGGTAATATATAATATGTAAATATTATAATATACTGATATCCCAAATATACTGATATAAGGTTAACAGGAATCAAGTTTGAGAAGACTAGTGCAAAAAATAAAATATGCATAGTCGCCCAATAACTGAATAAGATTTTTTTAACCCTCGTACAACTGGACAAGCAAATTTATTTAACAACGTTATTCCTGTATTACCAGATTCCTGTATTCATAAGTTACTACTGTCATTTGTCATTTTTAGGGCCAGGGGTACATGTTTTAAATGAATATATATATTTCTAAGAAAAAAAATTGATAATTCTCACTTGGTATCTTACTGCAGTCTCACTTGAATTAATTGAAAAGCATGAATGAGTGCAGACGAAATTAACAAAAATTCGAGTGTTAGGGGTTCAACGTTTTTAAAAGTATTAAATGTTGTAAATCAGCATAATATTTTTTCCTGATCTGGCTCCTATTGCGGGATCATTACCATCCAAAACCAGTATGAATTGACTAACGAAACTCAGCCTGAAAGTCCGCGGACAGCTATCTGCCTGAGGAACAATAGCGAGCTACCGCACATTTCCTATGGCGTGGAACCATAATCAACTGCTGCGCGACAAGTGATTGTCGAACAAGCGGTTGTTCTACACATGATGGCGTGCACATAGTCTCACGATTAGTAAGTAAGAAAGTTTATTTCGATTTTCCTTTACCACAAAACAAAGAAGCAACACAGGAAAAACAAATAAATATTCGAAAATAAGCAAATCTAGCAAAACTATTCAAGACGTGCTCACGTGCCCACTTCACTCAAAACCAAAGTTACTAGTAGTCAACTAATCACTTCGCCTCAAACAACAAACAACTAATTTTAAAAAAGTACGGGGAAGATAATTCGGACGTAAATACTTGGGTGTGGAACTTGAACATAGGTCGCAATTACTACTACAGTATATTTACTGTAATGTGATTCTGAACGCGCGTATCTAATAGTGGGCGATAAACAACAATAATAAAAGCAGCGTAAAAGTAAACGACAACAAACGAAGTAAAATATAACAAGAGCATTCCATGCTCTGGCGTTCCAACTTAATAGTTAGAATCCATGTGCTTTGTGAACTTGTGCTGTGCAAACATTGAGGTGTATATAACACCTCAATGTGTGGAAACTGTTTATGGTTTCCCGTAACTTAAACGTACCCAGACTCCACTACGCAAGAGATTGCCGAAAGTTATACTTCGATATAAAATCAAATAAGTAACAATGTTGGGCCGAGATGAATCTCTGGAAAATGCATCATGAGAAATCAATTAAAAGATGTGCTATAGGCTAAAATATAAATATATACGCTTCAATGAAAGCCGAATTCGTGTATCTGGCTTCATCACTTGAATGCATACATAACGCACATGCAGAAATTGAAGATAAGACTTCGCGTGGGGATGTGGCTAATTAGACTGCCGATTATTCTTAAGCTGTTTAGTAGATTTCAAAAAAAAATTTAGATCTTTGAATATCATTGGTTGGGAATTAGCGACGTAGCGTACTTGAAAACATTTCCTATCGGCTGAATGTGGCTCCATTTAGCCTACCGTATTTGCTCGTTTAATAGCCCGGGCGCTTATTTTTTTTAACATACTCACTAACCGGGCCCTTATTCAAACCGGCCCTTATTCAAGCAGGGGCGATTGTTACATTTAAAGTAAAATTACACACAAAAATACCGGTAGATAAGATCGATCGTTACAATAATTAATACCGTATATTGTCATTTCCAGTTCTCAAGTATGATTTAAACGAGAATAATGAAAATTTTGACTTTTCCTACGCACCGCAGGTACAAATCCGCAAAAAAAAACTGTTACACCGGGCGGGTATTCAAGCACCAGCCTTTATTTATTTTTATGTCCTGTTCACACGGGCGGCTATTCAAACGGGCCCTTAATCAAGACCGGATGTTAAAACGAGCATTTACGGTACTTTATAAGAAAAGGAAAGTTTTTAAAAATTCCGAGAAAAAAATTTAAATCAGGTGCCGGCACACAGCATTTCTACTATTTGGATCTGAAATGTTCTGCTTTTGCGTAACTTTCGTTAATTTTTACTTTTATAGTCGTTTTCTGTCCTAGTGCATTCAGGCCTACAACAAATTCGTCTCCAAATTTGTTAAAATAAAATTTAGCACCAACTTTAAAACTTGAAATGTGGCTCACGATCCACAATCTGCACCGACAACCTTTTGCTTTGTTTATGTGCTGCATCAATGACATTAAACAACATGATGCGCAACTCCGGCATTTTTGTCCGAAGATCGTATTCGATAGCACGCTCCAATGCACATACTTGACGAGACGAAAACGAGCGGATGTGTGCTGCTTTCGAAGCGTAGCACGAATGGTGTTCGTGCCTGCTTTGACAGTTGTTGTCGATTTTAATGATATTTTTGAAAGTTGGGGTAAAAAGAAATCGGTAAAAGGTAAGGTGAATACTATTGTTGTATATCACACCCGGGCATCGCACTGTTAAGTACATGTGGGAAAGCCAGCCTTTGTCAAATACTACGAAGTTATTAATTCAGTACGGTACGTAGTTGCCCATTTGCCGAAATTACATATTTACTTACCCCTTATGATTTCAAATAGTTCATGCACCTCCAGTTAGATTTTTTTAATCAGTGAGGATATATACTCATTGTTGATTGCTGCTCATTGTAACATACTATTACGCATTCACTTTTATTTGCGTATTGAATCAAAGTGTTAACAAGTTCACCTAACATTTCACTCATACCGGTCTATATTGTATAGTCTGATTTCTCAAGTATTTGGAGCCACGAATGCTTGTAATTTTCTGACTAAACCCTTTTATTAGTTGGTTTATATACCAAATTCAGTAAAATATTTTTTAAATAAAAAATGAGATATTGGATTTATTAGCTTTTCTATTCTGAATCATATAGACTGCTTTATTTATTCTTAACAAAATTAATAAATCTCCTCTCTTTCTTCAGATGTGAAAGTTGTGGACAAACCTGTCTAAGCATTGTGAGACTCTTGCAGCACAAGAGGCAATAGCAGAAATAGTAAGTATATCAATCAAGAAATTAAGCCGACATAAAGCAAAACTTTCAACTATTCGTCTAATCTCAATTTCCTATTATTTATTCACAGGACAACTATAGCAGACGGGGAGATATCAGAAGTCTGGCGACATATCAGTGACAGTGTGATTCCAAGAAATATAATGCAATTGTAATTAGAAATTTGCAATAGAAAAACAACCTATGGAGGCATGCAAAGACATTTGACCCTCCGGTAGAGTTGTGTATGGCCCCCACATCCTGCAGGGCTTGAGGAAAATAACTAAAAATTCCAAAGCGTAAGATTGCATAAGCGGTCTTATTTGTAAAAAGGCACAAAACACGCCAGACATACTTAAAACAGCTTTGGAAATGAGGATTACGGGTACCTCACTGCACCTGTGTTATATTTGGTTCATCAACTTTTGGTAGTACTATAGAAGAAATTCTGGAAGGGGTATAATCATCATTCATGATAAAATACTATCATATATTTTTTGAACAACTTCAATCTAGACCAGGGATCTCAAACTCGCGGCCCCAGAGAACTTCCAGTGCGGCCCTCGAACGCTTAACAATAATTGTAATAGTATTTTGGAAGTTTTTTTTTTTATCTAAATGTAATAGATTTTTCAAACCTTCTAAAGTGAAATTGATTATTCACACAGAAAACAATTTACTGAAAGTAGTTTTGGAATATTAATTTTTTTGTCCACATTTTGACCCAATTAAGAATACACATCAAGCTAGCAAAAGAATACTTGAATAAAACACTTGAGTAATTAAATTAAACGCAAAGTACATGAAGAAGGTGGCATTTTCGAAGAAGATGGGGAGTTGTAACATTTCTGCTCTTCACAAAATTCTGAAGCACATTGTTTAATTTGTCATATTTCCATCAATACAATCAAAAAACACAATAAGCTCAGCAGTCAATATGACAAATTCGAAGACCAACTTCGAACAGAAAATTTCCATGTGTTTGTATATTAATATAATTATACAACGACTTAGTTACTAAAAATCAATATCAATAATAATTCAAGCAATCCTATGCCACGCAATGTAGTGCGAAATGTCTTGTCGAAAAAAATCTGTCATTTGTTTTTTTACTGATCTATACATGAAATGATAAAAGTAACTTTTTTGCATTACTGGAATTAATTAAACATTCGTAAAGATCCAGATAAACCCATGATCATGTGGCCTCGTTAGTTAGAGTTGGTACTATAAAATCATTTCAGACTGGCCTTAGTATGCTGGTGACACAAAAAAGATGCCAAACGCCAGGACAAATGTAATTATTAAAACATTGAGTTTATACTGTAGTATTTTTGTTAATTTTAGGTTCATATATTTAGATTAAGTTATTTTTAGTGTATGTATTATTCTTTCCTTATTCAAAGCTTGTTCAAAAATGATTTTGATGGTTGTACATAGAATTTTACGATTTTTTATAATAAATACTGTAACTTGCAAATGTTGCAATAATAGTGGAATGCAAATATTAATATGTAATTGCATTTGAAATTGAAGAAAATAATAAAACTTAATCCAACTGTTTAGTTGCATCACAATATATGTCACAAACTAAAACTATCTTAAAAATATCTTTTAAGTATACATTATCAAAAACTGTTTGCGGATCTTTTTACAATTTTCAAAATGCAATGCGGCTCTCGAAACCCATGAGTTTGACACCACTGATCTATTCTAGACGATTCAAGCATTGCTTTGGGAAATTATATCACTTCAATTAAATTGAAATAATCTCGCTATATTAAATACAAAATCGTTGCTATCATAAAGGTAAACCAATTCAGCCACTCGAAATATATTGGCCTTCACAAAGCAATGGAGGCAAAATTGAGAGTTCATGAGCTATGAACATTCGTTCTTTTCTTTGTCTTGAACTTTCAATACTCCACAGCCCCTATTAATTTTTTTAATTTTAATTACCATGTGATGGTCATACATATCTTTAACTTGTATTTTCTGTCATGATGTATTATCTCAATGTGTCAAACTATTAATTAGTGTGCATATTTGGCTTCCAGATGACATAAATGTATTGTCATGTTTATTATCTCAGCTTGGAGTATTGACAAGAAAAAGGTGCTAGTAAATTAGGTAAAAAAATTTTCAACTCATTGTTATAATCAGAATTCACAATCAATAGGAATTATAAACAGCCAACAATCAGTGAGAATTATATGCGAAATCCCTCAGAATAAATTTGTCTAAAATCGGAGGAAGGCAAAAAATATAGGTAGTTTCCATCCACACAAGCATTTCAAGAAGACTTGCTCGAGCCAAACTAAATGAGCATCGTCAGGTGATCGGTAAGGCTGCAAGTTGAATTCAGCCCTGCAACCTCCTGCATAGAAGATAATATTAATTAGTGGGCTATGAGCTAAATTCCTAAATTTAAACAAACCTATCTACGATGCATTATGTACCAGCAATGTTACCTACGATTAACTGAATATGTAATATGTCTAATAAATTCACCTACAAAAGCAAGTTCGATAGGTGCAAACTTTGTGTTATGGAATTGTATCGCAGCACAGTTTTGTATGACACCCTCTTTAAATGAAATTTCAATGATTAAGCGCAAACATTAAAATTACTAACTTTGTCATTATCTGCAAAATGTTCCACACAAATCTTTCCGCTATCGCGTTTGTAATCTTCTCTGATAAAAAAAACGTCTATGATGTCCAGAATTGCTCTTTACAGCTTGCCTGTTATTCCAGCTTTCCAAGTAAGCAAAACTTCTTAGATATAGAGATTATTTTGTTTCGTTACAGGCGCAAAAAGGCAGGTACTACACGTAAAAAAGACGCCGAGTAGCAAAAGCGAGCGGAAAACGGACGCGAAAGGCGACGAGAAATATGTGCATTGGAGCGTATCATGAAATACAATGTTTTGCCTGTAGTCTTATGGAGTGACGTCAGAGTTGCCTATCATGTTGTTTAATGTCATTGGCTGCATTTACCGATTGATAAAGAAGTAAACCTGAATAACTCTTATTACATATGTGCACATGTATATATAAGCGTCTTCTATTTTTTAACACCGAAACAAGTGGCCAACAAGAGGGGCTTCTTTTTCAAGACAACGTTGTATTGTAAAAGTAAGACAATGAAGAAACTTGAATCGTTGGATTTAATGATAAGTAATTTAGAAGAAGAACTGAAAACACATTCAGTGTTTTTCAGAATAAAAAATGTTATATTTCAAAGTTGGTGAAAGATAAGGTAAAAAATTAACTACGATTGGAACGGTCGCATAACGTTTGCATGAAGATCCAAAGATTTCAAAGCTAAACACACCTTGAGATAGTACCAATAGTTGAGAATAGCAACATGGATTATTCTCGAAAAGCACTTTCCCTTTGCTTTGCTGGCAATAAAATATGTCAGTTTTTTCATTGAGTATTAATTGAACGAGAGAGCGATGCCCAATCAAATATATGAACACAAAGCCCAAACTAAGTAGCACACCAGAATCGAATCCCATAGAATTTTTGAAACGAACAAAATTAATAGGTGTTTCTCTGAGCATTTTTTTTTATTTATATCCGTAACAATGGCAAATCAGCAATAAGTCAATAATGACAATCCAATTGGATTTCATGGTTTCAAACATTGCCTCGTTTTCGTTGTTTTGTGTGTTGTGTAGTAGTATATATTTACGGTTAGTGTGCGCAATGACATTGGTGTGCGCGAGTTTTCAATTGTCATTATGTTCTCCGCGGAGCTTTAGTTTAGTGTAGTTGTAATAATCAAAAATTTGGTTTGCAAATTCTTCGATAGACTAGACTAAAATTAGCTGGGAGTACCTGCAAGCGGCACGTGGTTAAACACTTTTAATAAATTAATGATTTTGAACATGTACACCAGCGCCAACCCGCCATGGTAAAGTACGCGACCTGTAGGAAGAATTCTCCTGGGTCAAGGGTCGTCGGGAAACATCCATTTGCTGCATTAATTAAATGCTAACATGTTATACATTGTCTCGGGTTAATGTTTGGGTGCTGCGGCGACAATTTCTTACTGTCTTTTTTATGCTATTAATCGGAATTTAGTACATGCAATTGTTTTTGTAAATAAACTATCCAACCAAAATTTAACTTAACATTTGATGTTGTATTTGGATAAAAAAATATTTGTACCCGGTACTGGAATTAACTTCGGCAACAAAAAGAAACGACAGTTGGTAGGGATGCAAGCATTGACTGATTCTGGCAACTTTGGTTGGTCATTTTGGCATTTGACTCCATCTATAATCAGCTTGACAATATATTTTTTTATAAAAGTTTATCTTTACTGTTCACTCCCATTTCAGCATTTATAAAATTGATCAATTTGGCAGTGGCAATCATCATAAATTTATTAATATGGTGTGGCAAGTAATTTTTATTTATTTATTATTTATTAACTACCAGTATGTAATTTTTCATGTCCTCTTTACTTAATAACTTCTATATGGTTGTGTGTGTGGGTGCGTGTGTGAAATATCTCAATTATTTTAGGTGAGTGAACACGTACTACATCTTCTTGGCAAAACCTTCCATCTTATATACATTCCAGCATTCTGTACGTTTTAAACCTTATCTAAGGTTTTGTTCGCTTTCCTGATTTCATAATCAGTTTTTATTTATTTATTTTTACCATTCATTTTATTGTTTTGCTGATTATGGAGTCGAAATAAACTTATACTTATTGGTGAATGTGTTTGCCGTAATGCGTTTGTTATAATGTTATTGATAATTTTTTACCATTCGGAACAGTTAATCATTTGAATATTTGTCTGTCAACTGCACCATAATATATGTAACTGTTTGATGCCTGTATATCGTAATACCTGTTATAACAGCATGGAAGAGTCATATTTTAGAGCATATTTCAACTTCATCTCAACTGTGGCTTGTGATAAAGCAAAGGAACTTGTGGAAAAGGAAAAAGACAAGGCACCCATACCTCTGCAATCAGCTTTAGTATTACTTGCACAATGTGAAAAGAGTTATTATTCACTAGCATTTCTTGAGCAGAAATGGTTTGGAAGAAGAGATCCACTGAAAAATACCTATCTCACATTACAGACTGAGTTGCAAACTGTTTTAAAACAGATGGATAAAACTGATAAATCTGTAACTGTTTCAACATGTGAAGGCCTAGTGAATTTCTGCTCATGTCGAGTTGATTGCATAGAACTGTATGAAACTGCATTACGTAACATCCCAAATAAAGATTTAGAAAAGCTAATTAGTGATTTAATTCAAAAACATGAATCAAAGCTACAATATCACACTTTGAAATCTATATTGGATTCATTTATGTCCGAATTTGAGACATTTCGTCAATTAGTTGGTGCAAGTCTTCTAATTGCGGAATGGAATTTTTTTACTTCGCTGATAGAACTTCATAAAATACATCAAACTTTAGCAGTTTGGCAGCCACTTCTATCAAAAGACCAGCATCACACACTTCGACCGGGACTATTTGGTTTTGGAGAAAGACATTCAACTTCACCTGTATCTGCTTTATACCAATGGATGGCAAAATATTTTCAGTCATTAGTTTCAAAGTTCTCTTTTTATTTTTACTATTCTTTGAATTTTCAAGGACAGGGTGATGAAATGAAGATTTTTCTTAGTAAAACAAGTTATGATTATGTGGCAAAAGCCTTGAATTTTTGTAAAAAACTAGACTCCACTTATGTACTTCTATGTTCTATTGCAAATGAAAACACATCAAAACTAATGGATGAATCGTTGAGAACCACACATTCGAAAATTCTTGAGTTACCAAATGCAAGCCCGGAATATATGTGGCCTAATTTAGATGTGTTTTTGTACAATAAATCAGAAGAAATTACCTTTGAGAAAGTTGTATATTATTTTGACAAACAAATTGATTTTACATTTTATGCTGCTCAATGTGACCCGGGCATCATGCTCGTGATTGCTGTAATGGGAAGAAAAAATGAGAAAGATTCCTATGTTTCAAACTTTATTAATGAAACCGTTTTATACTTGAGACCAAAAAGAATATTTTCTTTGTTAAGACCTGGGTCGAAGTGAGGAATCTCCATATATATCACATGTAATTTGCATCTAGGGATACTGTATTTTTGCATTGCTTAGAAACGAACTTTTTGATAACTATCAATTTTTTTTTTCAAGGTTATTAAAATGTTCAATGCAAGTAGAGGAATTTTCAGATTACAATCTAAATTTGTTGGAATCTTACGATTAGGACATGTGACAACTAGCCAATACTCAACTCTACCTATTGACGATGAAATATTTGGACTTAGTGAGGATCAAAGACAATTAAGACAAACTGTTTCAAATTTTTTCAAAGAAGAACTTGCTCCACTAGCGGACAAAATTGATAAAGAAGATGATTTTCCAGGCCGAAGACAATTTTGGAAAAAGTTAGGAGAAATGGGTCTTCTTGGTGTCACAGCACCTGTGGAGTATGGTGGAACTGGCCTTGATATTTTGGATCAATTAGTAATCATGGAAGAACTTTCTAGAGTATCAGCTGCACTTGGATTAAGTTGGGGTGCCCATGCAGATTTGTGCTTGAACCAAATTGTGAGAAATGGAACTGATGAACAGAAAGCCAAATATCTCCCAAAGCTTATTTCAGGAGAACATATTGGTGCTTTAGCTATGAGCGAATCTGGCTCTGGATCAGATGTCCTTTCAATGCAACTTAAAGCTGAAAGAGAAGGCGATTACTACATTCTCAATGGCAATAAGTTTTGGATAACCAATGCTCCAGATGCTGATATTACAATAGTATATGCAAAGACTGATCTCACAGTGGCACCATCAAGAGGTGTTACAGCTTTTATCATAGAAGACGAGTTTGAAGGATTTTCAAAGGGTCCTAAACTTGACAAATTAGGTATGAGAGGTTCAAATACAGGGGAATTAATATTTGAAAATTGCAAAGTGCCAGTTGAAAACGTGTTGGGTGGAGTCGGAAAAGGAGTTCGCGTCCTCATGAACGGACTTGATATTGAAAGACTTGGTGCTGCAGCTGGTCCAATAGGAATAATGCAGGCTGTTATGGACCATACAGTGCCTTACTTGCATGAAAGAAAACAATTTGGCAAAAGGATCGGAGAATTTCAACTCATGCAAGCCAAGATGGCAGATATGTACACCAGACTTAGCTCATCTCGTTGTTATCTCTATAACCTTGCACGAGCTTATGGACAAGGATATCGGAACAGTAGAGATTGTGCTGCAGTTGTTTTACATGCAGCCGAACTTGCAACACAAGTTGCACTTGACGGCATTCAATGCCTTGGAGGAAACGGATATATCAATGACTACCCTATGGGTAGATTTTTAAGAGATGCCAAAATTTATGAAATAGGAGCCGGAACAAGTCAGATTCGACGATTAATAATTGGTCGCTCCTTCAATGATGCCTTTCCAAAGTGAAATTTTTCCAATTTGTAAGATGCTGCAATAGATTCTGTTTGAATCTAAATGTTCATTCAAATTATATGTATCTTTTCTCGAAACTGTATATTGAATATATATCTGCCTCTTTATATATTTAGTTCACTCTTGATTTGATTCAAAAGAATTCATATATTAAATCTAATCACTATTATTATCCATAACGATTTCGCATAGAAATGTTTCATTGATTTTGTATCCACACGTTTCATTAAATGAAATTATTTTGTGATCAGTTGTGGAGAACAACATAGCTACTTACTACTTTTGACTCATCAGAAAAAATATGAATGAAGTACCACACCATCTTTTTATTGTGCATTTACTAGAGCAGTAGAATACTACCGTACAATACAAAACCAATTTGCTTGGTGACTGCAACTGTTCTATAAGAATCAAAAGTTGCTTATGAATTTTATCGAAAGCAATATTAATTACCTCAATGATCTGCTGAAAGTATCCAATTCCCAACCAGATGAACAGTGTGGAAATAAGAGGTTAAATGTTATTGATAGTGATATTATGCAAAAATAATTATGCACTTATTTGTTCTGTTTAATTTTGATACCAATTATTGTTACAGAGCTTAAATTAGTGTTTTGTCATGAAGCCTGCAAAGAGAAAGAAGTTAACCAAAGACGCAGTTGATACAGATAAAACTGAGAAAAGTGAAGAGATTCCAACCAAAAAATCAAAGACACTATGCTTTAAAAAAGCAGAATATCAATCCACGGAATTTACTAGTCAAACGAAAACATGGAAAAATATAAAACATATTGCTGCAATTGAAAAATCAACATATGAACCTGGTGTGGTAACCCATGCAACGATTTCAACAGCTCCCTCAACTAAACCTATAAAAAATTACTCTGATTTGTCCGGGTTACCAGCTTTATATAAAGACCCTAAGACAAAGTTGAAATATCATAATAAAGAAGAATATCAAGCGATCCAGCATCTGTCTCCTGATATTATTCTTGGATTATTGTCATTAAGAAAAGCAACATGAGCCGAACTTGTGGAAGCTTTCCTTTGATTGTCAAAATGTAGAGACTGCCACAGGGTGCATGTCGATGGCCTGCGCCATTTATTTTTGAGTGCTGCAACAGACATTCTGCGAATTTCAAAACAAAACAATTTCATCCCAATAACTGGTATATTTGTCATTGAACCAAGCAACTGAAAGGCGCTACACCGCTTAACTTTATTTGCAATTCTGCTAAAAAGCCATATGTTCAATTGCAAATGTTTCAGTACAATAAATTTTACTTTTTGTGATCAGGAAATATACATTAACAATTGAAACTTCTTCATGTTATTACAGAGAATAATACCAGTGCAATTTTCTATTTTTTTCAGATGATATTAGTGATTGGACCCACTGGAAGTGGGAAAACCCTACTTTTAAAACAATTAGAGGAACTAAGTAAAAATTCCCATTTGAGCAGTGCAAAAAAGAAAGATAAATCTCAGTCAGATCTTAATGATGCGAAACCATCAACAAGCAATGACCAGGATGATGCTAGGGAAAATGTACCTGCAACAATACCAACAATGGGAACTAATATTTGTGCAATTAAATTCCCACGGAAAAAAGAAATAAACTTGAAAGAAGTTGGAGGATCAATGGCTCCAATATGGAAGAGTTCATATGAAGTAAGGTATATGCTCTAGGTCAGGGTGGTCCAAGGTTGTCGGCTCCACGGGCCACAATAGTGCCAAGAATAGGTAAACAGTGCAATACAAAATAAACACTTTTATTGTGCAAACACATAGTTATCAGACATAGCCATCCCAGGCTAATAGAATCCGCATTCTATTTTTAGTTTTCTATGATTCTATTAGTTATTGTTAGCGTATATTTCCGACCAAAAAGATAGAAAGCCAGATAATAATTTAGACTGTCAAGCACATCATTCAACTTCGCTATTTGCCTCAGCCAGCCATAACACTAGTCAATTCAGTGACATTAGTGATGAGACAATATGTCAAAAAAATTTTCTGATAAATTTGATTACGAAACAACACGAAATGCGATTTATCGATTACTCTCCGAATATGACGCGGGACACATGTGGCCAGCGGGCCTAGGTTTGGACCACCCTGCTCTAGGTGCATCATAGATCGGCAGCATCCACTGTAGGGGGAATTTATATATTCTTACTGTCTTGCAAAAACAATATACAATTTTGCAGTTCATTGAGCTTGTAAGCAATTGTAGGGACGCCATATTAGGACATTGTAGCAAGCACTTTCCTAGGATAGGTTTGCGAGTTGCTATAAAAAGCCTGTAATAACATATATTGCTGGCATCCTGGTAATTTTGACTGAATGTTGCAAAAATTAGCCAAGCCTGTCTGAATCTGACTATCGATAACACTATCGAACATTAACGAGAACACTTTGTTATATTGCACTGATCTCAGAAAGATTTCTATTTTAGGATGCCGAAAAGGTGATTTATGTAATAGATTTTTCTAATCCATTCCAAGTTTCAAGCACAACTATCAGATTGTTGGAAATGTTATCAGATGAAAAATTGAAAGATAAAAACATATTGCTGCTGCTAAATAAAATGTAAGTATAGAAAGTACAGCATACACAATAAAGCGGGAAACCAAGAATGGGACGATTCAAAGCTTACATAGTTTTAATCAAAAAATGAAGGCATATTTATGTTTAACATTCATTTAAAAGCTTGCCAACAAAAGAATCATATTAATAGAGTAGTACCTTCTCACCTAGCCTATCCGGCCATGTAAGTTTATCATTATGAAGTGTTACAAAGGCAAAAGTGGAAAACAATAGGCCTCGTGCCAAAACTAAATTTAATCGCAAGCTTAACAAATTCCTTGAGCAATTTTTTTAGCTAAAACATCAAAATTTGGTTGTGGCAGCACCAGGCAAGCCAGATTAAATTACCCAACGGGCCGGATTTGGCCCATGTCTGTTCTATAGTTAAGTATTTATATGATGCTTATCAGACATTTAGCTCTGAACAAAGCACTATACCAGCAGCTACAAACTATTTGGAAAGACCGGAATCTTTCTGATTTGGGGTTGCCTACGCAACTTATTACACTACACTCTGGGTTAAGTAGGGGAATATCTGCTTGCTAATCTTATGTTTGCAATTTTTGTACAGTGACAATTTCACCACAGTTTATCCTGCGGAGATGAGGTATATGCTGATGCTTGATAGCATTATCTCACATGCACCTCAAACGATCACTACTATAGAATCCAGCGCTAAGTATGGGTCCGGCCTTCAGGACGTTGTTGATTGGATATATGAAGGGACTTGACACAATGTTATTATATTCACTCATCTACCTATTTAACAGCAATTGCACTATGTAACGATGATGCATAGCTTATTCTTATTTGTATTTCCTCCCCACTGTATTTTTCGCACTATCTTTGTTGTTTTTCACTTCTCAATTTTTTTATTTCTTCTAGCAGTTTTTGATACTCCTGTAAATGAAAATTTATGTATAAAAGAGTCTTTTTGCAATATAATACTAGTAATACTAATTATGATAGTTTGGGTTCGTGGCCGCCTGAATAGGACATCTCAGTAATAATAAATGGCAGCTTACCGAATTACAATTATCCAGAGATTGAAAAGGTTTGAAAACATTTTGATCTGAGCTTGTTGAATGACTAGAGACCAATCCAGCTTTCCACAGTATCCTTCTCAAATAGATATTATACCCCTGTAAAGCAGATAACGTTAGTATAGAGCTCTGAATCAGATCGGGCAATATCTTCAACAAACAATTCAGCTACCTTTGCAGTTATTTCCTCATCATAAAGCTGTTGTTCCAATCGATCCCATTCTTGTTGTAATGTACTGTTGATTCTTGGATACACTGAAGAGAATCATCACTGTTGTTATTGTCAGTGGTAGAAACATTTGGCTTTTACTCCTGACAAACGGTGTGTGTGTAATGATTTTTTTCATAGAACTTTCACCCATAACGAGGCTCTGTGTAAGACAGCATTGCCTACCCAACTTATTACAGCTTAGACGAGGTCGAGATTTTTAACCACAACGCCACCACTTATATGATGCTTCAAATGACAGATTAGTTGTCGGTCATACATGGATTATGTGATATACGCTCTCACCTAATAGAGAATCTTCGTGACATACTAATGGGGTTTCGAACTTCAACAAATAATTGCAAGTCTTTGGTTCGCTGACTTCTGTAAGATTATTCGCTCTTCCACAAGAAAGCACTACCTGCAAATAAAGGTAATACCGACACAATAAATTTGACAGGTGTGACATTGAGCGTTGCTTTTGGACGTCTTTCAAAAGATTACAAAAATTCGTAATGCTTCCCGACGTACCCACTTTTACCATTCTGAATTTTACCTGCACTTGCCGACTATCTGATCCACAGCTGTCACCATTTGGCATAATCATACTGTGAAATGTGTTATTTTTTATCTCCCATTCCTTCCATACTCTGAAAAGAAAATGAGGATGAAAATATATAGCAGCTTACCATGCAGAGATAAAACTTTCAAACAATTGCTTACCCCAATATTCCACTGTAAGGATTCCATCGATATGTTTGTTCATGCTGGGTCACATTATCAAATGGACAAAACTTGTATTTGTACCTGATCAAAAACAGTTTATGGAGGTGAATAAAAAGATGGAGCAAAAAGTCATTAGTCTCAGGTTCAAGACCTTGAGTCAAAACTTATTATCACCACCTTATCCGGGTTGTAATAAATTAATGCAGAATCTGAGAGATTATAAATAGTAGCTCCTCACACAGAGCCTTCTTTACAGGGAAAGATGTAAAGAAGAGAAACTGTTATGAAATTAGCCATTAAAAATCTGTTGTGGAATGTTGGAAAAAGAAATGTTATGTGCGATATGCATAGTTGAAATTGCAAATCTTTGGCATATAATTTTTAAACTTTCAACTTCACACCAAATATCATGAACTTATATAGAATAAAATTTATATCTGAGAAGTGTAACAAAATAAATAATAATAATTACTCAGAAAGTCTCAATGTGAAACATTTGCCTTTAAGAACCTTCAAATGAGTTGGTCCCGAAAAATTTGCAGGTTTCACTTTAGGTACAAGGTTGCTATTTGAAGAATCTGGACCAAAGTTGCTATACCTAGATAAAAATGAAAGTGAAAGCCAACAGAAAAGTTAATACCAGGAATAATAAAAATACCACAAATTACATGAAATAATATTTCTATAAAAATTTACCCATAGCTGCTAATGTCATCAACAATTTTCATCTGAACAACTTCGGCATTTCCTGAAACAGAAACTAAACTGTAATATTCTATAATAAGCTCTATGTCTTAATAAATTGTGGACTCAAGGCAAGTTTTTCTCGGCTGTTTGTAAATCTGGAATTTTTTCTAATTTAACAGGCCCCGAATGAAACACTTTATTACCTCATATGACAGTAAATTCAAGAATATGAAACGTAGTAGTATACTTACCCATAGGAATAAACAAACAAAATATCAATAACGCCATAAATTCCACGCCAATACGCCTCATTTTGTCAATAATATAGACAACAAACTAACACAGTAACAAAATGAATCAAAACAATGATCAGAACCTTGAAATCAGCTGAAATGTTGAACAAGTGGTTTGAAACGCTCCGTTGCACACTGCATTGTTTACATTTGTGTTCTTGGTTCGATCTGTACGTTGTCGGCAACTTGAACTTTCGTGTTAATTTCGCAATTGTTCAGATTCTTTTATTAAAATGTCAAGAACAAATAAGCTTTTAATTAATAATGTGGAAACATGCGTGGACGAAATGCTTCAAGGAGTTGTTGACGGAAATTTAGGACAAGCTCTTCTTGAAGGTTTGTATGGTGAAATTCATTATAGCAATGTCAATATAGAAATTATAAATATTAGAATGGTCGGTTTCTGGCTTATTTTCGCTACTATTTGTTAATTTAATGCATTTCACATGAGATGTTGATATAAGTCCTGCCGCAAATATATATTAATGATTTATGTTGATATGTATAATTTATATCAATGATTTGTCAAGCAAAAAATATTTTTTCAACAACATTGCATTTTGTATTCACACCGTCACATTACTAGGTCATCGTGTCATAGTTCGCAATGATATTGAAAAAGTAAAAGAAACGGAGCAAGTAACAATAATATGTGGAGGTGGTTCAGGACACGAACCTTTTGCGGCAGGATTTGTTGGGAAAGGAATGTTGTCTGCTGCAGTTGCTGGTTCCGTCTTTGCATCTCCTCCTCCAAATGATATTCTTGCTGCAATTAAAGCAGTTAAAAGTAAAGGTATTGTCAAAGATGTTCGGAATTTGTTCTATCATTGTTCATTTTTTGATACAATGCATTTATATACCATTTGCTCTGAACAAGGATCTGTACAAGCAACCAACTAGGGTAGATTGGAAAAACCAGAATTTTTCTGGTTTAACATTGCCTACTCAATTTATTACACACTGGGTGAGGTAGTGGCAATGGGATTTGCCCCTGAGATTTTAAGTGGTGGTACCATCATAGTTGCCATCGTGCCTACAATTGAACCTGTAATTGACTGAGTACAAGTTCTTAAATTTCGAGTTACGAGTTCAGTCATATATTATTCAAGTTGACTTTTAGTCCCCAGCAATCAACATGGCCCAATTTGCGGTATTGCTGCAACAAGCTATTGAGTTTTTTTACAATATTTATCTACGTGGTTAATTGTACGATATTGCAAAAACCCGCTCAAAATTGTCTTCGAATCTCTCTCTGGTTTTGTCGAATCAGAGTTCAAATAAAATATTTGTGTCTTGAGTAATTTTGAGCTTTCAAAAGGGGTAACTTGAGTTCAAATCAAGTCTCTGATTACATTGTAACATAATTATAGGTATTCATGTAAATATACTTATTTTATCATTTACAGCGGGAACTCTTGTAATAGTAGCAAACTACACCGGTGATAGATTGAATTTCGGAATTGCAGTTGAACGGGCCGAAGCTTTAGGAATCAAAGTAAAGAGATTTGTATTTTATTATTTCAGTTGTCATTCATCCAACTTTGCTCAGAAAAATTATATTAAAAAAAAATTTCAAGTCATACTATGTGACACATTTTTGAATTCTGTGGAGATGTATGTTTTTAAGAATTAATGGCTGTTTCATCAATATCTCAAATTGATTTTTATAACAAATGCATTTACTTTTTCCACTAGCCCCATCTATATACTTGTAACATTCTCATAGCCAACCCAGTAACTGGGTAAAATTTTTGAGGATGTACCTTGGACCGTGAATATTATGAAATGGTTGTATGACATCATATTTTGTCCATTTATTTTCAATCAATGCTTAACCTGTAACTTGTAACATTCTTATAGCCAGCTTAGCACCCAGGCAGCATTTTAAGGGTGTGCTTTGAATTATGGCCTAGCCACATACAAAAAATGATAGTATGAGTTTGTATGACATTATATTTTGTTCATTTTTGCTCAATGGCTCAACTTCTATCTTGAAATACTAGTGCTATAAGCAATGGTGTCCAATGCCCAGTCCATTTACAACCAGCTACAACCCATAAATTAGGTGTGATGACATATAAACATACAAATTCGTTATTCAAAATTGTAGGTTGCTGTTGTCGTGGTCGGTGAGGATTGTGCATTACAAAGTACTGATAAAACTGCTGGAAGAAGAGGCCTGGTTGGAATCGTCAATGTCATGAAGGTCTGTTAATTCGTATCCAATAATAACTTGATTATCTGTAATGTGTTGTACAAAATCCACTATTGTTTTCATTAACCTCTTTCTTTATATATTCATTTCTTCATTGATCATTGATAAACACCATTCTAAACAAAAATTATAATATTTTCATACATATTCTGCAACTTTAAGTTTAGTTATTTTCCTTGAAATAAAATGCACAAACTTGTTCTAAGAAAATTCTCTAACTATGGCCTAATGGGTATGTATGTGGTCAGCTTGAAATATGTTGACATCAAAACTTACTGATTTTGGGTTTTGTCCTCCATAGCCGTTTTGCATCTGTATAATTTGATTGTGTCCAACTGGACGTGTGTGATACTTTTTATTCCAATGGTGGATGCTTGTTTGGAGACTTTTTAGGAGTGGCATTCCATAAAAATATCTAGGTAAATTTATTGGACACAAAGTGTACATATATGGATTGTTTTAGTATTATATTGTTGTTCATATTTTTGTTGGTATTTTTCTTTGTATTGTTATAAAAAATTCGCTTTTCTCATCAATTACTGGACCAATTGCCTTGAAATTTTCAGAGGATAAAGATTGTATTTTTGCTAAAGGGGTATTACTCTTATTTATTTCAAAAATTTTTGTTGTTTCTATGAGTTTCGTTTTTTATGTAAGATGACATCGTCAAAAATTGTGCACTTGTGGTGGCGGCTGTACCAGGAGTCGACTGTGACAGATTGCACACCAGTACACATATTACTTTGTTTTGGCTTTTGTCTCGCTATATTTGAGCATCGCTCTCTTTTTTCAAATATCTGTTTAGATAGCAGGAGCATTATCAGAACAAGGAAAATCTTTAGAAGAAATCGTGAAAATAACAACCAAAGCTAGTATGAATATGGGTACGATTTCTAATATTTCAGACGAATACTGATTCACATACAAAGCAAGGCCATTAACTCAGTAATTTTAATTTTTGTGAATTTTAATGTTATTCTTTCTATTTTATGAGAAATTTTTCTTCGACTTCTCTTTGAACTCAGCTTTATACTACATCTACTTCTACAAACGAAATTATCATTATTTAGAGAAATGTTCTTTAAATTTTCTTCATCATGACCCACCTAGCCCGGCCAAATTTTTTCGCACCACACAAGAACTAAAATAAAGTAAAATTTAATAATACTGCAAGAATTAAAAAAAAATAATCAAATTGACAATACATTCAATGAGACTGATGTGTCTCAAAATCTCAAATCTAGGTTCTATTCAGTGATGATGGGTCTCCGTAATGGTTTCAAATCTTACCAATTTGGTCGATATTTTGTTTTAACATAAGTTAGTGTCAAAAAAAGATTTCATTGCGACCCCTCTTTTGACCCACTGAGGTTGGGGCCCCCAGTTCGAAGAACCCTGATTTAGAGCCCCTGAATGTTTTCTTTTGGCGTAAAGCATAATTAATTACATTTCGATGAAGTGAAAAATCCAAAATCTTCACCCTGTGATACCAAAGCAGTTAGATTTATTATTCAAGCCAATTAAATTGCTGTACAGAAATTCATTTTCCATTTGCTTTTAGTAATTGTCATAGAATTGAGTATTTTACTAAGGCTTTTACTATATTTCATTATGTTTATTTTAACAGGTACAATTGGTGTTAGCCTGTCAGCATGTTCAGTACCAGGTACTGGTCCTTCGTTTGATCTTCCTGATACTGAGATGGAAGTTGGATTAGGTGAGAATATAATATCGGGCAATTGTTAGTTATTCGTCTCACAGCATAAAGAAAGTAGGTTAGTTTTTTCATATGACAATTCAAGCCCGTTACAGATATTACCACCCTGTTCCATTTTATTCACTCTGACCAAGGTTCTGTGCAGGCAGCTACTGATATGTTGGTTGATACTGTATTTTAGACTAATCGAAATCTTCTGGTTCGCCATTGCTTACTCAATTTATTACACCTTGGGTGAGACACGTGAGGTGTGAGCTTGATACATTCAGCCTGTGATGCTAACATGGATAAAATCCCCATTCTCCAAACACTAGAACAGCGCACCCATGAAAAAAGAGATAGATAGGATGGGATTTACATATTTATCTCAGGGGATCATATGACATAATCATATGCTATGGCGAACCATATCGTCTGGTTACCAGTAGCCTACATGTCGGGTATGAGATTAGTCAACCAGTTATTTTTTCAGGTACATTGACTTGCTGGTAAAGGAAGCCATAACCAACCAGTGGTTACGTGAACCACCCTATGGTGGCGAAGAGTCCCAGCAATCCTCAATCATTATTATCCCCTGCCGGATTCAACCTGCAAACCCATGCATTATACCAATCATACACTATCTGTGGTGTTCGTGGACATTTGCTTTAAGCCATTTAAGATATGTAAAAGTTTTGATACTTGTCTGCATATTAAAAGCTATTTTTAATTCTATTGTCAAGTCACTTTCATATATTCTCCCAGGTGCTCATGGTGAAGCCGGTGTAAAGAGGATGAAAGTAAGTATATTATTAAGTGTAATCTTCTATATGAGTGAGTCTCTATTCTTAACCTTTTCCGTACGGTGGGCACGTATACGTACCCACGACAAAAGTCGCTAGATTGCGGCGGGTACGTTGATGTACTCCGCTGTTTTATTTAGCAATCGGTCGCAAACTGTTGGTCCAGTTTTTCCGGGTTTTAGTTTATTAATAAGAAGTCTTCTTCGAGATTAACATAAGCGACGGTAAATCTCGCTTTCGTTTACGACAGGAATTTTATTTGCGGCGGAACGAGGGAGTGTTTTTAAAATTTATGCAAATTTCGGTGTTTTTTGGGTGGTAATAGAAGACATATTATCCCTTCCATCTACCAAAGTATTTTGAGTTAGATCACGAAATTGCTACAGCAATATTATGCTATTGTTTGCCAACCACGAAGCGGTAACAGTAAAGGATTTAGCGAATATTTCTATCCACCACTTTTAAAAAACCTTTTTTTTTAATCACCAATTGCAAGCTCTTTAAAAAGCTTTCCAACGAGCCGTCAGTGGGCAGCAGAGGATCATTAGTTTTTCGTTAGTCGATCGATTAGTTGTGGGGGTACAAATGCATAAAATCGGCGTAGCAAATACGATTATTTAATAAAAAATAAAAATCGCATGGAAAGGGTTAACCCTATGGTGTAATTGTCGTTAACCTGAAATTGGATAGGTCTAGCATGACATTTAAAAACAGTAAAATTATAAAGAGATTAGAAAGAACTATTCACTTTTGTGTTTACCTGTAAAATTTTATTTTCAACCCGAATTTGGGGCATATGGGCTAGACAGAAATAAACACACCAAACCAATGCTTGATATGTTATAAGGATCTAAAGTGTGAAGGCCTCATATTATAACAAATTATGTGAAATACTTGATAGCAGAGCAATGGGAGCAATGAATTATATTTTCCTCGAGTCACACCCACTACCTTCCATTAGGTAATATTTAGGAAGTACTCATCAGTCATCATATTTGAAAATATCACTTTTTTTAGCTCCTACCTGCTGATCAAACTATAGAAGTTCTTATCAATCATATGACTGATGTTAACAGTCCATCACATCTCCCTTTATCACAAGGTAATATTTATTTGTTATGTATGGTATGCATTAGAAAACATGGAAACAAAAAAATGATATTCAAATATATGGACAACATTTTATGGAAAATATTAGTTACCATACGACTCTAATATAATTAATAGCCTTCTAGCGAATTCCAACTTCTATTAAAGTAGATTGATCCATTAGTTGCAAGAACAGCAAACCCAACAAGAATGATTTACATATTTATCCCTGGGGAGAAGAAAGCCGATAACAAGCCACAATCATATGGCGAACCACAGCCTCTCGTCCGGTTACCAGTCCATGTCGGGTAAGGGACTTGTTAGCCAGTTATTTGATTTTGGAAGAATGGACTATGCCGCTGAGGAGTCCAGCAATTCTCTTGCACATAACTTTCCCCTGATGAGATTCAAACCTGCGAACCCATGCAGGGTAATCAGAGGTGCAGTGTCGAGCGTATTCCTAACGTTTAGCATGATGCGCCTGACCACCAAGCCGAGAAGAACAATAAAAATTTAGCAAATATACACTTTGGATACTACAACCTATATAAAATATATATCTGAATTATTGCAATTGGTCATTTTATAGATACTAGATCTGACTATATGATTTTTGTTCGAGCTTTTTATTCCCAACAGAAAAGACTACTGGATTTAGGTTGTAATTTTCCAAATAATTTAAAGAATTTAAGTCTATCATACTGCCTGATAATATAAAAGCGGTATCCTGTAAATATATACTTGTCGATTATTGCACGTTGGATGTTTTAATTTGATTAAATATGTTGTAATTGGATTAGATAAGCTGCTAGAATGATAAATCTCGCTTAAAAAATCTTGAAAACATCTTTCTGAATATTAACCCTTTCCATGCGATTTTTATTTTTTATTAAATAATCGTATTTGCTACGCCGACTTTATGCATTTGTACCCCCACAACTAATCGATCGACTAACGAAAAAGTAATGATCCTCTGCTGCCCACTGACGGCTCGTTGGAAAGCTTATTTAAAGAGCTTGCAATTGGCGATTGAAAAATTTTTTTTTTTTTCAAAAGGGGTGGTCTGAGTCACAAACAGGATAGAAAAAAGACATTTTTTTTCTTGGGTGTTGAAACTTCAAGCCGTGATAAAAAATAGAAATATTCGCTAAATCCTTTACTGTTACCGCTTCTTGGTTGGCAAACAATAGCATAATATTACTGTAGCAATTTCGTTATCTAACTCAAAATACTTTGATAGATGGAAGGGATAATATGTCTTCTATTACCACCCAAAAAACACCGAAATTTGCATAAATCAAAAACACTCCCTCGTTCCGCCGCAAATAAAACTCCCATGGTAAACGAAAGCGAGATTTACCGTCGCTTATGTTAATCTCGAAGAAGGCTTCTTATCAATAAACTAAAACCCGGAAAAACTAGACCAACAGTTTGCGACCGATTGCTAAATAAAACAGTGGAGTACATCAACGTACCCGCCGCAAACTAGCGAGTTTTGTCGTGGGTACGTATACGTGCCCACCGCACGGAAAGGGTTAAGGATCTCCAGTTTCTGTTTCAACTTGCAACATAATTCTTTTCTTGTCTACATCAGGTGACAAAGTTTCAATGACCATGAATAACCTTGGTGGTCTGTCTGAACTAGAAATGCATGTTTTATCAAGAAAAGCAATTGAATATGTTGGTGAGTGTGTATTGACAAAATATTACTGTCAACTTCATCTACCTATGTTGATTTTCATTGGAAAATTGATAACAAATTGTCTCAGTGCATATTGTGTTAAGGATGATCTCATGCAATTTAATTTAGTTACATTTATAAAGGTGCTTTAGTTGTAAATGACTTAATTGCACTCCATTCTTAACAAATTTGTGATGTTTTATTCATATGGCTATCCTGGAACTTTACAATTAAGCTGTTTACCTTGACTTAGATATATGAACCGTGGGTGTCGCTGCTTCATAACTAGCTTAGGTTTCTTGCATCTTCCCTTCCCCAGTGAAATGCGTGTTCAATTTTATTTTTTTGCATGTATTTGCAATGTTGCATGTTATTTTTTTACTAGATGGGAAAAATAAACTTGACTATGACTACGAATGTAGCCAGATTTCTCCTAAAAATTTGTTACCCACATTGAGATGAATGACAATGTATAATTTTTTGTTTCCCTTCTATATCTCAATACTTAAGGAAATTCTAATTCACTATAAAATATATGCCAATTGTCAAATATTATTGTAAAATTACAATGCTATCGAAAATGGTTTACTTTCCATATTTATGTTTCTTTCAATTGATTATCACCATTAAATTTACATATTTTCTTCTTATTATTATATTGCAGAATCTAAAGGAGCAAAAGTAATTCGATTTTATTTTGGACATTTTATGACTTCACTTGATATGGCAGGATTCAACTTGAATATAACAAAGTTAGATGATTTGTTGATATCCTGTTTTGGTGAGTAACTCAACTAATCAAACATTCTAAATTTTTAAATCTTTGTTTAAATGGATATTGAGGTAACTAATTTTTTTCGCCTACTCTATATCAAGTTGTGTAAAGGGACTGAAACCTATGGGCAGGGGGTATATCCACTTGGCTAACACAGACAGTCCCCGAACTCGTAATATAACTAAAATAAGGTAAATCAGAATAAAATTATGGCCTAACTTGGTACACATATTACGGAAGTACCCATCTGACTGCTACTGGTCATGGTAGTGTGCTACTTATAAAATGCAAGTATCATTATGTAGTGTGAAATTTTCATGTTCTCCTTATCATTTTATCCATTTATAGATCATGAAACTAATGCACCAGCTTGGCCAAACCTGAGAACATTGGATTTTGAGAGAAAGTCAAAAGCAAAGATGAGATTGAATGAAATTACTAAACATTCTTCTGTTGACAAATCAAAACCTAAACAAATTATTGCAGAAGATGATAAAGTTTGTGAAGCAGGTATTTAATATATAGTACAAATTTGATAGGGAGAGAATAATCAATGTTTCATTTGGGGAGAGGAAAAGTAGATAAGATAGCTTATTCATTTTGCAAAATACTGCCTCTTTTCCTCTTACCAGTCTCTTGAAAAAATATTCCTTTTTTTTTCAGTTTTGAGTGCCCTAGAAAGAGCATGTCATGCACTCATGAAAAATGAACAGTATTTAAACGAACTTGACACGTCTGCTGGTGATGGAGATTGTGGAACGACGTTTAAACGAGGAGCAACTAGTAAGCAAATTGATTTTCAATTCAACCAAGATCTACTATTCCATATACATTGTAAAACAATGTTTCATATTCTAAATTTATTCATGTTTCACAAAAAAGACATTTTTATAATGATTTTGGAAATGCAAGAAAGTTAGGAAAATTTGATTTGATCGTTTCTCTATTATTTTTTATAGTTTTTTAGAAATTAAAAAAAGGACTTTTTGGTTTTACCGGGACGCTATAATTATTTAAGAGGGAATTAAAGATGAGTTATGGTTTTTTGTCCAGACACCAAACTATTACCACAAATATAGTTATTGAAAATAATTTCCCCGCAACGGGAACTATTTCCGTGATGTGATTTGTCTTTATTTGTATTTCAGTGATTTTGTCCAAAATAAGTTCCATGAAGCAACGATCTGTCAGTGATATTATTCATTTTATTGCAAGTTGTGCTGAAGATTCTATGGGAGGAGCATCAGGAGGAGTAAGTACAATAATAATTCTGCAAGACATATAATGTTGGGAATCTAGCTTGCAGTTAGTATTGGAGTCCCTGAACCTCAAGTCGCAAGATCATCCAAGTCTCACTGTTGGTTAGTGGATGACGAATTCGAGTTATTCCATTTAGATGACCATAGTCACTTTTGAGCCTTCTATGGATAATATCTTGAGTCCCAACACTGATTGATGTTTTGTTATGATAGGATAAGAATAACATATTTATCCCGGGGGAGAGGAAAGCCTAAAAGACAGCTTAATCATATGGCGAACCATGACCTTATGTCGGGTATGGGACTAGTTAGCCAGTTGTTTTGGACTGGATGGTGGAGGAAGCCGTAACTGATCACCCGTGCGGTGGCGACGAGTCCAGCAATCCTCTCGCACATAAATATACCCACATGGGAGATGAATAAGCATGGGATTTAGATAAACATGTGGGACATCGGCGCTATAAGATTTCCATCTTTTCTTAATTCGAAAATCTAATTAGCAGTTAATCATAGATTGACAAGATCTAGCTTAGCATCCATCAACTTGAATTATTGCTGCTTAAAGCTAGTACATTTTCCCAATTCAATATTAGTCAATGTGATAAATTTTTATTCACCATACCGGTAATTCTTTTCTTTATTTTGAATACTTGCTCCTAATTATCTTTGAGTCTCAACTTTCAAGTGAAGTACTTCAGTAACGATTAGTTAAAATGAGTCGTTTGTGTTTAAAATAACTCAAGTCATATCGAGTGTTTGAAAATTGTGAGTGGGTCAGACTCAACCCAAGCCTCGCCTATCCTGATTGAAAGACTCGAAATGGCAAATTTTTGTGTAGATACAGAGTTCTGATTCTGTATGGAGGTGTAACCACTACTGGTATATCAAAAATTCTCTATTCTTTGCCTCTTTTTCAGATTTACTGTTTGTTCTTTACTGCGGCATCAAGACATTTGAAAGAGGTTTCAACATTAAAATCATGGTGTTCAGCACTTCATGCAGGAATTAATGCTGTTTCAAAGTAACTTCAAGCATTGGTTTGAACCTTTTTCAAAAACTTGTGATATACCGTAGATATGTTGTCTATGTTTAAATTTCTTAATAAATGGACTGTTTTATCGTCTTTCATGGGATATAATAATTATCATCGCAATACAAAATTTGGCAGTGTGGGCAGTGCGTGAAATATAACACGACACTACTCATTAAATCTTGGGTTTTGCTATGGACTGTAATACTGGTGTGGTGTTTACCCCCCTTCTTTTAGTAAATACACTATGGTTGCAACCAAACAATTGCGGTATTATTTATTTCTGGATGTAAACTTTTGCAGGTATGGTGGAGCTGAACCAGGAGATAGAACAATGGTTAGTATTCTATTACGATAAAAGATAGTTGGGTATCTAAATTTAGAAGTTAAAAGTCTTGAAAAGGACCAAGTTAGTCAGCACTTGGATGACTGAATTGGTCAATTATTTTTAAACTTTTTTCGCCTTCTCTTCGAATAAGGATTTGTGCAAGCATACACTAATACGTGGGAAGCTGCGATTTTCATGAGCCACCAATATTGTTGTGCACAATGCTCCAACTATTAGGCCACGCATCCACTTGCTCTCTGGTACTTCCGTAGTGTGTGTACCGGGTTAGGGTCAGGCCATAATTTTATTCCGGTTTTCCTTTTTTAGTTATATTATGAGTTCGGAGACTGTCTGTGTTAGCCAAGTGCATATACCCCCTGCCCTTGGGTTTGTGTCCCTTTACACAACTTGAGTAGGTATTGGTACACACACTTTTGGAGCGCCGCTTCTATTACTTATACAGAAACTTTCTCTGATAGGCAAAATTCACATTTTTATTATTTCAGCTTGATGCACTGGTTGCAATAGAAAAATCATTACTCAACAACATAGAATCCAAAGATGTGAATACTGTTCTTACATGTGCTGCAAAGGTACTGGTTTGGTATTATATTTCTACATATGTTCAATCAATTAGATTTGTAGTGTAGAAAATTGTAAAATTATACCAAAATTGGTTGGGCTACAATTAAATGGACATACCGTAGTATAAAATTGAGTTGATATTAAACTTAAATAGTAGGGTGTCTTATGACAATCTTTTCATATATTGCCATTAACATTGGCATTTTTCAAAAATTTTGTAAACTATAATTTCAGAAGATGATATTTTCATGTATAGCTATTTGTTGTGACATTATTTATCACTAAGTATTTCCTAGTGTGAAGTGCAAGTACCCAAACATTGAATCATGGTTCTGAAGTCATCTTGAGTCTCAACGAGTCTGATTGATTTTCCAATACATATTAACTATGGTAGTGTCTCAAAACTGTCCTTTTTTTCCAACGTGATACACAACTAATACTTAGCTACCGTTTTTAACATATACCGGTAAGCAGATTTTGAAGTACAGGGTGTCCATAAAGTCTATTTACAATTTCAATTTTGTTATGAAGTCAGTTTTTAATATATTTCAACCAAGTTTGTTGTTTTTCAATCAGTAAATTTTCAAGTATTTTTACTGCATTTGATACATCTGTGAGAGCCAATACAATATATGGTATCGATAAATTCCCCTTGCAATTTTAATTTTTTTTTAGACTCCATGGACACCCTATATATTCATTGTTAGATTATGGGTATTTTTTACACCCTTCATAGTACAAAAATGTTCAGTGTTCACTTTCCTTTTTATTGACAAAACAATTTGCAATTTTCAGAGTGCGACAGAGGCCGCTCATGCCACAGTAAACATGAAAGCAAGAGCAGGAAGAGCGAGTTATGTTGCATCCGAACAACTGACGAAACCTGATGCTGGAGCCATTGGTGTTTCAATATGGATGAATGCAATTGCGAATACTTTATAGTATAAATTGAAAAAATGATCATTATTATTGATGGAAAGGCAGTTGACGACTCTGATAAATGAATCAATTCAAGGTTTTGAAATTTATGATCTTGTCTGTAATTTGGACATAAGGTGTTGATTATTTTTGTATACAGCAGTGGCCATAATTGAACGATATCTTCAATGAAAGCCTTGTTTTTTTCTTTCTGATAGATGATGATATTGGTCTTCCTATAATTTGAATGTCTCAATCATAATCTGTCTAAATTGGCGAGTCCCTAATTTGAATAGCCTAATTCGGTCTACTATTCTCTATCAAGGACAATTTTAGGTTTCAGACACCACCAATTTTAGGCATCACCAAGAGGGGTTTTGGGTGTTTATTGTAAAATAATTTATGTGGTTCTAGGGTCCAAGATGATCTCTCTTCAATGAAATTAAGTTCTAATTTTGTGTTAACAAAAATTATGTCCTATACCTCAATCCACTGTATGCCAGAATAGGTAGATTGATGATTATTGAAAGTATAATTATTTTAATTTGATAAATTATTAATTTTCTAAATAATGTTCTGCAATAAATGAGTTCCACATGGATACCTGTTTGAATTATAGCAAAGAACTTATGGATTTAAAAGCCGTTGTCAAGATAGTATTGTATGGAAAATCCCAGACATTTCTTTATACAAGGTTTGATACCTCGGATTCACTTAATTGACAATCAGTTTTGTGAGGTACTCAGCAGTGCGTTACACTGGGTAACTAGCAGTGTTGTCGTGATGAGAAAGTCTCAGATTGGAAGTTGTGTCAGAAAAACTTACTCCGACCTGGGGTTCAATTTTGACTAAATATTGCAGCTCTGGAATCCTGAAGACAAAATTTTTATAACGAAACTTAAGAAAACAGGCCATATGCCTGAAAACTTATGTTTTCGAGAATCTTAAGGGTCTAAAAAGCTTTCAAAGCTACGAAAAATTGCCAAGTATGATACAGAAAAATGCTTTTTTTTTACTTTTTTAAAGGGAGGTTCTCACCCCCAACCTCCCCCGTTCAAGATCAATCTCATACCATATGCACCCTCAAAGAGTTTCATCATGCAGCTAGTTAATTCGCAACATTTCCCGGACCTCCTGAAGTATGTGCACTAAGATGGCGCACAACCTGAACATAGTATGTGTACCAGGTTCAGGTTATGCGACATCTTGGCGCACAATCTTCAGGAGCACCCATTTCCCTGCTGACAACGCAATCACCTATCGCAATGTTTCCCAACTGGAGACATTTCTATTTGTATTTACTGTAGTTGCTAATATTTATTACTACTACTATAATACTTACTTACACATGGGCACAAATATAACTACCTAAACTGTAAAAAAGAGTGCGACTGAGCATAATGTTAGCTCAGGATCCATCGAAGACTGAATAAATAAAGTAGTTTTTCTACACGTGAGGGGGGAATTGAGAGCTCCAAAATAGGTGGAGGAAAGATGAAGGAACATAACAATGTTGGGAACCACTAATCCAAGGCTGCCCAACCCGCGGGCCGCATGTGACCCGCCGGACTGTTTTTTGTGGCCCGCCCTATAAAGTTTGTAAGCAGACTTTTTAAATTTTTACTATGTTATAAATCAATTATAGGCTTAACTATGTTTCGTGATTTTGGTGTGATTATTCCTGCCATCTATCTACATTCAAATACCGGTTCTTATTCTTACGTATGTGTCAAGTCTTGCACCCTGGTGGACATCGACAACAGTTTTATTTCATTTCTCGCAGAACTGAGCGTTCTGATTAACGGACTCGAAAGATATTGTGCGATCATTGAGGACGAACACTGAGCGCAATTATAAGACTGAATTTGGAGCCTATATTTGCAAATTAATCTCATTCCCATTGTTTCTTTACGATCGTCTTAATCGCCTACGTAAAATAAAAATTCAACAATATCTTTGGTACTGGTTGTTCTTTTTTGTTTATCTAATGTTCGAGTTAATTGAGATTTCAAAAATGTCGTCACTGCGTAACCGTCAGTGATTCTGATGAAATTGACTTAATGGTATTGCTGCATATTGGTCACAAATCAGTATATATAGGCTATTCGTCCAGATATTTTTGAAATGTTACTTCATTAAACACTTGTACAGTATTGGTGTTTCAAATTTTACTAGACGGCCCACTTAAACATGATATTCCGGCGACATAGACCACAGCCATAGACCACTTATAACAGCCATAGACCACTTATAACACTGTCGCCCTTGAGTGGTGCATACCATATATGTACACACCCTTTAAACTTGACCATTCCCGCGTTTTATAGTATGTGGTATCATCACTCAATGGTATTGTACATTCATCCAGATTCTTAATTTTTTTTTTTACTATATTCATATGCAGTGTGTTTTATGTGGTGTTGTGTCTCTATTTATAGATGTTGTTTTGTCTAACAAACTCCTTTGTACAAACAGTTTTGTACACTCCATCCATATCCCTGTTGCCGCATCCACCCACCCTCCTTGCACAACTGCCTGTATAAAGGACCATATTGTACATATTTGATTTACCCTATTATAATTTAGATATATCAAAAGGGGTGTATGCCGCACATCTGTTATTTAGGCCAATATGGTCTTGTGCATACACCCCGTCTTCAGTATTTATAATTACTTACTCTTTTATATTGCTTTTACGAGACGAATAAACATACATACATACATTGGCGCACATTATGTTCATTTAAATATTGAGGCAGTATCATAGCCACTGGAAATGAATGAATAAAAACACCACCTATAACGCAAATATAACACTCAATTTCGACGTGAGGTGTGCTATTCTAATATATTCGAATAATTGGACAGCCCTACTTAGTAACCAGAAAGCAATTATTAAATTGATTGATTTTATGTTAATGTATTATGTAAATCACCTACACCGAAATCAGGATTTGGCTGGTATTAATGTTTGGTACAAACGTTTGCGGCCCGCAACGAATTTCGTCACGAGAAGGTGGCCCGCGATACAAAAAAGGTTGGGCAGGCCTGCACTGATATATTTGATTACCAGCCTTTGGAACAAACCGCCCACAATCTCGCTCCTTCTCTGCAATCACCCATAAAACTTTACACACACAAATTTTAGCACATGGACTGGTTTTATTATTGACCATTTGAATCTATGGCATTATATATCAAGTAATATCATGAACAGTTGGAAACAAATGGCAAACGGAACTAAGCAACATCTCAACAATGAAAACCCAATTCAACACAGTACCAATCTGCTGCCAGTGGTCTCGAAATTCCTCTGCAGCAATCGGTTATTAATCCGTACATATATCAGGGGGCTGGACACCTTAACAATTACTAGCCTGTAGTATGTTAAAAACGGCTGCAATACGAAAATGTCCAGTCCTTATAATAAGTCCAATCCAGGTACTTAAAATGTGGTTACAATATTGAATACAAGAAACAGCCAAATTTCTACTCATGCAATTGTACACAGGTGGGTGAAATCAGATAAATCAAAAGCAGCAAGAGTTGTTACCCTAGCCCAAACAGAAATTTATACACATAAAATTTCTTTCTAGTGAATAAACTTCTGCCTGGGCTTGTGCGTACGAGCACACGTTCTATTACGATTACAGGCGCAATTGCACCTGTAATATTCAGTTCAGTATATACAAAATTGGTGCTGATCCATATAACGGAAACAGCGAAGTTACGCATTATCGGAACACAAAATGAGTGTAGAACACTTGAGAGAGTGTTCATCAGCAAAGAAAAATAGCCAGAAAGTTACACATTGTCTTTCATATAGCTGTGTCAACATTCTGTTTAAAACCCGCTATTCCACAGGGAAATAGAGAAGGGTTATGGTGAGAACTGGATCCCAATATTTATAAGATGTTGTGCTAAGAATAAATAGCTTTTTGCGATGTTGAGCAAGAGTAACAATTGGGACCAGTGATTCTATAAATCGGGCATCAGATTGCGGCCTTTTTTAAAAAAGGTATTACATATTTTCAATCAAAAATTAACCTTTTATGTACCCCACAAGTGACAATCATATGAAATACAGTTACAGCAGCTTAACAACACTTGCACGAAGGTGCATAACAGGTTAATTTTTAAATTGAATTGTTTCATCATAGTTATCTGGGAGGCTACCATCACGAAGAAGCTAGCATGTACATACGTAGTTGTATTTCGACCAAACCAGAAAAAGCATTTTTTACCATGTCTAGCGTAGAACTACATTATTATGATTGACCATTCCATCGGCTGGGTGGTTGTTTGTGTACAAGCCAAGTAGAGAGAGAAAGTATGGTTCAACTCCAAAGCGCCAGCCAAAAGTTATTTTTTACCAAAAAACAACTTTTTGACTAGCTCACAATCAGTGTCTGTATGGTTGGGTTCACATAAACCGCTGGCACACATCGAGTGTGACACATACCGAATACAGTATGTGTCACATGACTGGTGCAGATAATAAACAACAGGATTTCTCAATAAACATTAGTTTGAAAATTGGGGTAGGTGTGACGAAGGTTGTAAATAACAAAGAAAAATTGCCAAATACAGCAGCAATAATTTGTAGTGAGACATATAAGCGAGTGCGTTTTTTTATATTACGGTATAGCAGACTCAGTTGAATTAACATGGAATGAAATATCTTGATCAGAATTAGCGTTACTTTTGGTTTATCCAAAATAAGACTTTGAATAGCAGCTTATTTGTGTGACTAGGATCAGATTACCGGATTTTTTTTACAAAAATAAAAAAGTATAAGACAAAAGCAAGAAAAAAAAAGTAAATTAAGATCTAGCACTTTCATAAAGACATCGCTAGCTCTTAAAAACACTCGCACAGATAAAAAAAAATGAGGTATAAAAAAGAATAAAGGATACGGCAGAAACTTGAATCGCAATACAACAGATATTTTGAAAATGCTCAAATTCAGTTTCTAACATAAAGGGTTCGGGGTAAGGGTGAATATTTGAACATCGCTTGTTCCTGTAATAAACGTCAATAACACACGAAACCAATTTAAAAGTTATTGTCTCAGGTGTAGTACATTAACAATTTATGGAAAAGTGGATATAACGTTTTAATGCAGGAATATGAAGCATGTCAAATGAAAGAAATCCTGCCACTCCTACTTAGTGGTACTCCAGTGCTAATCCAGCAAAACAGTGAAGGCAGTGAGATGGAATATGCCATTTTAGACACTTTTTTTTTCAAGAAACGAGCAGTGTTTCAAGTTTTATATATTTTTCTCAATTTTTATTTAGTTTTTGTTATAGTTTCGCATTTCCAAATATGGAAATGGGCATTTTTTTCTTAAATCTAGACTCCCTCCCTTTGTCGGTATTCATTACGCAATCTACACGCCACAGTCTTTCTAGCTTTCATTGCTTCACATAACCACCCTCGTTCATATATCGCACCCTATAAAAAAGGACGTCGCCGTTTGAAGCCGCTACTACGACAGACGGACATACAAAAAAAGAAAACCGGGGGGAAACTAATCATCGTAATAAGCAAACAGAAACAACAATGACATGATAAGTCCCCCCCATGAAAAAAAAACGTGGCAATAAAGTAAAACTAAGAAAAAGCACCCAATTTTTCACCCAATGAATCGGTTACATGCACACAGAAATGTAGCACTACACATCTGATTATGATTTCAAATATGAAAAAAATTTTGATTCTCCATAAAATCACATTATTTTCATTCGATTAAGATAATTTGATATAACAGAGCCAAAAATTGTGATTTATAATTTTAGTTCATAACCTGATCAGAATTTTTTTAAGATACATGTGAAAATTACTTCAGACAGAATATACGTTACTACGCTTATCAATACTGCCGCCACGATCAAATTTGAATATCTACGTAAATTACTATAAATGGGTTTATAATTCACTGACAAATATTACTACTTAATAAGAATTGTTGGTTATGACAAGAACATATTACTGCATTCTTTTTGACGAACGACTAGCAGATGGTTGTTGATTTAAGTCTCGTACGAATTGCGCGGCTTGACTCCGTTTCTCATTTTCCCAGCACGATCACCCTCACGCACTTTCATCATCATTTCCCGCACCTTTCTTTGAGCAGACTGTAAAATAACGGAAACAGTTGAAATTTTTGAATTTTAATTCCCTATTAAAATTGGATTTTTTTTAAATTCTGGAGTCGAGTCGAAGAGAACCTTAATTCCACTAAGCCTTCTATTGATCAAAGTTTTTGCCATGAAAATTGGATTTTCTCTGACTTCGGACTGGAGTCAAGGATTATCTCGGAAATTATGCGATAACATGTATAGCTAATCAGCAAGGTATTGTCGAAATCAGAAAATGCGGTGACAAAAATAAAAATGTTTCTAATACATCCTTTGGACACTAGGAATAATACCTGCATAACGGCGCAGTTAAACAAATTTCCAAGCATCTATCAATATGAAAACTGGAATCTGTATAAACTGGACTGGCAATTTTCAAAAGCTACGAAACAAGACCACCGATACTAACATGAAATCATGAGTAAATCAAACTTACTTGAATAGCAAAGAAATGTCCCACAATTTTAACAGGAACCTCCTCCATTCCTTCAGTTTCAGACTGACGTGGAATGACAACTTCAGAGTTGGTTAGTCTTTGAAGTTCACGAACCTGACAAAGTAATATAGGATACTAAACAGATGGAGACTGATAAAAAAAAAGTGTACTGGCCTTTTCAAGTAAAATCTTACCCTGAAGAATACTGGAATATGATGTACATACTTTCTCTTATAAATATTTCAAGTCTTATATTAACCTGTTCGAGATTCCTAATAGAGCCCAATTTTGTATACCCACTTTTATTCATGTCATACGACCCCCAAAATTTACCTGATATACAATAATTATATACCATTGGAAAGGTCTTTTAGAGTACTATACGCTAGATGTCACTGGAGGACCGTAAACTAAAACACCTGTTTCATGAGGTCTCTCGTAACGTCAAAAAATAATATCATACTAGCTTTTGTTATTGGTTAGCGCGCAACGCCAAGGTTTAGTGAATTATTTTCTTGTTGTGCAACGTTTTTCTATCGCAGCGGGAAGTACACTCGTGAAATGTAAGCTATATTTTATTACTTCCAAATGTCATATAACGTTCATTCTTATATTGCTGGGTAGGAAATGAGCTATTCTTCCAAACAAGACCATAACAAACATTCCAGACCTCATGGTTTACACACAGCGTCTGAAATTGCGCTAATGCACAGATTCGCTAGGAACAGGTTAATTAGTACACACTAACCGTGAAACCTGTGTTATTTTGTGATTTCAATGTTATCTCAAAACCATACTGGCGAAAAACACTCAAAAATAAGCAACTTAGCTAAAGTGAAATAAACTCTTGACAAAAATCTTAAATTTACATTATTTCCTCCTTTTCCGATGATTCTGCCGACAAGAGAAGATGGAATATTTATCTCGGATGTCAGACGTCCTTCTTCATTACCGAAAAAACCTTCCTGCTTCAGTTTGTCAAAAATACAGAACTGGGACTGAAAAAGTGCAAGGTCGTTACTTTCAATAAATTACTATATTGCAAACTGAATAAAAAACAGCAAACAAGATTTTTTCCGAGCGCCTATTAAAAAGCCAGACGGGCCAAACTAAACTGGCATTTTCATAGAGCGAAGCAAGATTTACGGACTATTACGAAACAAAATTTGTCATTTAATCATTCTAATATAACAAACCAACCTTTTTCAAATTTTTCGAACGCTACAAAACTGTAAACAACCTACCTTCCATTGGCCTTCAGGTGTTCCAACGATCGCCACACGACGTTCTTTGTCGCCATCTCCATTTTCAGCTGGAGAAATTTTGATGGAAGCGTTGGCAATACGAGACACATTACGAATGTGACTTCCCTTGGTGCCAATGATTGCCCCAACAGAGTTGGAAGGAATATAGAGGGTACAATTCTCAGTTGTCTGAAAAGGGGGTAATGAACATAAGTATAGTGGGTGGGTGCATGGTAATTCAGAAAAGTTTGTTCATTAAAGTACATTAAAGTTCATTAAAGTACAGCTGACTGGAATCATTCTTGATAATAAAAAAAACTGCAGCGGAAAGTTTCCAGGGAGATTGAGGTTTTTGAGTCAAAAATTTCAAATTTAAAAAATCTTTTGGAAGTTATCATTACACAGAATCATGTTAAGTTTTTCAAAAATTAAATTCATCCAAGTCTCATGGCTAAACCAAAATCACCCTACAGCAAAAAAAATCTCATTTCTTGAAGAAAATATGGAAACCATGTCTTCAAAAAAAAAGTTTATTCCAGAATACTCAGTCTCTGGACCGCAAACAACATTCTGTCGGTCTGTTAATAACAAAAATGAATATTTCCACTTACACTAGAAGGTGAAGGTTGCATTTGTCCATATGGTTGTGGAGGTCCATACATAGCTTGGGGTGGTCCCATGAATCCACCTGGAGCACCTCCCTAAAGCAAAAAAGAAAAATCATGAAAATTAAATGAATCTTCAGAAGAATTTATTGAAAGCCATTTACAAAATTCTGTGTGTTATTAAGTATGGCTTCATGTCTGCTTATACATGAATCGTATGAAATTTATAATGATTAGACCGCAGGTTCCCAAACTTTTAAAATTTGTGACGAATTTATTCTCTGTAATACCAGTTATTAGGAAGAAAATGTCACATAACACCGAATTACGACCAAGTTTTATAATATATTCGCTCTCAATCAACGTGGTATGTGTGCTTTTTCATGCACATGTGGGATCGTAATGCGACTAAAAATCAGATAGTCAGACTTTTATCCCAATGTTAATTTTAACGAATTTATCATTTTTTTTTTCAAATGAGGGCACTAGTAATTGGCAGAACACTAAAATTATCTTGCAATGCATAATTTTAAAACTGTCCCAAAGACATTTATTAAATTGAAAATTGATTTTCAAAGATTTGAACGACGATTTATGAGGGATTAATGGATTGACAGTATATTCATATGGCAGATTATAGTAAATCAATAAAGGAATTACAAAATCAGGATGTCAATATAGTCACACAGCTGTCAGCCTAATAAACATGCATGGATGGTCAATTAAACAACACAAGGCTAATAGACAGGAAATCAATATCCGCCTTAAAATGTTCGAATATATTTGTATTGACTGAATTATCGTAAACATAAATCAGCACGTTGTGGGCAAATTCTTCGGTACTCCCGAAGTATGTGAACCAAGATGGTGGACACAGGATCGTAGTATGTGTACCATGTTAGAGTTCTGCCATAATTTCAGTTACAAATACTACGAGAGTCACCTGGCTAGTCCCCAAACTCGTAATAGAACTAAAATTGGAATGAAATTATGACCCAACCCTAACCTGGTGCACATACTTTGTTACACAATGCATCTGCTACCGTGTCACACAAAGGTATAAAACACTCCAGCTATGGATTTGGTGACTGTATAAATCATGCATCATTACAATACTACCTTCAGACATTATATTTGGTCTGCCACATATTCTAACAACACTTTACCAGAACTTAAACAAAAAGCCATTTGAAAAATAAAATGATACATAGCCACTTTGATATTACCTACAATTACCACCAAATTACACTGACACACTAACTCCTAATAACCATAAATATTGACCATATAAATTATTGTCCACAACATTTTTTCCCAACACATTGAGCCAATGCCTACCTATGGATTCCATCCTATTGAATGGGAATGAGAGATTTTATTTTGTATGAACAATCCAGGAAATCGTACCCTACTTTTCATGGTCACCCATATTTATTATTGAATATTTAGTTACACAACGAAGAATCTGGGGTAAACTACCGGTAGGTCTCAAAGCGGCAGTATTGCCAGCCCTAGTTTCTGATGTTTTGGTGACCTGAAAAAGGCATCTTTCTGAAGTCCAGTGATCACTTTTGCATTGATATTAAATTAGCTTTCATTAAAAATCACACTGAATATAGTCATTATTTCCTACACGAAATCTACAAGCTAATTCCTAATTTTTGCATTTTGATTGCTTTAATCAAATGAAATAAAGCAGTGCTGATGCAATAAACACACGTGCCACAACACCGTTTGTAATCTTACCATAGACATTTGAGAATAAATACAGACCTGAAGCGGACCATATCCCTGAAATCCACAAAACAGAAAAGGTTGTAAGACTCTAAACCATCGACTGATATTATCTTTCAATGCAAATAAAATCAACGACATAAAAACTACAAATTCCAAGTTAGTAAGTAGCGTTAATCGTTAATTTGAATATTTAAAATTATCATCGAGCCATACCTGGTAAGCAGATGTCATGTCATTCTCGTAGCAGCTACGAAGTTTTTCCATCAACAATTGTTCGGCACTTTCACATTTTTTCAAATCTCCAAATATGGTGATCGTCCGCTCCGCGTTAAATATTGACATATCCGTCAGGCTGGGGGAGGACCAAAAATTATAAAGATAATAACAGGTAAAGTTATGAAGTTACAAGAGTACATAAATAATACAAAAAATGAAAAACAATGTATAGGAGTGTTGATTCATATTCTTAGTACTTTTTTCTACGAGAAGCAACAGAAACATTCTGGATTCACTAATTTCCCATATTAGCATAAAAATACATTGAATGAAGATAAAAGACGAAAATAATTCAAAAGCCCATTCAAGATTCAATTACCTAATTACAAAACAGAATTGATTGAAAAAAAGCTATTTATTAAATATCAAAACTGCCTCGTATAGTAAGCTGATCCCCACTTTAACTCTGAATGTATCATTCAATCCATCTTCCTATACTTCCTTACCTCTGACTCCAGATGCCTTTCCGCCAGAAATATCCCATAGGTGATCTGCCTGAATCCCTGTCAAAAGCACGGTAACTCAAACTGTCATGAAACACTAATTACTGCTGCTATATACTAAAAAACACCTAAACACGAAACTTCAACCTTTACCAATAATAATATGACTTGAATATAATATGAACAATCTCTCATCAAAGCTACTTAAGAAGTCTTTTAAGCCCTGCTAAATGCTTTTCTTATTCTGACTGAATATACTGTAACTGACTTTACCATGTTCATGCCTAAAACAATGATAATTCTGAAAATCAAACTTGAACATCTATGACCAAGATTAGGGAAAAGCAACTCACTTGGAGATGGCAATTTTAGTGTCAACTTTATCTTGAATAGCTTTCAAGTTGCGGCCATCTCTTCCAATCAATCGACCAATGAGAGAATTGTGAGCCAGAAGTTTTAACGGCAGCTCATCTTCAGTCCAAGTTCCAGCGGCACTAAAAACATTCAAGTTAAGGTATAGGATGCAATAAAAAATAATAAACTCGAATTAGGTGGCATAATCTAAAATTGTGGAGTGTCGTGGTTAATAAGAGCCTTGAGCGTAACCATGTTTGCAACGAAGAATAAAGGTCTAAGACAGATGCACAGTACTACACCCAGGTTGCCAGTGCTGAACTGCAAAGACTAACCCTTAAAAAAGGAGCTTTTTTTCATAACTGTGGATCCTTTGGAGTAACGGCATTAATATAACACAATTTTTTGCTTTATTGGTATCCAATGTAGCGAGTTTTAAAAATTCAAAAGTATTCTAAAAGTAACCTGATCGCCAAATCAAATCTGGGTTTAGGTTGAATTTTTGTTGTGGGTTTTAATGCAAACATCCTTTGCAACACATAATTACTTATTATAAACCTTTTGACAACAAATTAATGTTGGATCATTTGCATATCTATTTCTCGGAGGTAATTTATTTGCTTCAATATTAGCAAATACCAATAGACAGGATATGTTATGCAACAAGGAAATGAGTAGGCAGGCAGCAGTAATAGAAGCGGATGGAAATACCGATTATTCCTGATTGCTAAACAATCACGCAATGCAGACATAAGATATTTTGCATAGGATTAAGATTAAGGCGTTATGATGGATCTGCAGCCAAAAGCAATACACAATTCATATCAAAGAAGGGCTATAAAGCTCAGATTAAGAAATTGCACTGTATGGTACTCTAAAGGTACTTGTTTATAAAGCTTAAAAAAGACAGAGCAAATCAATATACCAAAACCGTGGACAAGCCCCAATGTCCACCAGGATGTAGCAAAATAGGTAGGATGTCCAGTAACCAAAAGATTGATCATTTCAAACCAGTGGTTATTAACTGTAAATGGATGTTTGTCCAGAGACAATAAAAAGACAACAAATATTGAGTCCAAAAACTAGTTATTTATTAACTAAAAGATTGTCCATGTGAGCAGTGGTACACTACACTCAGTCCAGTGGACAAGCATAATTATCAATTCAGTTATTTACACTTTCGACAATTTCACTCACGTTCTTGCATTACGGTCTTCCTCTCTCACAATCTCGAGTATCTTTACAACAGCAGCAGTACATGCTTCGGGAGTACCATTGATGGTAACAGCCTTCTCAGTTGCACCAGGATTCTCTTTGCGATGAACATCGACACTGAAACAATATGAAAATAAATCAACAATGCACTTCATCTAAAAGTCATTCAAAAAGACTGAATGACAGATCAATATCCCTCTCTACCGAAGAAGCTATGCAAAATGACAATTGGCAACCATATGTCTATTTGGTACACCCGTAGTATGTGTGCCAGGTTAGGGTAAGGCCTTAATTTTATTCCCATTTTCCTAATTTTAGTTCTATTATGAGTTCAGGGACTGTCTGTGTTAGCCAAGTGAATATACCCCCTGCCCATAGGCTTCCGTCCCTTTACACAACTTAATGTGAAATAGGCGAACAAAGTTAGTTACCGGTACCTCCATATTGGTAAACATACTTCTGGAGCGCCGTCTATTTCTATTCTAACAGACAATAAACACATTGTAACAACTCAGATCAATTCCATACATATTTTAAGACTTTATTAAACAGCTGCCGATTTTAAAAAACATAACCTAAATCTACCTAGTAGACACGGATGTAACAGAGCTACTGCATATGTTTTTACTAATAGGAAAGACAATTGCCCCACAAACAAACAAACCAAGAAGTCGCAACATACCGTGCATGTGTATCATGAGTAATCTGCTTGATGGTCGCTCCTGCTTTTCCTATGATTGCTCCAACATACTGGCTTGACACCAACATTCTGTGAAAGCATAGAAAATTCAATAATAAAATTCATTCAAAAAATTTCAAATTCTATGTGATGACAGGAATAAGGAAAGCAATACCTGGTAGGCATTTCAGGAATTTTTGGTCGATTGCCATATCCATTCCCATTGTAGGGACCATTATAGCCAGAGTTAGGATATCTATTACCTCTTGGTGGTCGGGAGGTATCATTTGGGTCCGGCAGGAGGCTCACCTGTGTAATGCATATACAATTTGTTATTACAGAGATAATCGAGACTTTAATTTACAGTGTGGATTAGAACCCAATTCGAAAATTTCAAATATGATTCGGTTTGAAAATTTCTGGTGAGAGAAAAGTATTTCAACAGAAAAACATAGCAGCTCCAAAAATCTTGTATTCAATTCAACAATTGAACAAAATACACACAAACTAAACACATAAAAAGTGAGCATTCGAAATATTTGAAGATGAATAATAATAATGAAGACAATGTCTCCATAAGATCATGATACTATGGCTTACAAACGTCAAACAAATCCTCACCTTAAGCTGACTACCCTCCACTGTTTTTCCATTGAGTTCTCTGATGGCAGTTTGTGCCTCTGCACGAGTACTGTACGTTACATTCACAGTAGCACTGTCACTCTCAGTGGAAACTAAAAAACAAAACAAAAAAGTCAAAAATTGCTGAATTGGGCAAGTGTTATTTGCTAATTTAACACAGAGCTTGATTGGTTCCTTAATCACACTTGGTACAGTGAGAAAAGCATCCCACTTGTTATACTTAATTATCCAACCACACCAATAAGTCTGTAATTTCAAAAAGGATGCCTGGAGCAAATATGAAAAAATTTAATAAATAATCGACACAAAAAATTCTTGATTAAAGTAATAATTTAAAACAATTTATTCGAAAATTTGTCATTTTAAACATTTGGCATGTGATGGTTAGACAACATAGATTTCCTATTACTCACAATGCTGAAAAATACCAAATGAATTTTACATTACTGATCAAATTTTCCCAATAAACAAAGAATTGTGTCAACTTTTTTATTACCACGACCTTATTTAAAACATGTTCGCCATCCAGATTTGATAATTTTTCGGAATGGAGGCAGAGAAGTGAATTTTATTGATTTTGGACATTCCTGAACCTAAACTAGATTACTTGAAATTTCGCTTGAATATACCTTGTTCGCAATTTTCTACAGTTCCATATTCGGCCAGTAGTTTGTCCAACTCTTCCCAATTGAGGTGAGAAGGAATATTACGAACCTGAACTTTCTTGCTTCTGAAATAAAAATGAATTTATAATAAGGTTTGAGCAACTATATTAATTTACAATGTCATACTACGATTTGAAAACTGCTAAAAATGCAGTCTGAAAATGCCTCAAGTATCATTATACCGGAGTAACAACCAGAATTAATGAAACAGGAATTATGAATTGATATTAGTAGGTTGTAAAGATATTATTCTTGCATACCCTGAAAATGAAGCTAATCAGAAACAAGAGAAATAAACAAAAAATAATTTGATTCGCATTGAAACTGATAAAAGAACACAATTAGCTAATATCAATGTAAAAATATTTACTGTATTATTAAAACTGGCTCAGTTAAAGTGTCATGAAAAAATTCCAATAAAATATTGAATGGATATTAGGCTACATAATGTATGCAAACTAAGCATTCACATGCGCTAATGTTAACCAGAAAGTATATTTTTAAACAAACAAACAACAATATTCAGATGTCAGGAATAAATACAGAGTCAATGTAAAATTCGCAACCGTTAACCACAACAATTTGCCATTGTTTACTTTGTTGCTTATCAGATATGGTTCAAATAAAATTAATTTCCAACAATTTAAAAACTAAAATATGTTTTTTAGATAATTGGTACTATTGTTTTTCCAGTCAGCCATCATACTGACGATAGCCTGACTTATTTTATTTTATGACTTTGAATTCATGACTTTGCCGGAACTAGGCTTGATATCTCGCAGCCTAAAGAACTATTAAAAATCTTACAAAGTTCAACACTTCATAAATGGGTGATAAACTGTAAAAAAAGTATGCAAACTGAATACTGAGAATAACAGGGCAAATGTTTCAAAAGTTATTTAAATATGTAGACTATATGGTGCTGCCTATATATCAATCAATGCCTATCCCTCCGTCCCTAGAGGAATTTTCTCACCTTGGCCTGTTTGTGTTTGTTCGTGGATTTCCAAAGTAGTACATTTTCCAGACGGATTATCTACCCGATATAACCGGTATGAAATGAATGATAAACTAACCTATATATACCATACGAAATAAAAACGGTGAAATAATTCAGTACCGTAACTAATATCTAACAACTTCAATTGCCAGCATTGGTTAGCGGCGATATACAAAATGTCACTAATTTTTAGCAATACTCCAAACTCAATTAATCCAAAGAAGCCTAAAAAAATTAAGTCTCGTACATAATTCTTCTGAGGCAATTAATATTATTGTCGAGGTCTAAAAAGGCACGTGAAAACCCACGCCATTTTCTCTCAGCGAGGGACGACGATCATCTTTTTTCTCGCATATTGATTTCGTTGCGCTGGAACACGTGCGCAGCCAAGAATCGACCGATTGGTTGTGGCTGTTGAATTTTTCATGAGCGGAATTATGACGAGAAATTGCTCCGTCTTTCTAGATTTCTGATCGATTTCGCTGCTCGCGTTCTTTGTTTGTTTACATTTTTATAATTTTCGGCGAAACTGAAAAACGACAACAAATTGTTGCGAGCGATACGAAAAACGAATAAATACTCACTTTGATCCTCGTGGTACTGAATGTTCCACGGAGATATCCTTTCCTTCGAATGTCATACCTGAAAACAAGATTACGTTATTATTATTAAAATAATGAAAGTTTCGTAATTCAAATAGTGACTCGGATAATATTTTGCATTAATAGCAATGCTAATTCGTCATAACATAGTCAAATACCGCGCGAACTTATCCTGAACGTCATTTGGAATGTTTTTCCGGTACCAGGGGCGCCGATTGGCCAATGACAGAGTTTTGTTAGTTATCAGTAACCTATTTTCAATCACGCTTCGTTACGGATGAAGAATTACCTCTCTCGTTGTTACGTCGCGACATTTTCGGAACGCTGTGTTACAAAGCCGAATGAATGCTTTTGTCGGATAATATGCAACCCGTTCCTGTTATATCTACTATATAAATTTTCATAACAAACTATCACAGACGTCACCACGTGATCTCACTCGGGTTTTACCACAAGTCAAACAACGTCAAGGCGGTACGCATCGTTTTCTATGGAAGAGCTCAGGTAACATATCTAAATTGTTCTATAATTCCTCACCGTTAAGCTTTTCGATTGCCTTTTCTGCACTTGTTGGATCCTTACAATCGGCAAAAGCAAAACCTTTTTTGTTGACGACAATATTTGTCGCTTCTACACTATTTTCGTTGAATAAGTTAGTTAAACTTTCTGCTGTTACGTCCGTGTTTAAACCACCCAGATAAATTTTATTCATATTGTCCGGTTTTGAATGATGAATCCACTAAAGTGAAATGTGGAAAACCAGTTGTCCGAGCCTAGCGCGTTCCGCTGTATGGTTGTGACGGCCAGTTAAAAAGCTATGCGTAGTGTTCTTTAGGAAGAAAGCGCCATGTGCTTGTCAAGCAACTGTGACCCGCCCCTGAATAAAATGTCCGCAAATAATGGACGAAATTACGCGCTCGTGTGGCTATCTCATCGAAGTTAAGCATGCCGACAGTTGCACGGCTTTCGTCGTTTTATATCCGTAGATCAACAAGCTTACGCTGTAAATGATGTTAGTAAGGTCGGCTCGGTAAGAGCTCTTTCTCATAGTTGCTGACGGCGCTCATACTGCAACGATTGCTTGTTCAGCCCACTAACCTCTAAATCAAGTTCTACACAACGAGGAAACTAAAACAAAATATTACAATAAAAATATTTTTAGCATTCTCTGGAAAGTACCTTGTCTATTCATTGGTCCATTCACATCGTTTATATGAATTTATGCTATATAGCGACGGAAGCGGTGTTTTATCGGTTAATACTGACTAATTTTGAAATAGATTTATAATTTAAAAAAATTCAGTAAATTATTGGTATATTGAAAGAAGGTGCGACGAACTTCCACTTCCACAAACAGGGACAGATAGTCACCTCGTCGTCAAGTCCCAAAGTCAGTAGAATTGAAATAACCAGAAGCAACTAAAATATGCGGTGTTTGATAGATACACATACACCCATGAAACAATGTCGTGCTAACATGCTTCTCAATGAGAATAGCTTTCCCAAACAATTACAGCTTGATTTAGAAAATTTCTTCCAGATTTTTGAATGAATTTCGACGGTTAGGGATGACTTTCGTCGAACTATTAGGCCTACAGTATGCGAAAGGGCCACATGATAGCCACGAAGTGTCATCAATAAGCAATTAAAACACATTTGGACCTTTTTTCAACTGAGAGATTAATCTCCCTCGGTGATTCGAAAAATCTTGTGCATGCGGCACGGAGAATGGATTGGTAACTATATATATGTCCGGTCCGCGAAATCTCTGCGCGATGGTAAATATTTGTTGGGTATCCACACAACTTTGTGTGAATGGCATCCTTTGCATGGATAATCACCGTTTAATGTAAAGTTTTAACTTGAGGGAATTGGTGAAATTGAGTTCTGTATCTCACACTACACTGTGCGAAAATTCCGGTGCTATTTGTCCTCCGGATTATATGTCAAACAAATGACGTTTCATAATAGTCTCATGCTAAATTTTTAATATATCAACTTCTGTTTGTTTGGTAGAATTAAGAATATTTTATGATAAATTTCATATATATCTATCTCGTACAGTAGTAATGTAGATTGTAGATAACGCATTTTTCGTAAATCGTCACATTACCTTGCCAATCTCAATCTCCGCGTACACGGGGTAACTTGGCGCTCTTGTTTCAAGCGCAAGCCTATTGCGATACTGTCAGTGATTTAATACATATATATACGTTTCTTCATTTCATCTTCACATAGTAGTTTGATCAATGAATTTTTAATTTGTGGAATATACATATATATATTATCCATAACAGTAACATCTTCATACCAATGTTATTTAATAAAGATAAACATACGAAGCAATTATTATAAGCGCTGGCGCTTTAAGTCAACCTCCGTCGTCTTTCGGGCCATCTTCTTTGTTTATTATGTGCATGTTCAAATTTTCATGTGCGTAAACACATACAATTGCTTCTATTAAAAAGTTTTACTGCCTTAAATCATTCAACTGCATAGCCCACTTCCTTATTACAAAGAGCATATTATGATCAAAATAACCTTGAATTTTCCCTTTTCTTCTTTTCTCTAACTCATAAAATTACATTTGTATTTATTTATGACAAATGTGTCTATTTTTTTAAATAAAAGTGCACAAAGGCAAAATAGGCTCAATTAATATATAAGGCAATATCGTTTTTGTCTTTCAATCAAATATCAACAACGATTCTTTTGTACTACATTTTCTTTTGAGTGTGAACGGCAGCATACACCAAACAAAATTCACACATTCCAGATCCCATGTTCCGTATATCATAATCATGCTGAACGCTCACTGCCCTATTCAAACCCACAAGTAGTGACATTGACTCAGAAAAATCCAAAGGTATTAGTTTTTCCGACGCTGAACCAGTTATGTATGTAACATCACGATTCGTTTTCTTCAGAGTCAATGTAACTTCAGCTTTTGATGGAAAAACTCCTTTTCCAGAGAAATGAGATATTCTGCATATTAAATGATATATAAAAATGATTACTCCAGTGCAAAAATGAAGATATATATAACAAACAACAAAATAATATCTAATAGCATTTGATATTGATACAGACCGAAGTGTAGTTTTGCGTTTCTTATGTTAAAATTTATTCGGAATAATTTATTTATTACACATATAAAGTGAGTAACCATTACTAAATATTTATCAGAATGAAAAGAGAACCTAAGCTCACCCGGTTGCTTGAAAGTTTTTTCCTCTCATTGATTTGAGTTGTCCTTTATGTTTTTGATCGACCAATTCGAAGTGGAGGGACGATGGAACTCCGTAGTTCATTCTCATCGCAAATGCCTGATATTATGATTGTTTTGAAATTTTATATACAAAATGTAAGGGCAGGGATGATAGATTGTCAAAAAATAAACCTACCGACAATCGTGCGTAGTCTATTTCCAGGACGCTTTGATATTCACACTGGTGCGTCCCCAACGACATCCATTTTCTCCAAGCTGGAAGTCTAGGGGAGACTTTTATCTTAACAAAATCACGGGCATCTTTCTGTTCCGTGACCTTCCCATTTGAAAGATTTATTAGCATGTCACATTCTCTCGTTTTCAGATCTAAATAAAATATTACAAGTTTTAAAGAGTGCCCCGAGTTATCATGAGCACTTGGGTTCAGGACTTCAGGTCCCCGTTTATTTTAGTGGTCACGACGTAGTATATGTGTACCAGGTTAGGGTTAGGCCATAATTTCATTCCGATTTTCTTTATTTTAATCCTATTACGAGTTCGGTACTGTCTGTGTTAGCCAAGTGAATAGACCCCACATGTTTCAGTCGCTTTACACAACTTGATGTAAAGTAGGCAAACAAAATTAGTTACATCCATATCGGTACACATATATACTTCTGGAACGCCACAAGATTTGTAACAAATTAGGCAGGATACTAACTGGAGTGCTTGTGTGAAATTATATCTTAAAATCATTTGACTATTTCTTTGAAAATTTGAACACGCGAGTGACGCGACTCACCGATGCACTGTGCAGGGGGTGAATTACTCCATGACGGTACACCCTCATCGTTGTTGATACAGACCGTGACAGATGACCCTTCTCCGTGATCTCCACATTCTATCGTGCAAACTGATCCGAGTCGGTCTCCACCAGTACAGACCGTTGTCAGTTTATTCCATTCCGCTTCTGGAAACACCGTTCGTAAATCTCCACACTTGGGAGGGCCTGTTCAATAAAAATATAGTGCTCGGTTAACATTTTTTCTGGCAGTGATCATACCTATATATAGAGAGAGTCAAAGAATATTTTTCAACTTTCGAAGCGTATTTTATTCTGCCCAATGCTATAATACCGAAGGAATAATAAAAGCATTCACAAACCTAGTGCACTTACACATTGTTCAGTTTTACAAATATTGACGATTCTGTTTACCAGGATGAATCCATTTGAAATGTAAACTTACCTTTGCACGATTCACCTTCGAATGAGTCTTGCCATTCTAGATTATTCATGCATGCCAAGACATTTACTTCGTATCCTCTCAAAGTTTTACCGGTTGGACATTTTACAGAACATAATGTATCAGCGTTCATACCATCGGGACATTCTAGTACAGCATTTTCTGGTACAAAGGGGTTTTCACACTGCCGCGACACTGGAACAAAAATTCGATTTCATCAGTCTAATGAAATAGCAATGAATATTAATATCTCAATTTTTAGATAGAATTTTAAGCTTCTTACAGCGAAAGAGTAATATAAACTTCTCGTAGACGGATGTGTTCGTACCCACAAGATTTGTTGCATATATATTTTCACATGATTTACCTATGCAATTGATCTGCGACGGGTGTGATGACCATTGTTGATTTGCTCTGCAACTTATCGTCGGTGGCCCCTCTAGCTTGTATCCAAATGGACATATCAGTTTACATCTACTTCCTATTTTATAGTCATCAGAGCATGAATGCGTCAACAGATGTGATAGCTGTGGCATTGAGCAGGATAGTGCTGTAAAGGAATGAATTTAACAACTTGAACATCTCTTAAAAGTTAAAATTGCAACAATAAATGATTCGTAACTTACGAATACATCTGACAGTCCCAAACGACCATTTCCCAGATATTCCACATCGTATGCTCGTCGCGCCAGTTTGCATGTAGCCCAGAGGACAGCTCACGCCGCAAACAGACCCAAACTTTCTTCCTTTTGTACAATATACACTGGCCTCCGTCCCATCGTATGATCGTTGACCTTCAAGGACTATGTCATCCAACTCCAAAGCCGGGCATTGGATTTCTGAAAAATAATATGACGTTGAAATCGAGAATATAATGCGTAGTCTATGTATAGAAAACAAACAGTGGACAAGACTATTATATTCAGCAATGTTTATTTTAATCTTATGACAAAAATCAATAAAAACACGAGCTCCGAACAGCGTTAAATTACCTGTACATTTCCAGTTTGTTGGTGCGGTCCATTCGCCCTGTTTGTTGCACGCTGCTGTGTTATAAGACAATAGCTTGAACCCCCGGGCACAGGATGCCCTACAAATACTTCCCACATGTACTCCATTTGTACAGTCCACAAACGTCCTCGGTGAAGTTTTGATATTGTTGCAGAATTCCCCTGAGAATGAATTGAATGGTTAGGTGCATTTCTATGATTTGAATCGTTTTTTGTTAGATAAAAATGACCATTATAGCTCACTTTTACAGCGCCATGAGCCAGGAGACCACTCCTCGCTAGAGATGTGGCACGACCTTGTGGGTACTCCTTCCAACACAAATCTGTCATTGCATCTTGCATTACAGCGAATAACGTTACCAGTTGTCACGCAGTCGAGTCTACCATTAGGTAAACTGTCCTCCGTGAGTTTACAAGCAGATACTGAATGAATGATGTAAATGTAATGATAAAACATTTATAATTTTTACATAACTAACTAAATTGAATTTAATGTTAAATGATAAATATGATTGTATACTATCCTTGAAACTACAAAATATATCGTCTTATACTAAAGCAACTGAAGCGGAAATAAAATGTTAGTGCGAAATGAATGCTGTTTATACGTACAGGGTGGCCAAAAACGAATTCATAGATTTCTTAATTAGCCTAATGCTACGAAAATATATTTAAGACATGTTTCGGTATGATTGTGCCTCTAAGATTCATCAATCTACGCTTTGCTCAGATACGATATTCTTTCTAGAATATGTTCCGCGTGACCCGAGTTCTGTTTTTCTGTACAATGATTAAGTGAACAATGAAATTCAATGCGATATGTAAATAACAACAGATACCTTACGTTAATCTATCCGATCGACCGAAAGTAAAATGAATGATTTCGGTCTCTATTAACGTATATATTATATATAGCATATCTTTCAATTGATAAAACATATTAAGTTTCGCAATACCTTTTTCTGGTTGTGGTTTCAAAGGCAATTTTCGTCTAGGCAATTTGTCTGTAATCACTTCTGGCTTCTCTGAAAAGGTATTTAGAGACATTTCATTTGTTGACTAAAATAGGATTTTTTTTCAGTTTTCAGTAATTAGGGCCCTAAAATCATGCCGATAAAAAAACAAGGACGAGTGTGTGAACGGTTAGATATTTTATTTTTTTCAGTTTTCGCTCCTAACTTTGTTTTTATAACGACATGATTTTAGAATCCTAATTATATATTTATAGACCAAGGGTGTGCAACCTTTAATACATGAGGGCCAGATAGAAATAACTGGGTGAAACCTCGGGCGCACGTTTATTTAACATAGGCTATCTAGTAGTTACAGGCCAAAAATTTTGTTATTGCTCTTATGACATGCGTAGTTTGCACAAGCCAGCTGTTGAGGCATTGTAAAGTCATAGGCATAGATAGATAATAAATTGGACTCAGTGATACGCTTTGCAACACAAAGGCATTAAAAACTCGTTTCACGGGCCGCTCATCTTTTAAAATTGGCACTTCTCCGCGGGACGCACAATTTTTTCTTCAGGTCTGCATTTGACTCGTGGGCCGCAGGTTGCACACCCCTGATATAGACGTATATATATCTATTTCCGATCATAAACGTAAAACACTATATCAAATGAAGATCTTCGTTTAGATAAAGTTTTTTTTTGACTAGAATTTACCTGTATAACATAAGTTTCTGTCATCATCAAAACAACATCCTTTGCTCTCACATATAGTCCTCGGAATTCCATACCATGTTCCTGAGCAATTGCTTCGTTTTGGCAGTTCAATTTGACATTGTTGATCTAAGACTAAAAAAGGCGACAAGTCAGGCATTACCCATTATAGCGATGCCAACATAGACGGATGGCAAGTGGAGTGAATGAATTTTGCTTGTAATAATTTGCTGTACAGTAAAACAGAGTGCGTGCATATGCGTACGAGATAAAATATAACAAGTATTTGATGATGTATTATGTAAAAAAAATCTATTATGCTATAGGAGTATAGGTTATTATATACATACAGTCAGTAATCAACTTAACATACATTTGTAGCAGTCTTTCTTTTTTGCATCCCAGCAGCATCTTGATTGTCGGCAAACCCGTTCAGTGATCCCGTTGTATCGTGCGTCACAAAATGTGGTTGAACACATGCCGTTGTGCTGTCTGCTGGTCACGGAAAAGCTACTTCTTCCATCACCTGTAATTATATATATATATATAGTTTTGGATTCAAGATAGTTGGCGTGGAAGGAGGTACACGAAATTGTTATGACGTAACGTGATATTCTGCTGGAGCATCAAGCGATTAACCGTATATTCATACGTGTGCAATCGATTAAAAACAAGACCGCCGCTGACGCGCAGTCTTAGAAATTTTCTTGTTTCAGTATATTCATGACTTTGACATCTTATAGCACTATTGGTCTCGTCTTACCTATAAACACTCGTCTGCATTCTGGTGGACTTGTGAAAGGAACGTGATCATCTCCCGCAAGTAACCATGTTCCTCTGTAGCAATCAATTGCAGTCGGGCCGCTTGCGTGAGCAAATAGTTTCTATTAAAAAGGGAACGTTTAATAACAAAACTGCACGACTTTCTGAATTTTACGATTCGGTGTTTTAATGCCGACTTCCGCTAACTGAGGGATTGATTTCAAAATTTAAAGCTTTCAAATGAAATATTATACTTAAACTATACTTTGAACGTTATTCTGACGATTGATTAAAAACAAACAAGCTAGAGCGAAGTACTCCATTACAGTATTATATTTCTCATTTATTGTTTGTTAGGGTTACATTGACTTACATTACATTTAATCTTGCAGTGTGTACCATCAAGATATTTCCCCACCGATTCACGAGTGGAACAAATCAACATGCCATTCTGAATGTTCGGAGTGTTGCAGCTTGCAATCTTTCCTACATCGACGTATTCAAATTAAAAATAAAAATTGCAAAAATATAGAAATCTGACTAATAGAGTGATGTATGGTGGCCCATCGTTGTCACGTGTAAAATTTAAAAAAAAAATGAAAAAATAAAATGAAGAAGCGAAAATAAAAAAATAGTTGTGAAAAAACATAAAAATAATTGAAAAAAAAGAAATAAAAAAAAATTCGAATTAAAAAAAAAAATTGAAAAATAAAACAAACAAAAAAATTTAAAAAAAAATTGAAATTAAAAAAAAAAATTAAAAAAAAAAAAAAATTTGAAAAAAAAATTGGATAAAAAGAAAATAAAAAGGTTGACAACGATGGTCCGCCTCGTGGCCCATCGTTGTCACGCGTTTTTATTTTTAGAAAATTTGATGCTGCTTGGGACCAACGTTGTCAGACTTAATCCTACACGCACAAATGTGTTTCCTGGGTTTCTAACTCACTACTGATTTTCATGACCAATATCCAATAAATTCAACATGAAAATGTTCTACAAATTCAACCACAAGCAATATATTTATAATAAGGATAAGAGAATATAGAATTGGATACGAAAATTTGTTTTTACGTGTAGAAGGTAATTCAATTGGAAAATGCTGCTTAACTGCTCAGACACTCGTGCGATGCCGGTACGGTATCGTCTGACCGTACCGGTACCCATGCAATCACTCGTGAAAGAATGGGAGATGATGAGTGATTGTATGGCTACCGGTACGGTCAGACGCAAAGCGACTATAACCGACTACCGGTATTTGGTAAGATGGTACGGTACCGGCATCGCGAGCGTCCAGACAACTGAGTAGTTAAGCAGCATTCTCCAAATTACCTTATACACGTAAAAACAAATTTTCCGAATTTTCGTATTCAATTCTATATTCTCTTATCATTATTATAAATATATTACTTCTTGTTGAACTTGTAGCATGGAGAATCTATAGAACATTTTTATATTGAATATTGCTCAAGAAAATCAGTAGTGAGTTTGAAACCCAGGGAACACATTTGTGCGCGTAGGATTATGCCTGACAACGTTGGTCCCAAGCAGAAGCAAATTTTCTAAAAATAAAAACGCGTGACAACGATGGGCCACGAGGCGGACCATCGTTGTCAACCTTTTTATTTTCTTTTTATTCAATTTTTTTTTCATTTTTTTTTTGATTATTTTTATGTTTTTTCACAAAAATTTTTTTATTATCGGTTTTTTATTTTTATTTTCAATTTTACGCGTGACAACGATGGGCCACCATAGTGATGAAAAATATTGAAACAAAATTTTTATTGGATGAATTTCATTAATCCGTGTATAGTTTGCATTTTGAGAACCACGAGTTAAAACGCGGGAACGAATAATCCTCGCTAATGCTGTTTGGTAATATTCGATTTCACAATTCCCATAAAGCACTAAATAACAGTTTCACTCGAACGTGTATAATTCACCGAGCCGCGCCAGTTGATTCATTCTCAGACAGATATTTATGAAATTATTGGAAACATGGGATTTTCTCCCAAGTCAATCATGGCATTATTTTTAACAACCCTTCGGTTTTCACCCAAGCTTCAAAAAAACTATATAAAAAACGGAAAATGTATTCAACTTTAGGAGTAAAATGAATAAACTGCGAAACAAGCAAAAATACGATCTTCAAGTATGGTAATGTAATGATTACCCAGTGATTTAAATGGAACTATTTCTTAGTTTCGGTAGTTTAAAAATTCAATAGACACACTCACTTGCATCCGACGTCTTTATAGCAGAGTATAAAATGATGTAAATCCATAAGCTTATACATGAATGTACTACCTTCATTCTGATATATATAACCTTACTAACGTTCCTTCGCAAATTTTCAAATGGAAATATTATATATAGTTTTATATTCACCAAAATCAATTTAATAGAGTTATGCGCTAAATTTCAACGCACCACAGTTCGATATCTACAAGAAGCAAGCCCAAATAGACACTAAATGGGTATATATATCTGCGTTGACTTATAAACTTAGATAGTATGACGTCACTATTTCGTCAGTTACTCGAGCATCAAGTTTGCGAGGGCGGATCAAATTACAGATGTGTCGTCTGAATATCAAAAAATAAACGTGTTATCTGATGAGACGTGACCTACGTTTTTCGAAGGATAATCACCATTTCAAGTTAAATGGTTTCGGGTAGCTTGTGCTACCCTCGGGGTGTGAGATGTAAGTCGGTGTACTTTGTCATTGAATACTTTGTCATCACCTCTAACGATACGCCAGAATACTAGGACCGAGTGGGTTCCCAATTAGCATCGATACAAGTTATTGTGAATGCAAAATCTTATTTTCAATTGTCTGATCGGAATTAACCCGTTAACTGTCTATGTCTAATATAGGCTCATCTGTATGATTCCGACTGATTGAATGTTAAACTCAAATATCTAATTTTGTTCTGTTTTCACTTGATATATTAGGATAGGATAAGTAGTTCACTATGTTGCGCTTTGCCATTACTGATAAAAAGAATTGTTTATTGCTCTTGATATTTTATTTGATACGATGGAAAGCAAATCGATTTAAAATTTAATTTTTTAAGTCCCGAAATATATTTGGTTAGCGCGCCTTTTAGGTGAGTTGGTGGGCACTAATATTGAACCTAAGACCTGCTATGCGATCACTTCATGTAATAAAATGTGTCACGAGAAGACTTCCGCTTACTTCTATAGATCATTTTCTGATGAAATATTCTCATGTATATTTATAAGGAAATTTGATGGGAAATGTTTTTTATATACTGTATATGTTAATAAAGTATATTGATGTAATAACGTGCACGTGCGATTGAAGGTAAACAAGAATAAATATATATTGTCCTCGACAGACGTCTCAACAAACAATATATATATATATATATGATTCCTGATTTTTAAAAAATATTGTAGCAATGAGAAGATTCATTTTCATTATTAAATGTGCTTGCATTTTGGATTGAATGAAACTATACATTGGTTTCTTTGACTGTTAGTTTAGTTTACAGCGATCTAGAATGCAAATTAATTACAATACTATAACAATTAGCTCATTAAAAAGTGCGCTATCAGCAATTCTTCTGTGATCACGATGTTGTCCCCACAAGCCATATTAATCATTGTGCCCAGCATAGCTCTGTCATCATAGATACGCCGCTGTTTGGGTATCTCTCAAGTCCATGCAACGGAAAAAATACAATATGATAATTCGTCTTTTCGTTTTTTTTCCCCTGGAATAAATATGTAAAACCTCCGCTGCTGAGGTAACATTCTCCGCGATTTCTTTGCCTTTAGTTCGCACGTGTTTGTTTCTATTCAATATTATAATTCATATTATTTATTATTATTCATTGTGTGGTTTGTTGTTTCATATTGTAAACTTTTGAATCGAATACGCCTTCATTTTCAAATATAGCACCCAATTTCAACAGTTTTGAAGCTAAACCAGTACCGAAATACTTCGTTGTCTGTTGGTTACGATGTTTCATTCGCGCTACATAATCCCTAGGAAGATGAACAATTCCCTGAAACTTTTCCCCAATAAGATGGATGGGTCTTTCGTGACCCCTCATCAACTGCTGTAAGTCAATGTTCACCGTTTTTATTTTTCATGTGTAATATTGCTTTATATTGATTCTAACATTGTGAAAATGAATATCTGTATCTATAATTCATATACATGAAACTGAGCCTCCGTTTTTCCAAACAACGTATTATCGGGATATGACATTCATAATACACAAAATCAAGTTATCGGGAGAGACGCAAGACTTGCGAAGGCATGAACGAGATAACTTCTACTCATTTAGCATTCAGTTACTAATGGGGGCTTTTGTGATAAACAATTGGCAATGATTGCTAATATGCAGCTGATCAAAACGATATATTCTCATACACAGGATCAGTAGTAATATTTTGAATCCATTAGCATAAACTCACTCTGCGTCTAGGATTCTAGGTCCAATAAGTCGGTCGTTTCATCCTGAGTGGTCGATCGCGCCTGATGTTGAAACCTAACATAAGACGTAAAAAAATTGTTTTAGACCAATATTCAAGCGGCGCCTATTTTGTGTTCCAAAGAGGCGAAAACTGTGCGTATGCGAAAGACGATATGTCTGGCGCATATTTGACAAAGCTCATTTTTACGTAACAGTTTACAAGCTTCATCACTGATAATTATAAGAAACGAATGGGCCGACTTTGACCAATGAATGTTTCACTTCGGTAGCATGTGGAAAATTTTTGTTAATTCTGGTGTATAAGAAGCAATATTGGTCACCGTAACTGGACATTAGAATGACCATATTCAATGTTAATTTATATCAATTATGAGCGTACCAGACAATTCCGGCGATTCTGCGTGAGCGGTAATACATCCACTTGTTTTTTTTAGGTGATGTCCCTAATTAAAATCGCGTAATTTTCCTTAATATCTCTATGGGGCAGATAACGTCAAAATTTGACGCATACGTCAACGCAAACTACGATGAACCCCTTCGGTAATTATATTCACCGCACACCTAGAGAATGGTAGTCTACGTCTCTCTTTGGGCCGTGATAAGGATGCGGCCGAAATCCCTTGGGTCTATGTCATAATCAGAAAACAAGTAACCCAATGAGAGATTTGACGCCTAAGTTGAGAAACATATAATAGCTTAGCAAAGTCCAACACGATTAAGATTATTAGGCCTAGAATCTAAAATTTAGTGTAAACTAAGTTCGGTTCAAAGTGGGAGGATTATTAGAAGGATGGAACTCGATAGAAAAATCTTTGGTTATTACTGCGGGGACCAGAAGTACAAATAGTACAACAGAAGTCTTACCTTATATAACTTTCTACTTTATGCCCTCGTCAACTTGTTGTTGTTGTTGTGAGAAATAAATGGATTGGTAGTAGTATATATTTACGACTTAGTTCCTGACGCCACTCCTATATGAGAGCAGCGTGTACACGCTTCGTATGACATCCGTTACAATTATTTTGCCAGTGTGCTATCATTTTGGTATTTATAGTTACAGTGTTCCAACCAACGACTGGTTCCAACCCAATGGACCTTTCCCCGACCTTTGACCCTCGAAAAATTCTTCCTATACTTTACCATTGCAAAATTTTCAGGGCTATTTTAAGAGTGCTTTTGCGAGTTGGCACCTGTAAAATGGGGTATGTGTTTCAAACCATCATTATGATTCATCGCATACAACAAACTGTTTTTTAAAAGTACCGGTAAAGAATTTCAGGCTAGTCTATCACAGCTATTTCTACAATAATTTTTATCACTGCGATTAAGTTAAAACTCCTAGGAAGACAGCGTGATCATTGAATTATCTGATTTTTATTTAAGTTTCCGAAACACAACTGAAAACTAACGAATAGAGTTCAAAAACGCGAAAACGAGGTAATGTTTACAACCAGCCTTGAAAATCTGTCTGAGTGAGAAAAGTGTCTGAGCGGATGCGAAAAGGGGGGCATTGTTACGTCACTCTTCGCATCTTGCTGATTGGCCAATGTCACGAAATAAACAAGGAAGTCGATACTCGGGGAAAGGTCCATATCTAAGAACAATTCCAAAATATTATCCTCCATAAAGTCGAATTATGTTCCACTTGAGTGGTTCCTTGGGAGAGGCTTCACCTTCCGCCTCCTTGCTCAGTTGTTGCAGTGTCTATTCGGCTGGTTGGACATCGCTAATGATTGTTTACGTATAATAGAAAGTTTAGCGTTATTTTACACCCGCGTTTGTAATATTGCCGATATTTACCGCACTGACTTATCAGTTTATAAAGAATAGTTTTGTGACAGATCCGCCAAAGTTTATATTACTTTATACAGTAATATTCTGGAGTATCACAATTTTTTCACTTTGATTTTTAATACCCTGATAGCGGTACCAGTACCAGACAAAAATAGAAGTCCCGATTTAAAAGTGTATTGTGTTCATAGTAACATATTTCGGTGGAGTTGTGTAACATAAGAAAATAATGTTTGGCATTGAACATTTTCTGAGTTTGATATATCTATATACCTGTATACAGATAACGGTAGCAGTTTTTCTGAAAATATTGCACTTATTTCGGTATTACTTCTGATATCTACGTCGTAATACTGTAATAGATGAGACTTACATTTTTTTCTATAATCCAACTGAAACTTGAATTGTATCTTATCCTTGGGCTAAACCAAGAACAGAAGAATAGGGCTGTAGCAGTAACAAAGTGATGAGCTGAAAAATTGTAACGAACAAACCTAATTCATTGAAATGTGAAAATAAAAATGTTTTTTTGGTACAATGGCATAAAGTTCTTCATGACATACCAATTAAAATTTAACCAACTAAGGAATCATAGTAACTTCAGAATTCAAAATCGAGAAAACATTTCACATTATGTATAAAATTTGCTTGTTAATAAAATTTAGAATGAAACTTTGTTAAGATATGCTTTCTCAGCTACCACGCTTCTATGCCATTGGGATATCAGTATTGTGTGTTGATGGTTTTTGTTATGTATTAACAATAACTTTGTCATTTGGTTTAGTAATTTAGTAGAATTTGCTCAACATTTCTCCACGATGATTTTGCTTGAAACGCAGAATCGAATAATATCGGATACTTTGACATATAAATTTGAATGTGCAGTAGCAGGGTAAGCTTATTTTTCCAGTTAAATTATTTGTTATTTTTGAAGTTTTAGTGTTACATTTTTATTATTATTTTTAAAGGTCTAAACCAGAATCAATTGATTCAACAATAGCCGATTTTGATGGAGTGTTATATCATATTTCGAATCCAAATGGCGATAAATCAAAAGTCATGGTCAGCATTTCTTTGAAATTTTACAAAGATTTGGAAAACCATGGAGCAAAAGAGGTACATTACTTTGCAGTGAAAGAAAAAAACTTTTTGAGAGTGTGGTGAATAGTTTGGGACCTTAGTGAACAAGACTTGTTATATTTTATGAATTGAATTATGTTCGTTTCACATTTGGTTGTTTATATAATATTGATTACTAAGTTATTAAATACAGTAAATGAAAATATCAATGTTGAATTTTCAATGACAACTATTTTTTGGCAATATTATCAAATCATTTTGTTAAATTTTTCCAATCATTCGTGATTTATCCTGTTTTTAAATGAGTTTGAATGTTATTTTCTCCAAGCCTTACTACAACACTTGAACTATTATACATTCTCCTTATCAACTTATAGGCATTCAGATTATGACTATGTTATATTATGATTATATATTATTCTGTAAAAGCAACGTTTTCTTCAAAACCCAAATTGTCCGCCCATGCTCTGAGAAAACTCTTTAATTAGTAGCATTTTCCAAAATTTCTTTCAGTGATTAGGAATTATAAAATTGATTGCTTTTGCATTATTTAATAGATTATTTAATATAAGTCATTCATTTATTCTATTTCAGCTTCTAGACAGAGTCTACGGATGTTATCTGACTTCACCTGAGTCTGGACACAGTGTCTCACTGCTCTATGATCTTTCAAACATTCCTAAGGATCACGCCAAAATTGTTGCAGATGTAAGTTATTTCAATTCAAATTTTTTTTTCAATTTTAAGATGTAGAATTTACCTTGGTACCAGAACAATTGACATTCCCAGTACTTGTTTTTCTAGGCTGCAAGTTTGAAAAGGAATTGTTTTGCATCTGTGTTTGAAGAATATTTTGAAGCACAGGTACAAGGGAAACAAGTGAAAAGAGCTGTCGTCAACTACAGAGATGATGAGACGATGTACGTTTTGAGAAATAATACTCGAATTATACTTTAAGTCTAATTTTTGAAAATACGCCAAACTAGATATTATGGGATATAGTATTTATGTTAGAAGACTCATAATACAGTATAAATATGTCAATACTGTTTCATATGCCAGTGATTTATGTTTGCTTGTATTTTATTCAGGTATGTGGAAGCTAAGAAAGATCGTGTTACAGTGATATTCAGCACTGTTTTTAAAGATGATTCTGATATCATCTTTGGAAAAGTTTTTATGCAGGTAATTAAATTAAGTTATGAACCTAAGTATAGGTAGGCCATATTATGTAGAATTATATCTTTAGCCATTAGAAAATAATAAAAGCCCCATCATTTGCTGCTTGTTAGGAGCCGTCTCCACAGAGAGAAATTGTGACAAAAACACCACGTAGCATATTAGCTATTTACGAGTTTATCCACACTTTTTAAGTAAATATTGAAGCAGGAAGATATTTGAGCGCTCAAGAAGTATGTGTACCAATATGTAGGTAACTAATTATGTTCGCCTACATCAAGATGTATAAAGGGACTGAAACCTATGAGCAGGGGGGTATATTCGTTAAACAGACAGTCCCTGAAATCGTAATAGAACTAAAATACAGAAAAACGGAATAAAACTATGGCCTAACCCTAACCTGGTACACATACTATGGGAGTACCGATGTTTGACCAAGTACATTTGGATACATGTTCATGAATTGTACTAGGAATCAGTCAGGGATCTGTATACCTTAAACATGATATGCAGACTGTATGAAATATTGTAACAGGAATTCAAGGAAGGCCGCCGAGCGAGTGCCAGTGCACCCCAGGTTCTTTTCACTCATAAAGAACCTCCACTGGAATTGAAGGGACAAGATGCTGCAGTTGGTGATAACATTGGATACATTACTTTTGGTAAGATTTTGTTTCCTTCTGCTAAAATCTACTAATTCCAATTGTAGTGAAGTTCCAATAATTAAAACTAAATCAGATATTGTATTATGTAACCCACTACGCAGGAAATTTATTTGATCATTACAATTATAACATAAAGCCATTTACCCCTCAACATGGCTGATCAGCTTCTATATCAATGCCCAAATTTTTCTAGGACTAGGACACTGCTAAGCATTCTTTTCATCCTTATTTTTAAAGTTTGAAGAGGCTGTCTGAGTGTCAACTGTCATTATGGATACATAAGTCTACAATCGCAATTCTTTTTCTACATTTGCTGAAATCAAATATTGTGTAGCTGCTATGTATGTTTTATTTGTATTTCTAGTTCTGAATACTCGACACACCAACCCTGCTAATCGTGACAATACAATTGATCTCATCCACACATTCCGAAACTACTTGCATTATCACATCAAGTGCAGCAAGGCTTACATTCACACAAGAATGCGAGCAAAGACTTCGGATTTCCTTAAAGTTCTCAACCGTGCCAGGCCTGACCAAGCAGTAAAAGAGAAGAAAACAATGTCGTAAGTTAAGAGTGTATCTAGAAATGGGGTGATTCTATTACCGGTTTATTTTATTTTGTTGATTTTGCTTACATCAAGATTTATTCAGTATTAATATACCATAATCGCATTTTAATTTTTTATTTTAGTAACACAGTTTTGTAATTAATGAAAAAATTTTTTTCATATTATTTTGAGATTTTTATTTGCTTCTTTGTTTTTATTGTTGAATTGTTTTTAGTAGCAAATTTAATCATAAATGCTGATTGCAGGCTTGTTTTTTTAATTGTGATTTTATCCCTAATTTTTGTTTTGCATGAACAGAGGAAGAAGTTTTTAATGTCAACGAAATGCACTATTTTCATTGTTTGAAAGGTTTGTATTTGCACTTTTTTTCTGGAATTATTTTGCTGCTTAAAAAATCCTAATGATTACATAACCAAGAAATTTTTAAGTTGATTTTGTTTTCCACATGTTGGAGTTGTAAACAGTATGCTTCTGGGATAATCGGACTGCGAAGTCAAAGTTCAAAAAGTGACTCAGAATTCGATTTCCGGCTCGGGACTATCGTATAAAATTTTACCTACAATAACTTTGCTGTTTGCTACCTTTTTTATTTCATTCCAAAATCTTGACTGAGGACTCTTAGCATTCAGAAATCTATAGTTGGATAGTGTCTGTGGGCAGTGAAATACAGATTTCTGGTTTCAAAACCAGGAAAAAGCACATAAAACTATTGAATGAATAGGGTGGCCATTTCCTGGGAAAAGTTGGACTAGCAATTACAAAATAATTGATAAGCCAAACTACCTTAAAAATTAACACCCCTTTAAAAATATGAACTGAGTTTCCTGTTTTCATATTCATTAATACATGTACGCACGCGTTGAAATGTTTTGGTTATAATCAGCAATCTCATTTCATGAAAGTATCAAGATTTTGAAGGATGCATATTGTAACAAATTTAAGAAAAGATTACCAATTCCTACTGTTGCGAAAAAAAGTATATTTGTCATTAATTGCTTCTTTTCATATTTAGGGGCAAGACATTCAACCGTTGATGTGTAATGATTAAACTACATTTTATACATATCTACATATTACCCAAGATTCCAAGAAGAATAATCAACATCTTTAAAAACTAATAATTATAATCTAATCAGTGTAATATTGATTGAAGATTTTTCCAATAATGAATCGAACATTTCGTGGCTATGCCTGGAATGCTTCAACATCAAAATGAATAACTGCAGATTATTTTATTCCATTATGATGATCCTTATATATAGGGAAAAGTTTGGGTGCTCCCGAAATATGGTACCAAGATGGCGCACAACCTGAACAAAATATGTGTACCAGGTTAGGGTTCAGGTTGTGCGTCATCTTGGTACACATACTTCCGGAGCGCCAAAGTTTGTACTACATAGCTAGCTATGCCAACATAGTTTAACTTGTAAAAAATAACAATACATTTAGCATAAAAACAGTATGGCTGTCTACTACAGGGTAGTTGCGTAGGTTTATTGCTATATATTGGAAGTTTACGTTGGAGTCTTCTTCGATTTATCATTTATTTTATATTGTATTGATCATGCGCTAATTCTGCTGCTTATGATTGTCTTTCGCCCACTAGCACAGATAATTTAATGTGATTGTTTGGGAATTGTTGAGGAAATTAATTATTTCGTAATGAGCTTATATATCCTGCACTGCATTTAATATTATTGTGTGGGAAACTGAATAAAACATAACAATACTGAAAGTTTTATTCGCAAATATATTCCAAAAACAAACAAATTTACATTTTTTTTTATTTCATGTAGAAACTTTGTAGTTCAGGTGTCAGTCCCGTGAAATTGATTGTCCCTCGTTGATAGCTTGTTTAACCCAAGACTCCTCTCGTTGCCTTTCATTTAATTCCTGGAAATAGTCGATGTATATTAAGAAGCAAACAACTGCAGGGTTTCGCCCAGCTTTGGAGCTATTAGTTATAGCAAGTATGCGTACAATTGAAATTCATGTAACTCGATAACTTGCGAGCAACGTTTTTTTTATAATCATCTGTCATTTTAAGAAACTCGTAATGAACATATGTAGCGATACTATTCGGTTGCCGGTCATTACGAAAACCATAAATAAACTCGTGTAAATTTACACTCCACTTCAGCCCTTCCATAGAGGTAGATAGCAGTTGAAACTAATTAAGTTATTAAACTTAGTCATTTTTATTTATTAAAAGGATACCCCAACACTCTCTTGTGCCCGAGTTACTAATTACTACAAGCATTGAAATGACTAATGTTTTAGATAAATAGAATAAAAAGATGAAAGATGCTTCCAGATAAATATGTACAGTCCTACTTACATTACGCAGTTGCGCAATCAATAGGCACGGCACAATGCATCCCAAACAGTTATCGTCTGAAACGAGTCCTGGTATCGTATTATTTTGCCTATAGATTGTCTTTGCTTTGCCAACAGAATGACTCGACCCGTACCACAATGGCGAAAGAAGGCATAGCAGTGTGTGTCTGGATTTTTCTCCCAAGCCTGGAAGAAGTGGAAAATATTTGAAATAGAGAACTTATGACTAACAGTAACATCTTTACCACACTTCCCTGTTTTAATTTAAAGTGCGACTCTACTCTTATCCCTCATCAAAGCAAATAATTGAGATTAAAGTAGTAGCACACATAAAAAACAGCAATGTAACGGAGATATATAGAAAGACTAGGAAAGCGACCAAAATCTTATCTGAGATTGAAATGTAAATTTATTATCACGCAGACGAAGTCAACATATTTATAAACATAATCTGATAAAGAAAATTGTTTTAACTTTTAACAGTGATTTAACATCGTTTTGTGCGGGTCGGTGTGCATGACTGATAAAGGTCATCTAGGGCCTAGGCACCCGACCCTTTTGTGTATGTGCTCACCATGGCATATTATACTACCGTAGAGAAAGGCAAATAAAAGTAAATATAAAAAGGAAACGAATAAATGAGTTGGCAATTTTGAGTTACTATGGAGACAATTTAAGATTTTGAGAGGTCATGTATTGTTTGAAACTGGTCCTGAAAAATTACAACAATCATAAAGAGTTTGGTTTCATTATTTAATTGAATAATTCATTGGACACAGACTGAAAAAAATAAGGACAAGTAAGTATTATCATCATGGATTCAATATGCCCTCACTTCTAGCAATAGAATAATTTATTACGCCTATATATGGCACTTTGTACCAACGAGTCTTAAACGGGTTCAAAGCTCTAATTTGTCACGAGGCAGTCGTTTACACTTCGTGGGGATTGCGGGTTCGAATCATGTTGTGGCGATTGTCGATTTTGTCTTAGGGCGGTACTCGTCAACCGGGTTTATAGTACACCCCAGGGTGTACCAAAAAGTCCGAAGGGTGTACCACATCGATAGGGTGTACCGAATGTTGTAGGCAGTAGGGTACACACTAACACATGATATGCTAATTTAATACTCTATGGCAGGGGTGGCCAACCTTTCACATACCATGCGCCACGTTTTAAACATAATGTTTCAGATGCATCGTAAATCTCTTGTATTCCCACGCCTAATGTCCGCTTCTTGTTGAAATTATATAAATTCATAATACACACACATATATAATCAGCTGTTTGGCCTAGCGTCGCGTGATTTTACTCTTCTTCGAGATTAGTACTTGCGTCACAGCAAGCGATTTTACGCTTCGCTTTTGTTGACAACGGTCATTTGAAGTTTGGATGAAAAAGGTGGTATTTAGGGGTCATTTTCAGCATTTTTAGGCTTGGGCAATTCAACTGGTTGTTCAATGGTTATTGGGAGATATTTGGGAAGTCTGGGCAATGGAAAATCCATGTTTCAAGCTGATAAATGACGATTTTCTATTTTTCCAGAAGATCTGAACTTTTTACTTCAGTAGGAAAAAAATAGTAAATTTTACTAATTTTTGCTAAAAGTCTAGAATGAATGTCATAAAGTCCGTCCAAAAGCTAACGTCGATAATCTCCTGTTGTTTCTAATTCCAACAAGCCGTAAGTGGGCGACGTGGAGTAAGGAGGATAGATTTTAGGTACAATCAAAAGTCACCATGTAAATCGCAAAAAAACGGCTTGGCGTGGAGAAGCCAAGTGCAATTAACAATTTTGGCATGAAAAGGGTTAAAGATGCAATGCGCCACATCTAATCTTGCAATGCGCCACGTTTGGCGCATGCGCCATAGGTTGGCCACCCCTGCTCTATGGTATTGGCAATGCTATGTAATAACTATCTAACTAACACTAACCTATACGTGTTAATTTATGCATAACATATGTCTGGCATTTCTGATATCTTCGCCAGGCTGTTTACTGTGGCCAGCTTTTAAATGAGTTTATAAGCAGACTTTTAGTATTTCATTTAGGCTAAAGTATGTTTCGTGATTTTGGCGTGATTGCTTTGGGCCATCTACATCCGAAGGTCGGTTCTTTTCATCGCGCATGTATCAAGTCTTGCGCTCTGGTGGACATGGTTGTTTTTTTCATCGCGAAACTGCGCGTTCTGTACGACAACTTCGAGCGAGAGCTACTGTGCGATCATCGGCGACAAGACGGAATTATTTGGCAGCCCAAATTTCCAAATTATCTTTCATTTTGATAATTATCTCGTGTCGCCTTTGATCGTCTTTATCGTCAGCATATAACAAAAAGTGAACAATTTCTTTGCTACTGGTTTCGGAGTTCGTTGTATAATTCTGTGGTGTCTATGTTATTTAACGTTAAATAAAATGAAACTCATGAAATGTCATCTCTGCGAATCGGTTAAAAATTCTGATAAAATTGACTTAATGCCATTTCTCCATATTCAAATTAATATATCCGTTCGTATTCGAAGTTGTATTGATGCTTCGAAATTTATAAAACGGCCTACTGAAAAGTTGTTGAAATTCACGTGACATCATAGCCACTGAAACATATAAATAAAAAACATTATAACGCAAATATAAAACACTATTTTAACGTCTTTGTCTGTTAGCGAAAAGTGTGTGCAGATTCTCGTGTGTTCGTCAGAAAATCGCAAGTGCGTTGTGCTGTACAAGCGTTTGATTCAGCAACGTACCATGTCCAGGCCACGTTTTACCAGACATAAGTAAACTGCAAATATAACACTCAATTTGGACGTCTTGGCTGATGTTCAAGTTTGGTAAAAACGTTTGCGGCCCGCATTGACTTCCCCCTGTGAAAGTGGCCCGCGACACTGAAAAGGTGGGTTGAGTCTGATGCAGATACTCTAATGCAGTGGTTCTCAACCGAGCAGCTTCGAATTATTGCAACAATTCACTTTTGAGTTGACTGAATTATGCCAGCAACGCTTTCTCTTTATCGTTCATATTCACACTGTATGTATTCGCTGGACGAGTTCGCTACGGCCTACCTAAATCGAAGCGAGAAGGGCATGTTTTCGCCCGTTTCGCCTTTTCGTCCACAACGCATTTAAAAACGGCAACGAAGGGAGCGTAATATGATACTGGATGATACTATTGCCATCTGTTATATGTGTTGACTTGAGACATAATCTCAAGTTTTATAGCTCATTTATCAAGTTTTCAATAAATATTTAAGCATGTCGAAGCGAAAGTATACCTCCTAATACATTCGCCCGGTGTTTGCAACAGTGCAGTGGAGGCAATAATTAAATTCTTAATTAAATCAGATCTCGCGATTTTGCATGCAATTAATACATTGTTATCGCACATAATTAATATGTTGAAACTTTGCACGACAGTCTAACAATTGATATAGTACCATAAAAGACTTCCATACCGCGTTTCTTGTGGCATTGTTCTCAGTCTCCAAAAAAAAAGAGTTTTGTTGGTGGTATGCGACCGGAGTAAAAAACACAAAAATGGTACGTTGTCAGTAAAAGGTTGAGAACCACTGCTTTAATAAAAGGGCACTGAAAACAAGGTTATTACCTCGCTTTGCACAAATGCCCGATGGAATCCAAGAGCAACGTTCATATTAACTAAATAATAAACTATTGCGTCGAAATGAACATATATATAACATCTAAACAATGAGTTTTTTACGTAATAAAAATGTAGGATGGGCAGGGTGTACCAGATTTGGAGAAAGTGTAAAAAGGGTGTACCATTAAAAAAAGGTTGACGAGCACTGTCTTAGGGTAATTAGCGTAACGTCTGACCGGCCATGGCGGATAGGACCAGGTGCCATATGGTTACATTAGAACAGGGCCGTCCATTCCGTGTCTATTATTCGAGTGATGCAGTACGCAAAGATGTGATACATACGATTTGTTTATTTTCCTGAAATGCGCTCCGTCAGCCCTTTCAAACGAGCCATAAGTTCCATTTGAATCGAAACCAACTGGGAGGAGATGTCGATACATGCATACATACATAAAAACAACACATACATACATGTAAGCAAGCTACTTCGTGGCAGAAATAATCGCAATACAATCGAAGCCATTCTCAACTTGAGAAGTCGTTAAGGAATGTATTCTTCGAGTTGCCAATGTTTTATGTCTGGAAATAAAAGAGGCTTTCGCAAAAATAGACAGGCGTTTCTCGTCGTGTTCGGAAGAACTTCGGAATTCTATAGCAGAAACTTTAATTGCAAATACGGAAAAGTTTTCATCATATTCATTGGCGCTTGGCAAAGGATCTGACATCAAGTTTACTGCTAATCATGCGGGGAGTTGATGATGATTTTGAAATTACCGAAGAGCTCTCAGCCATTGCCCAGTTAAGGGCACGACTACGGGCATTTGTTGGGAGCTGCGATGAAAATGATCAAGCGTCTTGGATTGTCTTTGGCGAATCTTTCTGGAATCACCACTGAGGGCGCCCCGTCAATGGTTGGGAAACAACAGTTTTATTGTTCTAATTCTAATAATTGTGAAAGTTTGACGCTAGGGTATTGTTCGTTTTTTCATTAATCTGAAGCCAGTATAGGAAAACTAAAACATAACTAGACAACCATGTTTAGTGGCCCGCGCACTGATTAGTAAACTAAATGTGACCCATCGGCCAAAAAGGTGTGACCCATCGGCCAAGAAGTTTCAAGCGTCTGCATTGGGAACCGACGCCGGAGAACAAACTGAGTGGACCAGGTTATGAAAATCGAAAACAGTACGTCAGAAACACTAGTTCTTGAACATGTATTCCGTCTCTGCTATACTGTTTAGCGTTAATTATTATGCAGATACTGTTAAATTTTTGAGGCAAATAAACAGACATACATATACATCGTTTCGTGGCATGTAACACGTCGTAAATTTAGTACGTACCTATTTCTTCAGCATTTTCACCATGGGCAATGCAAGGAGTAACAAACGATTTCAAACAGACGGTCGGGTTGTAAAGGCAATCCACACATCTGAAAGTGAAGTTTCCTTCTCTTTGAATAACAAGTAAATCTTGGGTATCACTGCGGATTATTGCTCTTTTTTCAGCTTCCACTTCGGCCCTATGGACCACTTTTCCTTGCCTTTGCATTATGTGTAATTAACACTAAAAACCCCGCTTAAAGAATTTGTTCGCAGCAGATCTCGTTTGAGAAGGTCGCGAGATCAGGGTTTTTGACGTCATAATGGTTTAGGCTAAATTAATCTATTAGGTAACAAACAGTTTTTTTTCAGACCTTTGACCCCAAAGCCAATCTCATCATTTTAACCCGACGAGGAAGGCGCACTACGGCCTCTCGTCCTGTTACCAGTCTAAGTCGAATATGGGATTAGTTGGCCAGTTATTTGTTTCAGACCCATAATCTTGATGGTAGAGGAAGCCGTGACAGACCAGTGTTTACGAACCCACGCAGGGTAAACAACGTTTAGCACCATGCGTCACCCGCCGCTCCCGAAATGTGCCAAGTCGGCATACCGGTATCGGTGAAAGGTAATTCATTGTAACACAATACTAAAGATCAATGCAATGTTTATCGGATTGTGCAATAATGTCCCCTACTCCACAATGTCCCATTTTCGAGAGAATTTGGTCAAAGTGCTCGCTAACTCAGCAGAAGTAAAGGAAACTTATCTCTGAGCAACGATTCACAGAAGCCACACATGATTGTGGCGGTGCATTATGTGCCAGTAAATGACGATTAACGCGAAATCTGACTCAATCAAGACGACTAACGAGCGGTACTAAGCTAGAAAATGTATAATCAATATAGTCAAAAAAAAATCTTAGCTGCAACTCCCGCGTGCAAAACAAGACCCAGACTGAAGCTCTGTGAAAATCAACACCATTATTTCCCACAAACTGTGTCACAATGAATGCACACTTCTACTGCACAATATATATTTGTAATTTGTCAGATACAATATAATACATAAATTAAGTTAAAAATAGCGACTGATTGGAAATTTCAAAGCAAGGCAAATCTAAACATTTAATAATGGGCACATAAGTCACTGTTGGAAATTCTTACTAAAATAAATATAATAAATACAAAAAAAATTAGTTCCGATTCTGAACACGCCATGTTATCGCTCGAAAAACACCATAATGTCCAATTGAAAATTTCTTATAAGGCAAATCTGAACTCAATAATGGGCACATAAGTCAATTATGGAAATTTTCATAAAATAAATGAAATGTGTACAAAAAAATTAGTTCCGATTCTGAACATGCCATGTTACCGCTTGAAAAACACAGAATGTTGTTGAAGGCTTTATTGTTTGATTACATCGCAGACAAGAAGCGATCAGTGTTTTCAACACTCTCACTATTTTAATAGTACCAGGGAACAGCGAATCAGTGTTTTTCAAGATGCTTCCAAAGCCACCCTTTCTTGCCGAGGTTCCTTTGATTCTGTCATAATAAAAAATTGATACAATATTGTAAAAATTTAACAGCATTCTGCAATGCTCATACAAAACCTTTCCAGAGAGAAAATGACGAAGAGAACATAAGTCCAACCTGACGCATAATATGCAAAAGCAAGACGTGTAAGGAATTGCGTAGGCTTGTCCCTAGTACAGAGCCTCATTCGGGGTGAAGGTGCGAGAATTCGAACTCATGAAAAGATCGTTTCCCTGATTAAGTATTTATGGCTGCTTCATCTTATTACTTATTTGATGCTGAGAGCATGTGTCAAATTGACTTCTTACAAGCTGGCAACAAGAATTTCCTCCGGATAGGTCAGACAATAAATGAGGTTTGAGCAGGGGTGTGCAACATGTGGCCCACGGGCCAAATGCGGCCCACAAAGAAAAATTGTGCGGTCCACAGAAAAGTGCCAATTTTAAAAGGTGTGCGGCTTGCAAAACAGGTTTTTAATTCGATTTATTGTGCAATGAGCGAGTTATTCCAATCCCTTTGCGTGCAAGGCCTATACCTGACTGAGTCAAATTTCAATCATCTATTTCTATGAAGTTACAATGCCCTAACAGCAAGCTTGTGCGAAGCAAACAATACATGTCATAAGATCAATAACCAAAATGTTTGTGCATGCAGCTACTAGAAAGCCTATGTTAAATGAAGGTGCGGCCTGTAGTTTCACCCAGTTATTTGTATCTGGCCCGCCTGTATCAAATGTTGCACACCCCTGTGTTAGAAGATTTACTTACTCTCTTGTTGTTTAACTTGTGGTTCCTCAGTTGGAACATCTGGTAAATTGGGTATTTGGTCAATCTGTTTTTCTGTTGATGATGTAATAGCTTCTAATTCGGCCAGTATATCACTTTCATCTTCATCTGATATGGATCCCGCAAGAATGTCGGTCAATTGCTTAAATTGAATTAAAATATAAACTTACCAAAAAAACTGAAAACATCCAAAAATAGGAATAAACAATTTTCTTCAGAACAATGGGATAGAAAAAATACTCCAAAATCATATCAGTAATTTAAATGTTTATCTTTTAATTAAACAAAATAGAGAGATAACATTAGCCGTACAGTACAGTTCCAAACTTCGAATAGGAATTTCACATTTGTACCAAGAAACAGAAAAATGATAAGACTACATTCATACTTATTTGTCAATCTATCTAAGGTACGGAAAAAGTCAATTAGTCATTCATTTCAAATAAGCGGATTCATAGAATAGCTATGATAATTACCCCACAATGTCAGGGAGTCCAGCCATCCTTTCATATATTATTATCTCACATGGGATTATGTGACCTTGTGCCGAGTATTCAGCGTTAATATGTCAAGTGTATTCCTAACACTTGGGATGGCGAGCCAACGATACAACTTTGGCAAACATGTTTATAGGTATGTCTGATATAGTAGTTCATGGAATAAGAAAATTGATACCTGCTGATATTCAATTGCTTCTCTAGTGTCATCCATTATTTGCTCTGCCTCTTCTAATGACATTAACTAGGATTAGAAATAAATATTATTGATATGTAAAAAGAGTAAGGGTAGACAAAATCAATAGGTCTATATAATTTTCTGAATTGAATCTAATATCTTTATAGGTTTTCAAACAATAAACCAATTCTGCAAAATGATGGATAAAAGATTTGAACTGCAGCTTATATTTATGATTAAGTAAAACATTAATTTTACCTAAAATCTTGAAGATTCTGTGGAGACAATAAAGATTATTGTTTTTTTAATTTGTTTACATAATTTGATTCAAATTTACTTGGACAGCCTTAATAACTTATGAGTAATACAATAATGGTACTAAACAATAGTTATAAACATGACTGTGAAGTCAGAGTGGAATTAGAAATTTCGGATTCCAAGGAGGTGAAACTAGAATCGAAGGTAAAGATTTGTCAACGAGGTGTCGGGAGTCGTTTTCAAATGTCGAGGTCAGGTATAAGTTCTCCATGACACCAAATCTCTGAGTATAACTAGTAAAAGTACCTTGTGAATGTCTTTTAAAGCTTGATTTCCAACTTTAAGACCTTCAAATACTTTGTTTTCCATTTGGGCAAATTCAATATCATTTGCTAAAGTTTCCATATTTTCTATTTGTTGTGCTGTTTTCTCAGCCAAATTTTCTTGTCTCTTCTTCTTTTTCAACAACAAAAGAGCCTTGCTGAAACAAACAGAAAACAATTTAAATGGAACAAATGTCGAATAAAATGAACTAATTATTTTTCAACCAGACTTAATTACATGGCCCAGATGACTCAAAAATGGTTGAGGAAGTCACAACTGACCAGCACACCATCATACAAGAAATTCGAACCTGCAACCACACGGTTTTGACTTTGGACATAAAATGCACCAACCTTTTTTTCCCATCTTTCAACAATTGTTTGGCTAAATTTTTCAGCTTTTCTTGCTCTGCATCAATTTTTCTCTGGTACATTCGTAACTGATCTCTTTGCTTCTTTAATTCCTGTACAAATAAAATACCAACGATCAATACCAAACAATTAACACTTCATTCGAATTTTGGTGTAAGGACCGAATTAGAGAAGTTAAAGAGTCTCTATCAAGACAGGAATCATACAACTACACAGACTTTTCCAATAACTCTTGGGCCAACAACTGTGTTGAATCACTGAATTAAGTTACACCATACCAGCATACGATGCACTCCACACTATGACAATGGAACTATTACAGTATCAAAAAACAATAAAACATATCCCAACCAGAATGGCTCTGTCTTGATCAGTAACTCGAGATTCTGGCTTCTTCTTACTTGAAAACAAGCCCCCCATAGTTGAGACCAGATTTAGCGGCAAAAGATGTCTCTGGCTGCTTAAATGTATTGCGGGCTATTCCTCTTTTTATTCCAAAACTGAATCCAACTGCAGAAAGTATTCAAGAATAAGGTCTGAAGGTAGCCTATAAATAAAAAATATGTCACATAACATCCTCATATGAAAGCAACTTAATTTAAGCTTATATCAATACCGGTACCAGACAGAAAATATTATTCATTCAGTGGCTTTGGCAGCCTAGTAAAAGTTTGAGTTGTTTTTAAAGAGATATTTCGCTACCGTACCTTATGATGTATAACCCGTGTAACATTACGTACCGCTTATGCATTCGATATGAAATAATGTTTCAGACAGCTCACAACTAAGATAAATGAAACTCCCACCCCAAGGCTTTTAGATCCAATATTAAAAGTGCCTATGAAACTTTTGTTGACATTGGTAAGTTACTTTCCTCTATTCCAAATATTGGTTATACTTATTTTTGGAGGCGCGGTTCTTACCACTTCATGGCAGCTCCTGCCACGAACGTACCGGTACGTACCGCGGCGTCTCTTGCTACCGGTAGGGTTTTATCGCGCTATTACCGGTATATTTACTTACAAAGTTATGTCATGTCATAATGTGGAATTATATCTACCTAAACCTAACCCCAAATACTGTATTCATAAGAAAAGCGTTCCAAGCAGCCCTGCTATTACAGCCGACATGCCGTGGTTACCGGTACGGCAGCAAAATTGGTGGTATTCTATTTGCTGCCGTAACCACGGCACCTTTAAATAGTTTTATAGTAGGGTATATCATTGAGGTGTTATATAGGTTTACTGTATAGTCATTTTGATTTGTGGCAGCCAAAAAGTCAGTCGCCGTGGGTTTGGTCCTGGTTTGGCTATAGCGGCCATGGTTTGGAAATCCCGCCACGGTTTTGCGGCAGCTCTAGACGCCACAAAATACTTGAAACTGCACTTGTATTTTTGATAACATTTTTGGCATTTGCATATTTTGTTTACTAAGTAATTTACTTTGAGTTTCTTGAGTTTTTTTTTAATTTTTCTATATCTCTGTAGTTAGGTGGTTGCACATGTTGTAGGTGGTTGCACGTGTGGCAATTAATTCAATACTTCTACGCGAGTGAACATTTACGGTACCGCTTCATTTCAATAGTGTTTGTACCTATAGCTGTAGAGAGTCCATAACGTCAGAACGTTTTGTTTGCTCTCCTGATTCTATAATGTGATTTTATCAATCATAAACTTTCCTCCTACACGGAATAAAAATTTAAATCCTATCTCACCTTTAAACTGTGACTGAAAGGAAAGGTTCATATTACTACCGTATTCTTTTTGGCCCACGTGCAGACATGATTGTATTGCAGCAGAATCATAGTCAGTTCAAGATTTTATCGAACAATATTGGCTTGTATCTGCTTTTCAATTAAAATATATACTATTCTATCTTCGACCCACTTTCCTATCTCCCTAAACTCTTTTATCCTCAACCCACTGTCCTCTCTATCCCCGGCCCACTGCTCTATTACTCCCACCTTCATATCATCGACCCACTGCCTATCTACCACCAACCTTCCTATTCTCGACTCACTGTCCTATCTACCTCAACCTCCTATACTCGGCCCAATGTCCTATCACCCTCAGCTTTCCTATCCTCGACTCACTGTCCTATCTCCACCAGCCTTTCTCCCCTCTACTTATCTATCTCCGACCCACTGTCCTATCTCTCTCAACTTCTTATTCTCGATCCACTACCCATCTGTCCCACTTTCCTATCCTCGACCCAATGTCATATCTCCCTCAACTTTCTATCCACGACCCTATCTCTCTCACCTTCCTATCCTCGACCCACTGCCTATCTATCTCAACCTTCCCATTCTCGACCCACTGTCCTATCTCCCTCAACTTCCTATTCTCGATCCACTACCCCATCTCTCTCACCTTCTTATCCTCGGTCCACTGACCTCCATCTCTCTCAACTTCCAATCCACGGTCCACTACCCTATCCCTCTCACCTTTCTATCCCGGATCCTACCTATCTCAACCTCCCTAAGCTCTGTCACTGTCCTATCTCCCTCAACCTTTCTAAGCTAGACCCACTGTCCTATCTCCCTCAACTTCCTATCCACGAACCACTGCCCTATCTCTCTCACTTCGCTATCCTCGACCCACTGCCTTACCTCCCTCAAGTTCCTATTCTCGATCCATTACCCCATCTCTCTCACCTTCCTATCCTCGACCCACCGCCCTATAGTACCCCGCACCTAAACTAACCGCGCTTTACCCAAGCTCCGACGGTAACACCCAACATTTTTCATGCTTGTGATTATTCAAACTCTCAGGTTTTATATGGCTCGAGTATGCCAATGAAATGATGGAAGCGTACGTCGACGAATCAGGTTGACGGCATTCGTGACATTTGAATATGAAACAAACGTATAGCTTCAGTGAGTGTGAATGATGACAGAAATGTTTGAAATCTTCCAAAGGTACTCATTTACATCATTTGCCAGGCCATTTAAATGTAGGCTGCATCCCAAACGTTAATCAATCACCATAATTGGTAGCTCAAAAATTTGCTACTTGTTAGGCCACAGATGTTCTCGGGAGTGGAAGCGCTGATAAAGCTATTTTGAAGATAATAAACTGCTTGTATGACTGCTGCTTACGCAGTGGCAAGCTTACAAAGCGTAACAGCCTTTAATATGATGTGTCTTTAGGACACTGATCCGAGACCGGTTAAAATCTGATCCGTAAAATGAAAAAAAAAATGAAAATAATAAACCATGTACACAGTGAACGCGAAGCCACTGACACGAGCAGGCAATTGGATTAGGGGGGAATGGAACAGTCTGCCGATTACACTATTTTTATCACAAAATCCGTATAACCAATCGACCCATTTTTTGAGGAGTTAATGATCTTCCAGCGCGCAGCGGGTCAATCTCTAAATATGGAGAGGGCACATATTTTATGTGTGAATAGAGAGATCCTTCGAGAATACAGGTTCCGACAATATCAAATATCATTTAAAAGAATCCTTATACAGTAATTCGGACCCTCACGCAATCCAAATAGACAGTAACTGGCAACACCTATCAAACATCTGCCACATCATTAATTTAAATCCAAGCGAATGGGACTCGGGAATTCTCGCGGCTGTGGCAGATATTTGTTTGTTGGCCGCGATCTTCAAAGGCTAGGTCGATTATTTATACGGATTTAGTGATAATACTAGTGTAATCGGGAGACTGTTCCACCCCAAATTAATTTCTTGGGTGAATCTGTTGCTGATTATTGCTTGTGTCAGAGGTCCCACGGTTCGTGTGTACATGTTGTAAAATTTTCAAAATAAGTTTATCCGTACTCCTGCTCCCAGTGGACTGACAAGTAGCAAATTTTTGAGCTACCAATTATGGTGATTGATTACCATTTGGGATTGCAGCCTACATTTAAATGGCCTGCAAATGATGCAAATAAGTGCCTTTGGAAGATTTCAAGCATTTCTGTCATCATTTACACTCACTGAAGCTATATGTTTGTTTCATATTCAAATATACCCATAATAATATGTCACGAATGCCGACAACCTTAAAGGCTTGTTTCGTCGACGTACGCTTCAATCATTTCATTGGCATACTCGAGCCGTATAAAACCTGAGAGATTACATTATCAGAAGCATACTACAAGGTTGGGTGGGGCCGTCGCAGGGACGGGGTAGTATAGGGCGGTTGGTCAAGGATAGGCAGTGAACCGAGGATAGGAGGGTGAGAGAGATGGGGTGCTGGGTCGGAGATAGGAAAGTGAGAGAGGTAGGACAGTGGGCCGGGAGTAGGAAAGTTGAGGGAGATAGGGCAGTGGGACGAGGATAGGAAAGTGAAGGAGACAGGGTGGTGGATAAGACGTTTAGGGCGATAGGACAGTGGGACGAGGGTAGGAAGGTGAGAGAGATTGGGTAGTGGATCGAGAGAAGGGAGTTGAGGGAGATAGGACAGTGGGTTGAAAATAGGAAAGATATAGAGATAGGACAGTGTGGGTCAAAGATAGAAAGGTTGAGGGGGATAGGACAGTGGGTCGGGGGTAGGAAGGCTGAGGGTGATAGGACAGTGGTCGGAGAATATGGGGTTAAGGTATAGATAGGAAGGTGAGAGTGATAGAAAGCTTGAGGGAGAAAGGGCATTGGGTTGACGATACGAAGAATAAAGGAGATGGAGCAATGGGTCGAAGATAGAAAGGTTGAAGAGATGGAGCAGCGGGTCGAGGATTTGAAGGTTGAGGAAGATAGGGAAGTGTGTCGAAGAGAATAAGTTTGAGGAAGATAGGCAGTGGGTCGAGGGGGGGGGGGATGCTAAATGAGGGTCATATGGCAGTGGATCCACAACAGGAAGGTTAAGACAGATAGAGCAGTTGGTCGAGGATAGATAGGTTGCAATTTCTGCGGTCCAATCTGGCCCGCTTGATGCTGTCACAACCGAACTAAAACCAAATTTCAATGTTTTAACTAAAATAGCGGTTAAATTCAGTTTTGGCACGTGGATTATTGTTTTCGACCTAGGCTTTTGTAACATTGTAAATATTGTTATTAATTGTAACATTTTACACACCCTTGCATGGCCCAATCAATATATTTATCAAATCAAGACCATAAACTTCGGTCTAATTATGTGCATCGAGTTTATTTTCCGATATTTCAGAGTATTTTAGGAAACTTGTTCGTAAATAAGATTTATTTAAAACTTTCAATTTTGTATTCAATTCAGTTGGGAATATTATAAATTCAGTTGTTCAGATATTATTCTCCGGATACATCGATATGCTTTTGAGTGAATGTCGTTTGACAGCCGTCGTATTGTTACATGACATTCAATAGCCGTCCATCAAATTCTTTTCCGTATAAATCCTTTGGTGTTGCATAAATATATTCTGAATGTCAACTCATGTGAAGAGCTCTGGGTTGAAATACCTATTCACTTTGAAAAATTTTCTGCGATTGTTTTTGGTGTGGTATATGGCACCCAAGATCCAGTGAATCTGATTTTATGGCTGCGGCTTAGCAATAACCTGAACCAATTGACAAAAAGAAATTTATTATAATAGGTGATATTAATATTAACTTGTTAAGCACCTCAATATTTACAAAAAACCCAAAGCATTCTTCAGTTTGAATGCTGATAATTCGAATTCATATTTTGACGATTTTATTTCTAAAGTCTTAATTGTGTGTGATAAGCATGCACCATTAAGAAAACTAACTAGAAAGGAACGTAGTCGAGAGAGAAAACCTTGGATAACAACTTGCATTTTGCGCTCGACTAAAGTTAGAGACAAATAGCATAATACTCATTTTATTAACGGATCCCCTGAACAAAAACAGCACTATAAGCAACAAATTCAAAATGAAAGCTAAGGAGATATATTTTGCCAAGCGCTTTAAAAATAATATAAATGATCCAAAAAAGACTTGTAGTACGATGAATTCTGTAATAAATTCGAAATCAAACATTAATGTTCCTCAAAAATTAATCGAACAGCATTCAATTAGTTGTTAATTACAGTGGACTAATATTAAGAATGTTCAATGGGTATTTTTCACAGATTGGACAAACATTGTCTTAGGCATTTCACGATGTAAGCGATAATGAGCATCTGAAATTCATGACAAACAAGTCGTCCACGTTTATGGAAGATGCCTCGTTGAATGAGGTAGTATATATAATCAATTCTTTAAAAACTAACAAAGCAACTGGGTATGACCATATACCAGCTTATCTCCTGAATCTTCTCTGTAGTACAATAAGTCCCATGCTCAGTAAACTCTCCAATTTCAAATATTTTATGGTTTATTTCCAGATTATCTTAAAGTTGCCAGGGTTGTTTCGTTTGTTCCTGTATATAAATCTGGAAAAAAAATAATATATTCAATTATCGACTCATCTCTATACTTTCATGCTTTTCTATTGTTTTTAGAAAAGTTTATGCTTACTCGCCTCCAAAATTTTCTAAATAAACTTTCGTAATCATCATTCAACTACACAAGCAATTCTTCTAGATATTATTAGTAAATATTATGAAATCGTTGATAAGGGTTTGATTGGCTGTAGTATATTTTTGGATTTAAAAAAGAATTCGACACAGTTGTATACAAAATACTTTTAAGCGAATAGAAACTTTATGGGATTCGGCGCTCCCGTAGGATGTGCAACAAGATGGCAAACAACGGGACGTAGTATGTGTACCAGGTTGGAATTAGACCATAATTTTATTCCAATTTTCCTTATTTTAGTTCTGTTACGAGTTTGTGGACTAGCCAAGTGACTCCCGTAGTATTTGTACCTGAAATTATGGCCTAACCTGGTAGGGTTACGTCCCGGGATCCGCCATCTTGGTTCACATACTATTCTACATGAGTACCCTATTTTCTAGTTACCTGCACGGTCGAAATCAATTTGTCACTGTCTCTGCCAATGAATCCCTTCATCAACTTGTTTCTGTCGGCGTGCCCAAGGGCTCAGTTATTGACCCGAACTTTTTTCTGGTTTATATAAATGATGTAGGCCTAGTTGAAGAATAACATCAATAGCAATTGATTTGTCCAGGCAAGTTGAAAAATACTTACAAAATATTTCCAAATGGATGAAATCTAACCATAAAGTTAAGTTAACCATGAATCCTTACTAAACACAAGTACTATTAATAAATCATCCCTGTAATATAAATATTAAGTATGCACCTAGTCTCAATTTTACTCAAGTGGTGTTAAATTAAAAGTACATGACGCTGATAAATACCTTGGAATATTCATATATAACACGCTTAAATGGGACCAACACATCAACTACCTTAAACTGAAACTGTCCAGGCTATAGGAATAATGACAGGGATAAAATATGTGATTCCTAAAAAAATTATGCGAACTGTTTACTTTACTCTCTTACTTGCACCTACAGCATGTTATTGTGACATAGGGTTCCGCTGATAAAACTAGACTTGGATGACGGAGTCAGGTGGGGGTTAGAAATAATATATGCAAAATATACCTAAAATATGATTGAATATTTTACATATTGCAATTATTAATAATGTTTTATTATTTCTCAATTTAAATTAAGTGTATATGAATCAATTCATTCATTTTACCATTCTCTATCGTTTTCTTTCCTTTACGTAGTGTTTGCCTTCAATGTTACGTCTAATGGAGGTAGAAGTATTCTATTCTATTCCAAATATTGGTTATACTTATTTTTGGAGGCGCGGTTCTTACCACTTCATGGCAGCTCCTGCCACGAACGTACCGGTACGTACCGCGGCGTCTCTTGCTACCGGTATGGTTTTATCGCGCTATTACCGGTATATTTACTTACAAAGTTATGTCATGTCATAATGTGGAATTATATCTACCTAAACCTAACCCCAAATACTGTATTCATAAGAAAAGCGTTCCAAGCAGCCCTGCTATTACAGCCGACATGCCGTGGTTACCGGTACGGCAGCAAAATTGGTGGTATTCTATTTGCTGCCGTAACCACGGCACCTTTAAATAGTTTTATAGTAGGGTATATCATGGAGGTGTTACATAGGTTTACTGTATGGTCATTTTGGTTTGTGGCAGCCAAAAAGTCAGTCGCCGTGGGTTTGGTCCTGGTTTGGCTATAGCGGCCATGGTTTGGAAATCCCGCCACGGTTTTGCGGCAGCTCTAGACGCCACAAAATACTTGAAACTGCACTTGTATTTTTGATAACATTTTTTGCATTTGCATATTTTGTTTACTAAGTAATTTACTTTGAGTTTCTTGAGTTTTTTTTTAATTTTTCTATATCTCTGTAGTTAGGTGGTTGCACATGTTGTAGGTGGTTGCACGTGTGGCAATTAATTCAATACTTCTAGGCGAGTGAACATTTACGGTACCGCTTCATTTCAATAGTGTTTGTACCTATAGCTGTAGAGAGTCCATAACGTCAGAACGTTTTGTTTGCTCTCCTGATTCTATAATGTGATTTTATCAATCATAAACTTTCCTCCTACGCGGAATAAAAATTTAAATCCTATATCACCTTTAAACTGTGACTCAAAGGAAAGGTTCATATTACTACCGTATTCTTTCTGGCCCACGTGCAGACATGATTGTATTGCAGCAGAATCATAGTCAGTTCAAGATTTTATCGAACAATATTGGCTTGTATCTGCTTTTCAATTAAAATATATAGTATTCTATCTTCGACCCACTTTCCTATCTCCCTAAACTCTTGTATCCTCAACCCACTGTCCTCTCTATCCCCGGCCCACTGCTCTATTACTCCCACCTTCATATCATCGACCCACTGCCTATCTACCACCAACCTTCCTATTCTCGACTCACTGTCCTATCTACCTCAACCTCCTATACTCGGCCCAATGTCCTATCACCCTCAGCTTTCCTATCCTCGACTCACTGTCCTATCTCCACCAGCCTTTCTCCCCTCTACTTATCTATCTCTGACCCACTGTCCTATCTCTCTCACATTCCTATTCTCGACCCACTGTCATATCTCCCTCAACTTCTTATTCTCGATCCACTACCCATCTGTCCCACTTTCCTATCCTCGACCCAATGTCATATCTCCCTCAACTTTCTATCCACGACCCTATCTCTCTCACTTTCCTATCCTCGACCCACTGCCTATCTATCTCAACCTTCCCATTTTCGACCCACTGTCCTATCTCCCTCAACTTCCTATTCTCGATCCACTACCCCATCTCTCTCACCTTCTTATCCTCGGTCCACTGACCTCCATCTCTCTCAACTTCCAATCCACGGTCCACTACCCTATCCCTCTCACCTTTCTATCCCGGATCCTACCTATCTCAACCTCCCTAAGCTCTGTCACTGTCCTATCTCCCTCAACCTTTCTAAGCTAGACCCACTGTCCTATCTCCCTCAACTTCCTATCCACGAACCACTGCCCTATCTCTCTCACTTCACTATCCTCGACCCACTGCCTTACCTCCCTCAAGTTCCTACTCTCGATCCATTACCCCATCTCTCTCACCTTCCTATCCTCGACCCACCCCTATACTACCCCGCACCTAAACTAACCGCGCTTTACCCAAGCTCCGACGGTAACACCCAACGTTTTTCATGCTTGTGATTATTCAAACTCTCAGGTTTTATATGGCTCGAGTATGCCAATGAAATGATGGAAGCGTACGTCGACGAATCAAGCCTATAAGGTTGACGGCATTCGTGACATTTGAATATGAAACAAACGTATAGCTTCAGTGAGTGTGAATGATGACAGAAATGTTTGAAATCTTCCAAAGGTACTCATTTACATCATTTGCCAGGCCATTTAAATGTAGGCTGCATCCAAACGTTAATCAATCACCATAATTGGTAGCTCAAAAATTTGCTACTTGTTAGGCCACAGATGTTCTCGGGAGTGGAAGCGCTGATAAAGCTATTTTGAAGATAATAAACTGCTTGTATGACTGCTGCTTACGCAGTGGCAAGCTTATGAAGCGTAACAGCATTTAATATGATGTGTCTTTGGGACACTGATCCGAGACCGGTTAAAATCTGATCCGTAAAATGAAAAAGAAAAAAAATGAAAATAATAAACCATGTACACAGTGAACGCGAAGCCACTGACACGAGCAGGCAATTGGATTAGGGGGGAATGGAACAGTCTGCCGATTACACTATTTTTATCACAAAATCCGTATAACCAATCGACCCATTTTTTGAGGAGTTAATGATCTTCCAGCGCGCAGCGGGTCAATCTCTAAATATGGAGAGGGCACATATTTTATGTGTGAATAGAGAGATCCTTCGAGAATACAGGTTCCGACAATATCAAATATCATTTAAAAGAATCCTTATACAGTAATTCGGACCCTCACGCAATCCAAATAGACAGTAACTGGCAACACCTATCAAACATCTGCCACATCATTAATTTAAATCCAAGCGAATGGGACTCGGGAATTCTCGCGGCTGTGGCAGATATTTGTTTGTTGGCCGCGATCTTCAAAGGCTAGGTCGATTATTTATATGGATTTAGTGATAATACTAGTGTAATCGGGAGACTGTTCCACCCCAAATTAATTTCCTGGGTGAATCTGTTGCTGATTATTGCTTGTGTCAGAGGTCCCACGGTTCGTGTGTACATGTTGTAATATTTTCAAAATAAGTTTATACGTACTCCTGCTCCCAGTGGACTGACAAGTAGCAAATTTTTGAGCTACCAATTATGGTGATTGATTACCATTTGGGATTGCAGCCTACATTTAAATGGCCTGCAAATGATGCAAATAAGTGCCTTTGGAAGATTTCAAGCATTTCTGTCATCATTTACACTCACTGAAGCTATACGTTTGTTTCATATTCAAATATACCCATAATAATATGTCACGAATGCCGTCAACCTTAAAGGCTTGTTTCGTCGACGTACGCTTCAATCATTTCATTGGCATACTCGAGCCGTATAAAACCTGAGAGATTACATTATCAGAAGCATACTACAAGGTTGGGTGGGGCCGTCGCAGGGACGGGGTAGTATAGGGCGGTTGGTCAAGGATAGGCAGTGGGCCGAGGATAGGAGGGTGAGAGAGATGGGGTGCTGGGTCGGAGATAGGAAAGTGAGAGAGGTAGGACAGTGGGCCGGGAGTAGGAAAGTTGAGGGAGATAGGGCAGTGGGACGAGGATAGGAAAGTGAAGGAGACAGGGTGGTGGATAAGACGTTTAGGGCGATAGGACAGTGGGACGAGGGTAGGAAGGTGAGAGAGATTGGGTAGTGGATCGAGAAAAGGGAGTTGAGGGAGATAGGACAGTGGGTTGAAAATAGGAAAGATATAGAGATAGGACAGTGTGGGTCAAAGATAGAAAGGTTGAGGGGGATAGGACAGTGGGTCGGGGGTAGGAAGGCTGAGGGTGATAGGACAGTGGTCGAAGAATATGGGGTTAAGGTATAGATAGGAAGGTTGAGGGAGAAAGGGCATTGGGTTGACGATACGAAGAATAAAGGAGATGGAGCAATGGGTCGAAGATAGAAAGGTTGAAGAGATGGAGCAGCGGGTCGAGGATGGGAAGGTTGAGGAAGATAGGGAAGTGTGTCGAAGAGAATAAGTTTAAGGAAGATAGGCAGTGGGTCGAGGGGGGGGGGGGGGGATGCTAAATGAGGGTCATATGGCAGTGGATCCACAACAGGAAGGTTAAGACAGATAGAGCAGTTGGTCGAGGATAGATAGGTTGCAATTTCTGCGGTCCAATCTGGCCCGCTTGATGCTGTCACAACCAAACTAAAACCAAATTTTAATGTTTTAACTAAAATAGCGTAAGAAATTTGTTGAGATTGCGGTTAAATTTAGTTTTGGCACGTGGATTATTGTTTTCGACCTAGGCTTTTGTAACATTGTAAATATTGTTATTAATTGTAACATTTTACACACCCTTGCATGGCCCAATCAATATATTTATCAAATCAAGACCATAAAC